TCCTATATGATAAAATTTAGTTAATGTGAAATTAAAAGAGTGGGATTTTTGAAACACCTTGTACAGACGATACAAAATTTTTGTGTCACTGTAACAAAAAATTAAAGAAAAATAAGATATATCTGCGAAAACCGCATGTTTTTATGATTAGGCGTTTAAAAATTATTAGCTCATTAAAGTGACTACTTTTCATTGGGACACTCTGTACTTGGTCAAAGTGTATAATTGGCCAATAGTAGAGTAAGTGCGCCATTTATGGACCACCATAAGCACTTTTTTCAACAAAAAGTCGAATTTTAAATTTTAATCAGCTTTATTCATATTAAACAATTGCTTAACCATTTAGTTAAGAAAAACTCATAATAAATTTCTCTAAAAAAACAAAATCTTTAAAATAAATAACATTTTCTAAAGTATATCATTTTTATGAACTTTCAAAAAGTGAACATATTATGAACCACATCCAGATTTTTCCATTTATAGAATATAATTGACTAATTCATCTTCCAATTCACTCGGTAATGTTGATTGTCTCCCAAGTTTTTAGGTGGTGATATTATTAAGTGATTTGTTTTGAATGTATGTTTTGGAACCATTCAAAAAGCCCATTTCCTTTTCTCGTGCATTTTTAATTGCCTTCGCCATTGCGTTTTTTATCCCATGCTTGTCTGGTCTTCTTTATTGTTTTAGAAGCCATTCTAGAATATAAAAATTAATTTTTAGCCACTCCATATTTAAAACGTGCCACTGGTCCATATTGTGATACTTACTCTCTTACTCATTTTGAGATTTTTTTTTTCAGAAAATTGGAATATTATAGAATATTAAAAGTTAATACAATTAATTGCAACATGACTCATCTTCCTCTTGGTTATTATCCACTTTCACATAAAATTGTATTTTTTGAATAAAAAAACTTCCAAAGTTCGCTAGAAAATTAGATCGCGCGTTGAAGAAAACTAAAAAATATTCTAAAAATATTTAAAAAAATATTAAAAAAACTAAAATATATTCGTGCATTCTGGATCACTGCAAACGACAGATGGATCAAGGCAGAAGTGATGTTTAGTGTGTGATGATCATTTACTCGATATAAAAAACGTTCTTCATAAAATGGCGGTGGTCCATATTATAAAACCGGTCCATATTTGGCGTACTTACTCTAACGATTTTTGTATAATTACCGGTATCGCCGCAAAAAAAGTTTCTTTTGATTTCCCAAAAATGCACGGTTCACTGCAATTTCGTCCTTTTTCCAATCACCCATTCAATTATCAAGTTATGAAGCAAGCTCGCGAAGTAATCGAGACCATCAGCTACCCTCTTGGAGCATCTTAAGCGAAAGCTGCACAGCGACATGGGACAGAAAGAGATACATCAATATCATACGACCGTGTTTTACTCGAGATCATAAGCCAATTCAATTTGCCGGTCCCTTGGCCACCATCGGGGCCTCGTTAGACGCTCCATTACGCCACGGGAACCGAGACAACTCCTCGTGAACGGTCTACGTGAAAAATGGATTCATGGTAATGCGAGGATCGCTCGACGCCGGAACGCTTTCTTTCGATATTTTTATGACGAGCGTAACGAGACGGCGACGAAAACGGAAGAGGGTCCATTTGTAACCGAAACCCATCGAATCTTCGAGCTAATTCGGTACTCCAAATAAAGCTTACTAAGCATAATTAATTAATCTATATTGGTATTATTAATTAGTTAATCGGTTGTGTTAGATGTTTTAGTTAAGGGCACATCGATACCGTATCGAATTTCTCCTCTGCGTTCCCTCATAGTGGGTATGTAGAGGATGGTGCCGATGGGGATTGTGAGGTAGCAAACCATTTGGATCATAACGTGGAAGAATATTTGTTTCTTCGTTAAACGGATCTTCGGTGCTCCCGAAACGACGTTGCATTCTTTTCTAATCCCCATCTTGAGGGCTTTTGAATAATATTGGATTTCATGGGTTGTTTATAATAATTATAATTATGTACACTTACCTTTTATGTGTATTTCAATAAACGAAGGAAAGTGTTGTGAAGAGATGTCGAAATATTTGACAATGATATTACATCTCCTTGGTTATATCTAATTTATCATTTTTTTTAGTAATAATATAAAAAGTGAAATAATTTTATACTTATATGTTGGATTCAGGGTTGGGTGCCGTATCGAACTTCTCCTCTGCGTTCCCTCATAGTGGGTATGTAGAGGATGGTGCCGATGGGGATTGTGAGGTAGCAAACCATCTGGATCATAACGTGGAAGAATATTTGTTTCTTCGTTAAACGGATCTTCGGTGCTCCCGAAACGACGTTGCATTCTTTTCTAATCCCCATTTTGAGGGCTTTAGAATTATATTGGATTCTTTGGGCTTCGGGTTATTGATAGTAATTATAATAATGAAGCTTTTATGTGTAGGTATTCGAATAAATGAAGGAAAGTGATTTGAAGATATGTCGAAATATTTGACAATGATATATTACATCTCCTTGGTTATTATGTCTAATTTGTCTTGCCACATAATTATTATAATTGAATGGGTGACTTGGGTGATTGGAATAAGGATAAAATTCCAGTAAACTTTAATTTTGAGAGATCAAAAAAAACTTTTTTTGCAGCAAAACCGGTAATTTAACAAAAAATATTGCTAATGGTCATTTATACACTTTGGCAAAGTACGTTTAATGCCAAAGTTTGAACTCTTTGGGAATTAGCTATTGGTATTTGAGAGTACAAAAATTTTATCCTTTTTTCACTCAAAATCGAAAAAATCGCAAAAAAGTGGACTGTTTTTTTTTCAATAACTTTGTAGGTTTTTTTGAAGTATTGGGGTCACCAGCTTTTGAAATTTGAAATCAAGTACATCAGTTTTAGTAGAAACTTTAGGTTTATTTTCTTGAGAAAAATATCTGTCATAATGGGATAGTAAAATATTGATGATAGGATAGGAAAATATTGATGATTTACCTCAAATCTGCCATTCATGGCCAGCGCAATTAACAAGCTGGTTAAAATTTCAAAAATATATCCTTTTTCGACTCACCAATAAAATTATAATGTGAAGGAGGCCGATAATTTAATTTTTTTCGCTCAGCGTGAAGATAAGAGAAATTAGAACAATATGGCTATCCCACTTTAATTTACCATAGGTTTGTTCCTACAACAGTCAGAAATAGTCGGTGGTCGTAAGGAGTCTGCGCAGTCATAATTTAGGCGTTCCAAAAACTCCACAGACATCTCTGATTCTGATTTGGTTAACAATTTATTGTTCCAACAGTTTAAGGGACTGGTTTTGTGATAGTCAGAAAAATTTGCTGATAGTACAGAGATTTGAAATCCGGCGCAAGCGCATTTTTAATTTGGGTTTAATTTGTATTTCTGAATATAGGTTAATTATTAGGTTATGTTGTTTGTTGTTTTTGCTTGATATTTGGTGAATATATGTAATAAATGTAAAGACTGTTCCATCAAGAAATCAGAAATTTGATTACACCATTCAATCATAAACCGCGCATGCGAAATAGAAGAGTCAGAAACTTACTGGTAACAAATCAGTGACTTTTTGTAGGAACAAACCTCATATTTTCGGATTTTTATTCTTTTTCTAATCACTCAATCAATCGAGTTTTAAATAACATTGTAAATAAAGCATATCTCCTTCTACAATATTATATTTCTATATTCACTTTTTTGTGTACTTTCCAATGCAATTATTATAAAACCATAGACAAAATAAAAGAGACTGTTTAATGCATAGGACAGAGTCGACAACATGCCTTTAGAACGAAGACCAGCCGTTAGAGGCGCTGCTATCGAAAAATTAAATGAATTTCGATTGTTTTGATTGGCTAATTTTATATGAGATCCGTATGGAAACGATCGCGATCGCGGGTCGTCGGTCGTCGCCCGTCCGTTGTTTTAATTAAGTGAGTTTCGTTAGTGATGTAGACGAGACGCCATTTTAGTGCTTAACCTAAATTGTGAGTATTTTTATTTTTTATATTTATATTTGTTTGCAAATTTAAAATGTCAACACCAATTCGAAGGAAGGCTCGTAAATGTGCATCACCAAGATGCAAAAATTTGTAAATTTGTCCCCCCGAAGATAATCTTCAAAAGCGTTTTTTTTAAATTCCCTTCAAATTTGAGTGAAAGAAAAAATGGTTTGATATTATAGGATTATTATTTATAGGTTTGTCTCATTCATCCAAACAAATGAGACTCTGTGAAGATCATTTTTCTACATAGCTATCTACTTATAATATTTGATTTCTATGTTTTTCTAATACATCTCGCTGTTTTTGTTATTTTCCTAAATTAGATGCTGCTCATATTTTTTTCTGTTTTAGTTAGCTCTACAAGAATTGGACGCTGTAGGCCCTGGGAACTGAGGGATCTGACTCATCTGACTTCGAAGTAACAAGGTTGTATTTGTTTTACGTTTCTATTTATTCTATTATATTTTTTATTCCACATGTATTATATACGTATTCTATTTATATTTTTGTTATTAGTGTCAAATGTTATTAATTTTGTCGAATGATGTTCAAATGTTGAATTGTATGTATTGTATTGTCTATTTAGGTTATATGTATGTATTCAATTTTTTATATCTTTAAATAAATACATTTCTTATTAACAAAAGTTGTTCTTATTTTCTAATTTGCAATATAGCAATATTATAAAAATAACCCATTTTTAATTTTGAAATATAGAAGAAATCTACTCGATATTTCATTAGTTCGTGGGACCAGCCACTAGGAACAGCACCATCTACGCGTTGCCAATTTTTAGTAAGAGATCGAACTCTCTCATCTTTCTTTCTCTATGTATAAAACTATTTGGTATTTTCAACAAAAAATTCTTCACTCTCTTACAAATTTTAAACTGTCATACTGTCAAGTCAATTATCTTGGCCTTCAACATAAACACTATTCATCCATTAAAGTGACAGTACTGACTCTTCTTTTTTCATCAAAAAGTTTTGTTAGGTTATATTTACATTTTACATTATGACAAATCATAATTTAAAAATAATATGATATCAAAAAGGAAGGCATTATTATTTAAAACTCAAACAGAACAATCCAGTGATAAATACGAAGCGTTATTACAATCGAATCAAATCGATGCGACGACTGTCAATACATTGGTTTTTGATTTCGTTAACTTGGACTTGTTAGCGAAGAATCTTCAAAATTTCGAGGATTATTCCGGTATTATTTTTTCCAGTCCACGATGCGTTAACGCCGTTTATTTGGCTTGCAAACAGTTCAATTGTGACCTTAGTTTGTGGAGGCAGAAGAACAATTTTGCTGTGGGAACGAAGACTGCACAAGATTCATTGGATAAGTTACGAATAGAATGTAAGGGAGCAGACTCTGGCTCGGCTGTGAATCTTGCCAAGGAAATAATAAAAGGTATTTAAATTCAACTCTATTGCCCAATTTTTATAATTGTATTTCAGAGAAAACGAATTATCGTAAACCTTTCTTATACCCACACGGCAGTTTAAAAACGGATACACTAACAGCAGAATTAGAAAAAGAAAATATATGTTTAGACGGAATACTTGTTTATCACACAAAGGAGAATCCTAATATAGAGGAGGAAATGAAAAAATCAACACAAAACTTTCAAAATATACCGGAATTTCTTGTATTTTTTAGTCCATCCGGTGTGCAAGCAACTTTGAGCTACCTATCGCATTTCACTGATTCTAAAGTAAGTTCTATAAATCAGCGAATGTAATGAACAAGAATCGAATTATTTCAGGTCATCGCTATAGGACCTACCACAGAAACGGCTTTAAAAGAGAAAAATATTCAAGTGTCCGGAGTGGCTAAACAGCCAACACCACAAGATGTTCTAGACCAAATATTACAGATTTAAAATAAATGTACAAAACACTTCCATATGTATACATACAAAACAATAAATTTTATTTAAACTTTATTATTTATTAACATACATTTTTATCAAATAAAAAAACACCAAAATTTCGTGTATCACAGTTTTCAATATTTTTATTAAAAATGCAACCATATCGATTCAAGTATAAAAATCATTCAACCATATAAAAATCCTAATTTACAAACTATTCACAAATTGAAACCTACAACGTACTAAAACAAGTGTAAGTGACTTCGAAGACAAGCGAGAAGCTGCTCATTTGAAATGAAAAAAATATAGTACTTTTAGGAAAAACGTAAATAGTTGTCTCTGTTTTATTAATAAAAACCTATTCGGAAATAGCAAAAAACAAAATCACCCAACAATTCTTCAATTTTGCAGAAAAAAATCAACTAGTCGTACAATCGACAACACCGGTATTGCATATCAAATGTAATGTATAAAATATTTATTTTTTTTACAATATAGTGAAAACATATTCACATCATTCAACAAAGAGGATTAGTTATGTCTTCTAATCTAGTTTATTGTCTTCAATATAGTAGGTATTATCCATAGTCTCATATACACTTTTGGGTGAGCATATAAATTTATTTTTATCGAAACTTCTGTATCCTGCGATACAGAGCTGTAACCGAATCCGAATCATCATGGGATTCTTTAAGATAATACAATTTCAACTTTTTTTCCGCATGACACTCGAGCACACCCCATTGTTGATATAGTTTTAGAGCGTTCTTAATGGTATCCACAGAGACGCTTTCACCTAAGAACAACAAAAAAATTAAAAATACATCTTAGGGTGAATATTGTGAGTTCAAAAAAAGTACCATAAAATAAAATGGGAAGTAGTATGGCCCAATATATGCAAAAAAGTCTTAATAAAGGTGTGTCCGCAAATAAGCCGTTTTTGGGCTGTAGAGCAGTAGAAATGATGGCCATTTTAAATGGAAAAGGCCAATATCAAGAGATGTATTGATATTTAAAATTAACGTTCAAACACGTTAATTTTTAGGGGGACACTTATCTATCATAATTGCAGCATTGACACTTCAACCTTCAATTATCGTTAAATTTAGATTAGTTAAACCCTAAAATTAAAAATAAGGAAAATACCAATGGCCGGTTTCATCAACGACAAATAAGATTTAATTCGATGAATAAACTGTCCAATAAAAATAGACAATTTTGTTTCACCAACAATTCGACGATTAAATTGGCATTTAAATTAACCAACGCAATTTGGGCGGTTAAAGTTTTATTTGATGTTTTCTAACCTCAAATAATATTACCTAATTTGTAATATCTAATAAGTGTTTTTCTTATTGCGAATTTTTATTTTAATGTACTGAGATAATACAAATATTATGTACATACCTACATTTTAAATTATTTCAATTATTTATCTATTAGATTTTTAGCATTATCTTCATCATCATCTTCAACATCATCTGATGAAGAATTTCATTATAGACGATCTCCAATTGTTTTAGAAAGAAGAATCGTTATTAAATTTTTCCAAGTAATTTTTGCTGCTTTCTCCTTTTCGATCCATTTCATTCCGCTCTCAAACTCAAACTCCAAATATAATAAAATAACAATATTCATACGTCACAGTGACAAAAACAAAAACAAGATATCGAGATGCGGTTTTCGCGAGCTTATTTAGGCATTATTTAGCTAATTATTCATGGAAAAAAAATCATACCAATGCATTTAATTTTTTTGAGAAAATTAACCATTTCTGTCGGAATGTCGAAAAAAGCGCTCTACTAGCGACACGTGAATCAAACAAAACTTTAAATAAAATAACTTTTGTAGTCCAAGAATAGCTTTTTTCAACTAGCCCAAGTTTGTTCAAATAGGCTCAGCCGTTTCGAAGATACAGGGTGTTTTTTAGGGAAACATTTGAAAAACACTCACTACTCTATTTTTAGAGATACAGCAAAAATTGTTAAATAAAAAAAGGTTCATATTATACTCGACATTGAAGATCTGGAATTTTTTTGTTAGATTAATATAGCGGAATTCATAGAAATATCACTTTTTTAGTTTCAATATTGCAGTTACACCTCCTAGCGGCCATTTGAGAAACTTTAAAATATTTTCCAGATTTTTCTCTTGGCCATTTTAGTACTAACTTTTTTTTACCGCAATCCTCTACGATGCATAGTTTCCCAGATACAGTACCTCGCAATCTTAATTGGCCACCCTGTACAACACTTGGTACTTTTGGTACTTACTTTTTAAAATGGTAAGGGTTGTTACCCCTATTCCTCGCTAATAATATTGGCTTTTCCATTTAAAATAACCACCCTTTCCATTGCTCTACAGCCCAAACGGCTTATTTGCGGACATACAGGGTGTCCCAATAGTGCGGTAAAGCCCATTTACTCAGTTATTATAATAGATACGAAAAAATGATAAATAGGAAAAAATGTTAAGCTCCTTTAGGCGCACAATTTAAAATTATTTCGAAATATACAGGGTGGCCCATAAATCGAAGCCATACCAAACATACCTTTTTTTTTAAAGGCAATGATATATTTTTTTATTTCATATTCGATTTCAGCTCGTATTTACGAGTTTCTCAATATAAGATTTCATATGACTATACTGAGTATTTAAAAAGTTATGGCCATTTTTATGTTCAAATCGACATGATTTCAAGGCCCTGTATATCAGAATCTGTATCAGATAATGTGAATTTTTCTGTGTCTGCACTTTTTGAAAATGGTCTATTTTCACAAAAAATAGTTACATTCTGACAAAATTACAATTTGTATACAGGGTGAGTCAAAATGCAAACATAATAATTACTCGCTTAATTTAAATGGAACACCCTATATTAATAATATCCAATGGGAAGCCTATTTGTTACTGAATCATTTTTCATAACATTTCCCTATACCTAACTGTCACCGTTTCTGAGATATTTTCAGTTTTATTAAAAAATGTCCAGTTTTTAATATTATAATTCCATTTTGTTTCCATTTTTTTTAAATGGGCTTTACCGCACTATTGGGACACCCTGTATGTTTATTAAAACTTGTCCTCATATTTTGCGCCATCCTACTCTTCCCATTTTATTTTGAGACACTCATTTTGAACCCCCGCGCATTTCTATTCTAAAACTTGACTTACCGTATTGAACAGCTCCCGAAGACAATTGCGACCGCAACTCCGACAACACATCATTGATCAGTTCGTTTTCCAACAGCTGCCTTCCCACCAATTTGTCCAACGTAAAGGCCGTTATCGAGTACGTTTCCACCAAAGGCGCAACGGCCGTTTTCAAATACTTCAACACGTCCACCGCCTCTTTGTTCGGATTTAATTTGTAAATTTTCTGCGGCGCTCGATCGTCCTCCGTCTCGTCGTCGTCATCGTCGAATTGCCTCGCCAATCGGCGACTTCTCACGTTCAATTCCGTTTCCTCTTCATCGTCCTACAATCGATCAATCAATTAATTAATTAGAGCTTCTAATGATACAAAATTAGAATCGATTTTTCGGATGCTAGACCCTAGACCAAACTTATAGATGTTTTTCTTGCATTGGCGATTCGGGGAATTGTTTTTACGGGGTGTTGCACCAAACTCGAACTAAACGAAAGTTAATTAAACTAGCGTTTAATTTTAAACTTCGCTATAAGTTCATTAACGTTGCACCATTTATAAATGTAAAGAGGTTAGTTAATCTTTAACTTTTTGGGGTTTTTATTTGGAATATTTAATGTTGGTTACACTTAGTTGTTATTTGAGAAAAAAAGACCACAGAACACAGAATTTAGGTGCTAAGTTCTGTATTCTCAGTTTTCTGTGAAAAAGACATTTTTAAGGTTATTGAGGTTTATTGTTTATTTTCTGTTTATTGTATATTATCAATCATCAGATATTATTTACTTGTGATGGAAATTGAACAAATAAACATAGATTATCAAGATATTTTTGATGATGATTTGGAAATGTTGGAGATAATGAATAAAACCTTTAACCCACCCATCAAATGTTTGGCGGGTAACTTTAAAAATTTAAATAGAAACCCCTATTTTTTATTGAAAATTCGGAATCCTGGCATCAAAATTAGCAAGTTTTGTTCGAAACATTTTTCAAATTTATCAAGAAAAAAGCTAAAATTTCGAAAATTATTTCAAATAGCTCTATAGGGACACAAAAGTAGCTTTATGATGGTCAACTTCCATAAAGAAACAACCTTATGAGAAAATCTACCCCCGACCATATTACAAGAAGATATTCTATTGCTAATTTTCTGTAGAATTAACTGGTTACATACTGTAGTAAAGTCTATTTTCGTTTAAACTGTTCATAAACCATCCATATTTACCGTTTAATCTTAAGCGAAAGTTAACTTTAGTTTATACAGTGAGGACCAAGAGTCCGTCGCCCTCCCTTTTAACTTTTAAATGGTAAGAGCTTTTGTCGCGCAATTTGGGGTGTTTATATTGGAGTAAAAATACTATTTTTGACATAAAAATGACAGTTGAAACTTTCAAAATGACAGTTAGGCGCCATTTTGAATATTTTTTTTTTATGGAAAGAGGGGTCAAGTGACACCTCTTTTTAAAGGTAATTTCATTCTTAAGTCAACCCCCAAATTTAAAAACATTTTAATAACGCGTATTCACGGAAGAATTCTTCTTTTTTTGGTTATATTGAGATAATTACAGTGTTGTCAGCTCTATTTTTCACTAATGACAGCATGTTATTAACAATATGGTTAAGCGTTAAAAATATAACCAACATTGCTAAACTAATCGAAACAGAATAGGAAAATGTATTGGCAATATTGTTATAACTTAAACATATAACAACATGGTTATCATAGCAAGATTCATAACAAGATCCAAACAGAATCGACCTGATTGAGTTATGCATCTATATTGTTTGGTCTATGGATGTTACTCACGACTAAAAATATGCGTTTCCTATAAACTAAATCGTCGACGCGACTCGTCACGACTTGCTCCAAACTTTGGCACGGTTTACAAAACAGGAATTCGTTTTGCAATATATCACAGAGCTCTTGGACGTTTTCGATCAGTTCGTGGTGTACGACGTTACCCGACGATTTGTCTATCGATTCGATCGACACTGCTATCACAGATTCCAGAGCAAAGTGCGTCACCAACGTGTTGCTGTAGTACGATAATTCGATGACGTTCGGTAGCATCGCGATCGGTTTGATCACGTCTTCGTTGTCGTGCCTTTCTTTTCGTATCAATCCGGGACCTAGCATTTCGACCTGTAAATAACGAGGAAAAAATAAGCCTCGTAACGTCCGGGGGTTCACTAAATTAAAGATGATACATGCACTGTGGTGTACAGGGTGTTTTCTGACATAAGTTGTCAAACTTTGGGAGCAAGTAGAGAACTTCAAAATATGACGAAAACTTAAATGTCATTTTATCGAAATGTCATGTTTTTGAAAGAAATCATTTCTACTAGATTTTTAAAGATGATAGTTCAATAATTTTATGTATCAGAATTTTAAAAGTTATTTTTCGTGAAAACTGTACACTTTACGGAAAACCAACAAGTGTGGAAAACAAGTAAATCATAAGAACATAAATAAAGAACAAGAAAATCATCACCTTTCTTATCATATTCTTTAAACAAATCAATTGAAAAGATTAAAACAAAAAAGTTAGGTAAGAAATTTCCCACGAACCCCCCATTTTAACTCACCCCTGGACAATTTTTTTAACCCAAATTTCATCATTTTACCTTTGTTATAAATGAAATTATTAATAAAAATACCTATTCTAGAAACAATTTTTAACACCCTGTATGCTGATAACCAAGGACATTTCGATAGAATGACATTTAAATTTTTGTAATATTTTAAGGTTCTCTACTTGTTTCCAAAGTTTGACCACTTATTTCAGAAACATCCTGTATAACTGTAGCACAATCTGGTACATTTCATAAATTTGGATTTCTTTTATCCACTCGAGTGATTAGTTAGAGCGTTTTCCCACTGTGCAATATATTTGTAAGCAGTGAAAAATATTGTAAAAAAATGCGAGATACAGTGCTTTTCAAGAAAACCGTCCATTAAAGGTTATAGAAGATCATGAAGAGTTAGAAATCTGAAAATTTAGGAGTAGAGAATCAATTAATGTTGTGAGTTTTTCTAAAATATTTTCAACCATATGTGACTTCCGGTTATACCGAAAGTAGATGTCAACTTCGTTATTTTAAACAGAAAGTACCATTTTGAATTAATTTTTGGATTCTTTGGCTCCTTTTAACTGGACTTTGATAATAACACCATATGTCAAAAAGGCACCCTTTGGAGTTATTTAATTTTTTTCGAATTTTTTTGGAAAAACGGTCGATTACATTTTCTATGATACCTCTAGTAATAATGCACTTCGAAGTTTGAAATTTGTTATCGATAATATCCAGACACAGTACTAAATGAAACTAAACTGAGTTTTTATAGTCTATTTACAGGGCGTTTAAAATAACCTGACAAACTTGGCTAACTTAAAGTGGCCATAACTTTGTTATTTCAAATGGATCACCCTGTAATTTTGGCATTGAACTATAGAGATTTTTAAGCCCTTTCAATCTATATAGGTATTTCCTATACCCAAATTCGACACTATGCTTGTACAGGGTGTCCCAATGAAAAGTAGCCCCTTTAATGAGCTTGTAATTTGTAAACGCATAATCGTAAAAACATGCGGTTTTCTCAGATATGTTTTATTTTATTATAAGTTTTGTTACAGTGATACAGAAATTATGTATTACCAACACAGGGTGTTTTATCAAAATCTCCTATTTTAAATACACAGTAACCAATTTTTTTTAAATGGAACACCCTCTATATGTAGAGATATTTTGAAAGATATACTCTTCTACTTTTTAAAAATGTGTTATTTGTACATGTTATTTATGTGAATTTAAAAGAAGTGGATTTTTGAAACACCCTGTACAGACGATACAAAATATTAGTGTCACTGTAACAAAAAGTTATAGGTAAATAGGATATATCTGCGAAAACCGCATGTTTTTTAGGCGTTTAAAAATTATTAGCTCATTAAAGGGGCTACTTTTCATTGGGACACCCTGTATTTTAACTGCAATGCAACATTACAACAATTTATTGCTGCAATATACAGGGTGTTCCTAAGCATCGTGTACATCCGAAAGGGGGGTACGCAAACGCTTCGTTGCTGATATACAGGGTGCTGAAATTTCAAGATTTTTTTTTGTTTTTTTTCTTTGCAGTTTTTGAGAATTAGCTTAAATTAAGTATAGGATATAAGGTCGAATTAGAATTAGAATCTAACAGTGGCGCACAGCAAAAAAGTTCGGGGGAAAATAAGGTTACATGACTTCAGAAAAAATATCACCCTGTAGAATTCAACAACCATCTTATACAGGTTGCTCCATTTTTGATCGCAACATAGGTTATATAGGCCATAGGTGCTATAAAGACAACTTGCATTAGACACTTACAAAGGAAAAGGAAAGAGCGAAATTTGTGTCATTGCAACTTTTCACTCTGACAACTGTTATTTTATTAATCTTTCTTTGTTCAACTCATAGAAATGACCATGTTGCAATCGGAAATGGAGCAAACGATATAGCCAATCCCTGTATGTTCCCTATATAGCAATCTAGATATAAAATTTGAGTTAAATATCTCAAAAATTGCAGGAGCTACAAAGAAAAAACAAAAAAAAATTGAAATTTCAACACCCTGTAAATCGGTAACGAAGCGTTTTCGGACCTATGTTTATATGAACTTTTAGTTATAAAATAGGCCAAGGAATCACCCCCTTTCGGATGTACACGATGTTTAGGAATACCTTATATTGGACCGTGTGAAAACGCTCTTCGAGCACTAAAAGAAATAAATTTGAGACTTTTTGGAGTTACGCACCACAGTGGTATAATAAAATTCGCTAATAAAATTGAAGTAGTAAGAAAACTTACAGCGTAATTGATGACGTCAATCGAATCCCCGGTGAATCCCATATCCTTCCTTGCGTAATCCAATTCCTGTCGTAAATCGTCAACGGCTACAACCAATTTTTCAATGGTCGCGCCCTCTCTAAATTTCGTTAATAACAAATAGGCTAACACGTTAGTGGACATCACAGAGGTAGATTGTGCGCAATCTGGAAAACCGCGAAATGATATTATTCGCTATCAAATCGATAGAAATTCGCTCGAAACTTACCATAAATGATATGTTTCGATATACTTTCCACGAGAGTTTTGTGTTGCTCCGAAACCACGTCTGTACCGTACAAACTAGATGTAGACAAATTCGATGTCAACGGTTTTTTATTGGACAAGCCGTTGGGAATGACGATTTTCCCGTTCACGTTGAACGTTTTCACCAACTCCTACAAACGAACGATATCATATACAACGGTATCAATACATGGTGTCCAAAAAAAAGTTGTAAATAACTTGGGAGCGTATAGATTACATCAAAATAAGGGTACAACTTCATATAAATTTTGTTAATTTGACCTACATTTTTGAGCTAGAAACCTTAAAAGTTGAAAATTTAAAACTTATTTTTACGTTTTATTTCCAAATTATACGTGGGAACAATATAACAATGGACAATCTGTATAAGGCAAACATATTGTATATACATTTTTTAATCGATAAACTAACAAAAATGTACTCTTGTTTGACGTTGGTAAAATTAACGGTTTTAGAGAAATTTTAATTTTTAGATTGAGATGACAGGTAGAGATTTTTGGATAAACAAAAATTCTGGACAAACTCAAGAATTATTTACTATTTGCTAAAAATATTGAAAATGATCAATAGACACGATCTTAGAATTTCTTCAGATTGATTTACCACCTCTTTTAGATGAAATTCCACTAAATCAAGAGATGAATTAATCGACAGAATAATTTTCATTGTGAAATCAAGAAATGCCTTTTAGAGTACAAAGAAATATTCTCCTTATGTTTCATAAGTGTTTTCCATGACAGAATTCCCATATCGAACATTAATTATAATCTTTCGTTAGGCGATTAATAAAAGTTTTTTTTTACATCTTGATTTAAAAATTGAAATATCTCTTAAACCGTTAATTTTATCATGTTACAATTTTGTTAGTTTATTGATTAAAAAATGTATTTACGATGTTTCTCTTATACAGATTGTCCCCATAAAAGTTACGAATTGTTGGGGAACACGCCACCACGCCACCACGCCACCACTGCCTTCCAGGGAGAATTTTTGTTTATCCCAAAAACCTCTACCTGTTAATTTTATCAACTTCAAACAAGAGTACATTTTTGTTAGTTCGTCGATTAAAGAATGTATTTACAAAACGTTTGGCTTATACAGATTGTCCCCATACACTGTCTTCCACAGAGTAGTGTAGGATTAATTTTATCACCAAATTGAGCACACGGGTGTAGGTAATAATCGACAAAAAATTTTATATTGTTCCCATGTATAACTTTGAAATAAAACATAAAAATAAATATAAAATGTTTAACTTTAAAGGCCTTTAGCTCAAAAATGGGTGCTCAAATTAATAAAATTTATATGAAGTTGTACCCTTATTTTGATGTCATCTAAGTATAAGCTCCCAAATTATAGTATAGTAAATAAAAAAAGCAGAAATTTCGATCGTACCCTCAACGAAAACGGTTGATTAAAATCGATCCTCATCATGCCATAGTTGCTGTTTACCACCTTCCATATGCCCCGTACGGCGTTGCCAAACGTTTCCATTTCCTTCGGCTGGCCCAATTGCTCTCTGATAAAGTTCCCGTCCACCAATTTGTCGTAATTAACGCTGACCGGCACCAACAAAGCGTCCTCAATGGTACCTGCAAAGCATTAAAATACAATTATCGCCCTATTTTAAATCGATAACTCGAAAACACACAAACTGTATGGTACTCTTACCCCCGTATTCTGAAGTTTTTTTATAATCAAATGGTTTTGTAACCAACGATTATATATTTCCGATTTTTAAACATGACAAGGATGCTTATTTGAATCTTAAACAACAAAATGAAAGTGAGGTTAGTTTTTTGTAATTTTTCTTCTCCTTCCAAATAAGGTGCCCGCTTCAATATTCTAAATGGATTTAATTGGTTCCAAACAGTTTTAAATGATTCTGGAGTGTATATGGGAGTGTCTGGGGTTCTATATGGTACTGGAGCGTTCTAAATGAGCCTGAAGAGTTCTAAATGATGATGGAGCGTTCTAGATTGTTTTCTAGAAATGCTTCTAGAAGCGTTCTAAATGAGTCTGGTCCGTTCTAAATGGTTCTAAACTATCTAGACAGTTCTAAATGATAATGGAGCGTTCCAGATTATTTTAGACAGTTCGAATTGATTCTGGTGCGTTTAAAATTGTTCTAGATAGTTCTGAATGATTCTAGAACGTTCTAAATGAATCTGAAAGGTTCTAAATTGTTCTAAACCGTTTTAAGTGAATCTGAAAATGAGCCTGGAGAGTTCTAAATGATCATGGAGCGATCTAGATTGTTTTAAGACAGTTCGAAATGATTCTGGAGCGTTCAAAATGGTTCTAAACAGTTTTGAATGATACTGATGCGTTCTAAATGAGTCTGGAGCGTTCTAAATAGCTCTAGATAGTTTTAAATGATTCGGGAGCTTTCTAAATAGTTCTGGAGCGTACTAAATAAGTCTCGAGAGTTTTAAACGATGATGGAGCGTTCTAGATAGTTCGAAATGATTCTGGAGTGTTCTAAATGGTTCTAAATAGTTCTAATGGTTCCGGAGCATTTTTAAGGGCTCTAGCCAGTTCTAGATGATTCTGGAGCGTTCTAAATGGTTCTAAACAGTTCTAATGGTTCCGCAGCATTTTTAAGGGTTCTAGCCAGTTCTAGACGATTCTGGAAGCGTTCTAAATAGCAGAAGAATGACAAAAAACTAACCACACTTTTATCTTATTGTTTGAGATTCAAATAAGCAACGTTTGCCATGTTTAAGATTCGTAAATATATAATCGTTGGTTAGAAAACCATTTGATTATAGTAAACTTCTGAATATATGACACCTTCTTGGGTGTTATATTTCTGTGCTTTATCGTGTGTTAATTACCGTCGATGAAAGCGTCTAAAATGATGCTGAGTATTCCGTATTTCGGCATGCAAGGCTTGCCGGTCCTGGTGCGTCCGCCTTCCAAGAAAAATTCGATATTGTGGCCGGCTTTCAGGCACATGTTCATGTACGTGTGTAAGACGGCCTTGTAAACGTGATCTTTGCGACCCATCACGGGATCCATTCGACGTTTGATGAAAAACGCACCCAAACCGCGGAGCAGAGAACTAAAAAAAACAACAAAATACGAAATAATTACAGTACTTTGTAAAGGACATTCGCGCTCGCTAGGCAATGACGTCACAAGCCAACATGTTGCAACGTTGCCGGGTTGAAATGAAAATCTTGATGTGACAGATATATTTAATTTAAGGTTATGTTTACTTTCTTTGTTTAGAAATTAAAAAGAAGAAATGCATTAGGCTGCAATCCGATTGACGGGATAGGTGTTTATTTGCAACGATTCACAACCCTATAAAACAGAAATATACATTAAAAAAACTATTCGTAAGTTTAACATAACCTATAAATTTCAATGTGCTGAACTATCGAAAATATTGATCGGGAATTAATCGGGAAAAAAGGGCCTACATTGTCCCGTTCCATCCCAAAATTGGTTGAAAAACACCGAAAATCGCGGGCGAAACTGTCGATAAATGTACATAAACCGCACGAAAAACTATCTAGAACGAACGAAAAACACAAAATCTACTCGTAAACTTGAAAAAATACAGGAAAATCGTGCAAAACAGCAAATATTGCGAATGTTGAGACTAATGCATGACAACATCGCCTTCGACGTTCAACTACGCGTCGTTAAATTCCCCTAGTCAAATGGGAGAATTAACATTGACACTAGGGAAATGTTGAACTGCGTGGAAATTAATGCCGTCATTGCATAGCGAGCGCGAATGTCCTTTAGAGGGTAATTATTGTGCGTATTTACCCGAAGAACGGTATTCTCAGGTTATCACCGGCGGCAACGAGAGGCGAGCGAATGTCGTTGTTCAACAAAATAAACGATATCAATATGTAGTCGAGATGGGATCGGTGCAACGGTAGGAATATCAACGGCAAATTGGATTTTCCGGCTCTCTTCAACATGTCCACTTGCCCCGGATGCACCACAACCGATGTCAGAAAACTCGGAAGAAGTTTGTAAAGCACCCAAGAAGTCAATCTAAAACAGAAAAAAGTATTTCTTATTTACAGTATTTTACTACACTAGCACCTTCGGTAATTAACGGCCATTAATATTCACCAATGCCTGTTAAATCGCTAACAGAAAGATAAGTTCTTATCAATCAGTTAACGTCATATTTTGGCATTTACCAATGTCAGTTTAATACATAACAGTCAGATAAAAGCCACAGAGCAAAATCGAAGTAGAAGTAAAAGATCGAAGTAAATCGAAGTTAAAGAAGCAACAGACTGATAACTTTAATCCAAATGTCGAAATTTTCAACGTTTATACGACTATTTAACAGTGACAAACATTTTAATTTTTTACCTAATATAATGTAGCAGTTAAATATAATAAAGTTTCACGAATTGTTCAATTCATCTTCCGAAGATACTGATAAAAATAGATATTAAATAGATAGAAATATTCCGAAATAGAATTTAAAAATTGATTCAAGTTGAAGAAAGATTCAGATGGAATAACCGCTGGATTATAATTATTACAGTTATTTACTTCTTCAAGTATACAAAATTGACATTTAATCTAATTTTGTAATTTATGGTTATTAGTTCCACATAAAGTTAGGAACTATATCGTAATACCAACTTTATATTGGTGATTTTTAAGAAAACTGTCCGTTTACTATCAGTTACTTCAAATATCGTGATGAATGGTGAATAACATCAAATATTGCTAACCGACTGTTAAATTTTATCAGACTGACAGTTATCAGATTAACAAGCCGAAAATGGTGAATATGGAAGTAAACATATCGCAGTAGATAATAAAACCAGTCGAATTGCACAACCTTCGTTTCCCATTACCTCAACAAAAAATCCGATAGAGTCGATCTCATATCGAACAACAATTTCTTCGCGCGCCGCCGATTGTTCTCTAATAGCCGCAGATAAAATTCCTCGTCGCCGTCGTTGTTCGAATCCCGGTATTGTTGTAACGTCGTCTTTTCGACGGCGTCCCTCAGACGGGCGTCTTTCAGCACCAGATCGGCCACTTGGGGGAAATCGAACTTTTTCAATCGGTACACCTGGCGCAAATGGCCCAACGTCCGTTGGAGGAAACCGTTCGTATCGCCGGGCGGACGATGGTCGAGGATGTTCTTCAGCGCTAGCGTTTCCGTCGTCTTGCTCACCAACGAATCCTGCGAGAAGATGGAAATTTATTTGTTCGAACGATATTACCTAACTTGTATAAGGTGCAAAAATTGTATATTCATCGAGATGTTTCTCGAATGAGAATATTTTTGAACATTAATTAAAAGTTTTGACAGTTAAAACTGTCATTGTCATTTTTGACACCCAAAGCTAACTACTTTCGTCCTACAAATGGATGAAAATAACTTAGAAGAGTAATAAACATGTTTCATAATTATGATTATTTCTATAAAATACTGTTTATTTCATTATGTTATTAATTGTTTCAATAATTGTCCGTGCTTTAAATATAGCTGTAAAAAAATTTCTATCATTACAACTGTCAGTTTTGACATCCAAGGCTGACTGCGTCTGTTCCATCGTTTTTGGTACGGTCGTATATTTATAAGGTCTGGAAACTGGACGTATTTGGTATTAGTGGATTTGTCCCGTTAAATGCATATGTTTTTGATAGTTCACTTGGGCACCGCACCGTGGCGAATCGGAGAATCAGCCTATCACAGCCAATCAGCGACGCGCATTACTAACGTTCAAACTTATATGAATTGATAACATTTGTTAGACAATTAAAAATAATTGAACAATAAGCTATGTAAGCAATTATTAGCTTTTCTAACTTATGGCTGCATCTCCAGCAACCAAAATGTTGAATTCAAAAAATATCCTTTACAACATCGCCGCCTACCGGTGGTTTTAGGAACTACGCACTTTCTCGACCTTATGATTTACGACCGTGGTTCAAAGACAGTTATGACAGTTACAACTGCCATTCTATAATTGACATCCAAAGCTAACTACTTTTGTCCTACAAATGAGTGGAAATAACTTACATTTAGTAGTAATAAATGTATTTCAGATTATTTCTCAAAAGATGCTACCTTTATGATTTTATTAAATAATAATTTAATTGATTTCTTGTGTTTAAATTCGCCTTACAAAAACGTCTGTCATTACAACTGTTAGTTTTCACATCCAAGGCCAACTGCGCTTGTTCCATCGTTTTAGGAAAATAAAATGGAATTCATAATAGAATGCATTTAACACAAAGAATCAAAAAAAAAGTGATTAATGGGGCCAAAGGTATTATTTACTATCAATACGAATTGATTAGGTTTTCGCTATTGTTTGTAAAATGCAAATAAACTATTCACAAGTATATAACATCGGCAAGTTCATTTTGAGGAAAATAGACAAAATAAAAATTCGAGGACAGGCAGGGAATCTACATACAAAACGTGGCCTTTGACTTTTCGGATTATTTGTGTCGTATTTACAACAAAGTAAAATGCATTTTAATTAAAGAAGACAGGGCAATAGGAATTTGCGTTTCAGGTATTAAAAAGTTTAACAAACTTATCATTCCGTCCTTTTGTCTTTTCGCTAATTTATTGCGTTGTTAATCCGAGCAACAAAAACATAATAAAATTATCTCTAACAAAGTATTTAATGACACGATTTAAATTTACATTGTACACAAAGCGATGGCGAAATTAAATCCTCACGTAAAATTATCTTATACCTCGAATGGAATAATTTAGGAAATATTAAAAAAAATCTATATTCGTTCATAAATCGTTCGAAAATTGTATATCCCTGCTTATATTTATCTTGATTTCTTCTACTTTCTATCCATACAACTTTATTGTACGAAAATTATTACTGGGCCGTACCTGTCAATGTCATTCAAACGTCAAATTCAATTACAAAAAAATATGGATTTTTTAAGTGAGGTCAATTTACTACTAATCATTATTTACTCGAATATATTAATAACTATTATTCGTCGGGTAAATAGCAAAAGAAAATTATCTTGATTTTGTTTTCTTTTTTTTTATACGTTATTGAACGAATGTTATTAGTGGGCCGTGCCTGTCACTGTCATTCGAACGTCAAATTAAATTACATAAATATGGATTTTTAGTTAAGTCAATTTACTACTAATCATTATTTACTCGAATATATTAATAACTATTATTCGTCAGGTAAATAGCAAATGGAAAAAATATAAAGCATGAATATTAAATATTAAAAACATCATTCGGACGACTCGTTTATTACCTGCGATTCGGAAAAGCGCCGCCAGTTCATGATACCCATTTGGAAAAACTAAAAATAACCGGTCAAAATGCAACAATAATAGTTCAGTTTTAGTCGAAAGCGCCAGAAACCTACAAGTTTTTGGCGACATCTCTCATCGAAATGGAAGATTTACGTTCCAAAAATAACCCCATTTAAACAACATAATGAAAATTAATAAATCGACGAAAACAATCAAAGACATCGGGGAGTTATGAGTTTATGAGCCGTATTTAACGATCATTATTCGAGCTACGCGATTCGTTCCGCATCACAAACGACCACTTCTTTTGATTACTACCATCCTATAAGTACAAAAGGAAGTGCATGTACTCTTTATTTGCGCTCGAAATTGTCGCAACCTTTCATTACAACCAGTAGAAAGTCGACCCATTTTAATGTCCATTCGCGATAAATCGAATAGGTAGTTTAAAAAAAAATTGATAACCCTTGTACGATTCAAATTTATAAAACTTCCGGGGTAAAATTGATCATTTGGCAACATTGCATTTCATTTGAGAGACGTTTAAAAGCTTCAAATGCCAGTTTCCATTGGGAATGTTCGGGGGAAAATAGGCAGTGTTGCCACAAATTTCTCTCGTTATCGCGGGAGTTTATCAGAATGTAATAATTAATAATTTCTACCACAAACTTACTCTGCTGGTGAGCGTGCAATTTTGACAACTGAGTCCCATGAATGGTCGAAGTTTCGGAAATTGAACTTCCGGCGCGTTTTCCTTGATGTGATAGAGCTGGTTTTCTCGGACCTGGAAAATTATTAGAAAGGCATTCGTTATTTAAAGCATTCCTTTAAAAAAAAATTATCGAAATAGCAACGATAACGGTCGAGCAGCATTATTTCGAAAATTCCTTCTCTCTAACCCATTGAAAGTTTATTCAAAATCATCCGATATTCAACGAGCCAATAGCGATAGAAAGAAAGGTTACGAATAATGCGCCGTTAATAAAATAAAATATCAAAACAAAAACGAATGGAATATAAATCGTTAATGTAACGACTTCCATAATCAGCTAACATAACGAATATAATAAAAACAATATACACAATCATCCAGTCTGACAAAACTGATAACCGAAAAGTAATTCAACCAAATCGTTAGTTTAGTTAATTAAAGTTTATGTTGCCTTTCGAGTCTTCAATACATCCGTTTCAAGCGACCCAAATTCCCATTACTTTGCGAAAAAAAAAAATAAAAATAAAAAATAAAACGTACCGTAACATCGGCCTCTCTCATCAACCCTTTACTGAACTTCTGGTCCTTGGAGAACCTCTTCAGGGTGGTCAGCGTCGCCAACGACTCGGTTTCGTGGTTGTTCGACGGGGAGAATCTGTTGTAGGTGTCGAACACCCTGTTGGTGACGATGTCCACCATTTTGTTCACCCTGAAAGAGAACAGAACGAACAGTTTCTTCAGCATCATCATGTAGATCAGCATTTTTTTTTTCAATCAGGCCGAAAGAAGCGTCAAAGAAACGTCAAATTTAAAGCGAGCGCGATTTGTTTGATCGGTGTCAATTTGACAATTTAATACCGGTAAAATTAAAAAATAACTAGTTTGATTTTTTTTTGGGGGCGAGCAAAATAATTGGTTTTTTTTGAACATGCAAAACTTACCGTCGTAGAAATACAAAAATGTAAGTCACCTGCAATATCAAGAGTAATTGCAGAGAGCCGTAGAATGTGTTTAAAATCTCGTAATTTTTGAAAAACGCGAGCGACCCCGCCATGGCGGCTAAATTAACGGATACTACTAATACTGATAGTATTTTACTGGGTACAGTGCGTATCGCTCGTCCTCATAATAACCTTTAGCACCGAATTAACAATATAAAGTAATTGAATATCGTGGATAAAGGTTAAGATTCCGCGTTCAACTAAAGTTCGACGGCGTTTAAATTTCATTTCGATATTCAGAAAATCACCATAATATATCAATATGTAATTAAAACCGAGTGATTTAGATTAATAATTGCATAATACCCCACCGTGGTCAATTATCAATTTACATATCATGTACTCATGCATGGGCCGTGAACTTTTTTCGATTGATACGAAATTTTTGTAAATTTGCCAATTCGCAGACTGATTTATCAATTGGCATTATCGGTTAATTGTTTTGAATCGAACTTATCAGGATTTTATTAACTTGTAATACCGTCGTATGATAATTTATTTCCAATACATTGTACGAAAGAAATATAGAATTCTTTGACTAGTAACGCAAAAATTCAGCAATCGTAAATGAAATGCCAATACCATGCGATCGAATGTAATACAATACCCACGTATTCAAAGCGCAAACGGTACTTACAAGAATTTAATAGTACTCAAGGTTTACCAAGGAATAGCTCGTTGAATATTAAATGTGCCCACCTTAACAATCCTAATTCGAATAATATGTTAGTTAGTACCTACAAAAATCAGAAAATGCCCGGGCGATTATCGCCCGGCGAAACTGCCGCAATGCATAAACATTTCATTAATTGGCGCTATCAATAGAACTAGCGTTGGAAAATTTAATGAAATTTACAGCTGTAGAAATATTCAAAACAAAAAAATGACAGAGAAATATCGCAACTTCCACAACGATAATTAGATAATAAATAAATAATAAAATAATCGTGAAAAAAAAAATAGTATAATAACTAAAACGTTATGAATTAATTTTCTGTATGATTAATATTGCATATTTAGCATGATTTCGAAACGAAGATGAATAGACCTCTTTAAAAATAAGTCTAATTAAAATTGTACGCTTCCACATCGAAATTAATTTATTACAGGTACACTAAAGAACATTTTTCATCGACTGAAAAATAATCAACAAATGTGTTGTTTATATGATTGTTAATTGAAACTAAAGCTAACAATCTTACCGTGTAAAACCACCAGAAAACAATCCTGGAAAGGCCCAATACAAGAATCCCAAGAAAATCGCCAATTCCAACATAGACTCCACAGTCCAGATGAAAATACCACTCGAAATCATCGCGTGGAATTCGGCAAATCAACCCATAAATGCGCGAAAGAAACCCCAAAATCCGACGACCGTCCGCGCCAAATAAACTCACCCTCTTATTCCTAAACTTCGAGGTATTTAAATACAACGTACAAAAGAAAACTTTTTTTGTACTTTTAGCAGACGATATAGAACAGGATGCGAAGGGTAGATTAAATTTAGTAACTCGACGAACAAAACGAAGCGAATGACTGGTGGACTGCTTGAATAGCTTGAACCGTGAGGTGACGGTGACTCGCAAACGGGCGTAGAATTTTTGATGTAAACGATCTCTGTGTTGTTAAAGTTAACTATAGACTATAGCATTGGAGTACAGGCGGTCGCCTTGCAATGCCACACGTTGCCTGATGCATTCATCAAACCGATGGAATCGAAAGAAAAACGAACGACCCGAACGGCTCATTCGCCGGTAATCCGCTCTTTGTTTCTGCGAAATAATTATTACCAGGGACGTATTGATTGCAATTTGCCCGGCTTTAATATACAAATGGTGTGTTAATGTCAAATGTAACACCCTGTGGAAGTTTGGATGATATGTAGGTATGAATTAAAAATTAAATAGCTAATGTCCGGTTTCACCAAAACGACAAATAAGACTTTATTCTGTGAATAAATTTAACTGTCCAGTAAAAATACACAATTTTGTTTCGCCAACAACAAATAGCGTTTTCGACGATTTAATTGGCGTTTAAATTAACCAACGAAATTTGGACAGTTAAAGTTTTATTTGATGTTTTCTAACCTCAAATAACATTAATTTGTAATCTCAAGTGTTTTTCTGATTGCGAATTTTTATTTTTATTTGTTGGTTGTATTTTTAGTTTGTTTGAGAATAATAGATGACAGGTAAAAGATAATACAAATATTATGTACTTTTTAAGTTATTTCAAAATAATTTATCTATTAAGTTTTTAGCATTATCTTCAACATCATCTGATGAAGATTTTCATTATACACGACCTCGAATTGTTTTAGAAAGAAGGATCGTTATTAAATTTTCCTTCTCCTCTTCCAAGTTATTTTTGCTTCTTTTCCTTTTTCAATCCATTTCAAATTGTTTAAACTGTTAAATATCTAACTAAAGATTAAAAGTATTGGTGAAACGTCAAAATATTTAACTGGAGTTTAAAACTTATTCATCGAATAACTATTTATAGATTTATTTTTCATTGATGAAACCAGACATAATAAGGAGATTCACCACACAATTCTTCGTTTTTTTGTTCATTATTAGAGTGTAACAATCCAACAATCTATTGACCTTTATTATGCATATTATACATTTCACAATTAAGTTTGATTACTAAATAATATTGCTGAAACAAGAAAATTTGCGTTTTTCAAAGAACCGATTTCGCGCAAATACAATTTTTGTAGGTACACTTTTGATTGAACATCACACCATCTTAATTCCTTATAGCGAATTTTGAATTGAGACGTTTCATTTACGGTCACAAAAGCCTTCTTTTAAGTGGCAATTTAATTTAATTCGGAATTATTAGTAGTAATAACGTCTCCCGCATGCATTGTAAAGTAAACTGGACGAGCAATTGGTCTAGCACATACTATAAGCTATTTGATATTTCTAAAATTTGAGGGGAAAATGAACATTGAAATAATGTTGGAAAAATAGATTATTAACCTAAACCGGTTCTGAAGAAACCCGAGCGAAGCAAAATTAACTCAAATAATTCGCGTGTATCTAATTTTTCCGTCTCGACTGTTGCACGACAAGCCCTTTACATTACATATCTTTATGTCTGAAAAAAATGTCATGAAATATCCAATAAGTAGCTGGAATAATTTTTTGCTGTCGTCAAATTATAGTCATTCAACTGTCTATTTTAATTCTTTTAATATTCGAAAATAGTTTTAAGTGGTTTACTAAATAGTTTCATTGAAGTTGTTATTTCAAAGCAATTTTTTGTGTTTTGAAAAATTCGTAGCAAACTCTAATAATACATATTATAACCATTTTAAATTAAATGCAGTCGTTTTATTATGAACATTTTTTAACTCTACAGGTAAATTAACCTGTAACCTAAATTCTTATGTTATTATATAATTCGTAATTATTTTTATCTACAGTTATTAACGCTCTAATGTTAACTACATAAAATAAAATAAATGGACAACAGATACAAAAAAAACTGCAGTAAGAAACTACAATCTTACCAGCATGCATAAAATAGGTTAGAACACATGCAATATTAACATTTAAATGAATATATAAGGTAAATAAAGTGCTCTTACCTCTATATAACGGCCACTAGACGGTAATACGCAGGTTTTATTACATAAAACTAATGCAAACACAAATAAATCTCAAATTAGAAACATAAACAAAACCGAGTAACTTCGAAACGAAACAGAGGTTAGTATTAATTGATTTTTTAGTACCTAATCAATTACTGATTTCTTAAAATATTATTCACTTTGTTATATTAACCGGTTTTTATGATAAATTCAAATTTACTTCATATTTTTTACAAATTTAACAAAATAAAATCAAACTACTAAGTGAAACGTCAAATAAATGTCAAAGTCACAAGATATTCTTCTCTTCTTTTTTCTAATTATACATTAGACTTTTACAGACTATTACGTACAGTTACTAATAAATTCAAGCATAAGTCTACTGATGTCGCTGTTAAAAAACTTTGAAAATTTCTCATTATAAAAAAGATTTCACAGCAATATTTTAAAATTTTATTTTAAAATGCATTTCGATACAAAGGAAATTCAAATAAAAATTGATATATATTACAAATATTCAGATGACGAGATTTTGTATAATAAATAACAAGATAAAAAAAATAAATAAAACTTAAAAGAATTAATTAACTATATTTTTGCAATAATTGGGCTAATAAATAAAACGTATCAGCAAAAAATTAATAATCATAGTTGAAAGGTAAACGAAGAAATCTATATTTAAAAAATTCCTTTCTGCGCTTATTTTTCAACTACACAAGTGCAATACAAATTTTATATTTTAAACTAAACAATCCATTGGATGAAAAATTTTCAATATGAAAGTGATTTTGTTACCTAATACTTTATAAATACCTACGCTAATCAATAGTAAATCTATTATAATCATTTGACTAGAAAATTAATATATTGAACAAATATTATATTAGTTCAGTTCATTATATCAAGTGTTTCATCAAAATTTTAATCAATCGAGGAATTTTTGGATTATTTCCGCAAGCATGAACGAATGAACAATATTTTTTCAAAGGCCCAGATAGATTATGACACGTTTGAATAATCTTCTGCAAAACAAACAAGGCACGATTACGATTCATTTGAAGAAGAAAAAAATTATTATTCACTAGGCTCTCTAAAACAACTAATTTTCAAGCTTAGCTATTTTCCTGGTAAATCGTTAACAATAAAATAGTGAGAGGCTGAAGCGTCAGATTTTAATCGTGTGCTGTTCCAATTGCAGAAATCGAATCAATAATAAATATGGATTACAAATAACAAGTTATCACAATTTCATTTACCTGTTAAATTCCCTCAAAAAAAAGTCAACATTTTAACATTTAACAAGTAATGAATCCGACGATCATTCTGTAACGACACAAAAACATTTATATACACTTAATATACATCAACGTATAATAGATAAAATGGAACTTTAATTAATTTAGACATATTAAATAAATACACTAAACTAATTACGCTTAAAAGACTCGAGAATGCGAAACTCCGACTAAATTAAAAACCAAAAAAAAAACCATCAAAATCTCCAACAAAACTCGACAATCCATCCTCCGCAAATTTCCATCCTCCTCGTAAAAAAACACGCCGTTTCGATAAAAAAATGTTAACACGTACCTCCTTTCGTACGGACCAAACGAATGATGAACCACAAACGAACCGAAACGTTCGCCCGCTTATTTTATGGGAAACTCGGGCCAATAGTTGATGCGGAACCGTTGGGTGGTGCCTTCGAACAAACGATCCAACCAATTTGAGAACCCGTTCAAGAGGGCGCCCTGAAACTGCACCCCGTCATCGGACTCCGAGCTGTCCGAATCGAAACCGATGAAGGCCCCGCTTTCGCAATCCACCTCAGAAAGCGGCAAAGGCTCCACCGGCTCCTTAATCTAAAATAACAAATTAAATGAAATGAACAAATGAAATAATTTGGTATTTTTGAAGTTTAACTTTTCATATGTTTTTTATACACCCTGTATAAAATAAAAAGTTTTTTAACATAGATTCAAATACCTTTGACCTTGCTAGTGGCCACCCTACAGATACCGCATCCATATCTTTAAAGGGATCCCCGTAAAAAAATAATTTATAAGGGTTTGCATCGGTCAAAATTTTCAAAAAAAATTAGTAACTCAAAAAGTATGCATTTTTGAAAAAAGTTTTTTAGACAAAAGCACTCTAAAATTTTTCGTACATTTCGAAAATATATTAATATATGGGGTATCCCATTTAAAATAACAAAGTTGATGTCCACTTCCGGTATAACCGGAAGTAAAGAAAAGTTGAAAATATTTTCATTGAATAGAGCGCATCGACTAATACTTGTACACAAATTTTCAAATTTTAATTACAACTACTTTTCCAAATACTTCTAATGGGCCCTCGTCGTGACACACACTGTATATAGCCAATACTTCAGGATGTGAATATTAGGATGATTTTAAGAAGAAAACTTTATATCAATATACAGTATATCTAAAAAAGTTGGCTACATATGGGAAACTTTTTATTTGTAATGTTACGAAAAAAAGTTATTCTTTATAAAAAGTTCTGCATGGCCAATAAAGTAAAACGCAAATGTCAGATGCCAATTATTTAAATCGTATACGATGTGTGTCAAAAAAATATGAATTTGATACAAGAGTAAAATACCTTTATTTTTACCAATATCGAAAACTTTAATTATTAAAAGTTGTTTGAAATAGAAAACTATGTTTTAATATGCATTTTTGCTACTTCTTAAAGTGCAATTACCAACGTTTTCAATTTTGGTTACATTAGTTACAGTTACATTTCAATTTCGATACACACTAACTAGATAGAAAGTATTATTTATTACTCATAAGCTTTTACTAGACTGACTTTCGGAGAAATGTCGTTGTCAGAGCCACCTAGATTTTAAATTATTTCGTTTATTTTTGTGTATTACCGTTGAAAATACATTATTCTGTTGGTTAATATTACTTATTTAAGTTTATTGCTAAAATATTTCAAAACAACAAATGAACATTTGAGGTGTATTGACTTGTTAAATAAGATAAAAGTTGACGTGGTCCACAACTAAAATTTGCAAAATTTAAGTTGAAATGATTGTGGTCAAAATATTCCTATTAATCTTTTGCAATTTGTGGACACACTGTACATCTAATGTCAAATGTAAATACCCAAATATTAAAAGCAAAGATTTTAATAAAGAATAACTTTTCTTCGTAAAACATACAATAAAAGTTTCCCATATGTTGCCAACTTTTTCAGACATACTGTCTAAAAAACTTCTTAGTTTTCATAATTTCATCATACTTTTCTCCTTACTTTCTTATTACTAATGAACCATTTAAAATACAATACCAAATTTAGTCATTTAATGAGCATTATTGAGCAATTAATTTCTATTAATTTGTAAATTTTAGGCTCCCCCACTCGTCCCTACTGTGGCTCCGATAACATTGAAATATGTAATTACCTTTTTCTTCTTTTCAGTATGCTTGAAATGGTATATGCAATAATATTTCCTATGGCCGTTTATGGATAACACGGTGCCGACGCAATTCCTAGGATTAATGTTAAACTCCTTTTTGAAGGGCAAAGAGAGCTGCAACACCTCCTTGTACCACTTAAGGCCCCTTTCGACGTACATGTAGGCGAACATCAGAGTTTTGTTCCTTAAAAAAAAAGGAATAATAAAAATGTCGAATCGATCGATCGTAGAATTGGCGAGAAATTACTTTCTGTAAGGCCAAACGGCCTTGTGAAAAGGCGGTATGAGTTGTTGTCTGGATTCCATATCCAATATCAACACTATAGTTCTGCAGCCAGGTTTCAACAACCTCACTAGCGCGTTGAACGTTTCCGATCGGAATTCGTGAATTTGCAGTTCGGGTTGATATTTCGAATTAATGCCGTTGTTGTTGTTGTTGCTGCTTTTCGCCTTTTGTTTTTGAATGTTTTCTTCTTCTATACGACTAAAAAAAGGCCATTAATAATTGTTGATACGCCAAAGAATGGTAAGTACATACACTAAATAAGCCATGAAATATCCTATGCCTACTATAAACAATATTGTTCCCAAGATTGAAAGGATCGCTAATATTTGATCAGTGGTCATGCCGTCGTAAGTTTTCTCGACGAATTGGAATACTTTCACGTAAAGCCTGCCCAAGATGCCTTTGTCGTTTTCATCGATTAAATCCTGCAATCGCATAATGAATATTCATAAACAATTCCAATTTCCAAACTAACCTTTACGAACGCCTCGTTCGGCAACGATTCGCTGGATTTCATTAACCTATTTAGGACTTTTCCTAAAGCTGAGGTAGTTTCAGTGAAATTTTTACCGGTGTTCCATTTGCCCGGCAGCCATTCGTACATCACTTGCGAAGCGTCCCTCCTCCAAATTATCACGATTTTCAACAACGGTTGGATTATTTCCCCTTCTACGCAAACATTTTCATTATTAACTACCCGCAGATTTATCAATTTTAATTCCAAACTTACTCGGCACCAACGAATCGACGAATTCCTTCTGTTTGTCGTAGTAGATGTAAACGAAACGCGCCTTCTCCGCTTTGTAAGGGGATTGTTGCAGGAAATTCTTGTAAGAATCCCTGTATGGATGATAAACCGAAGGCGAGGATAGCACCAAAACGACGCACAACTTTTTCTTCAGCTTATTCCATTCCTCGGGACACAACGATTCCAAAATTTCCTGCAAAATCAAAAATATTCGCCATTTTAAGTACAAAATAACTGTTATTTTGTAACGTTATTTACAACATCTCTATACCAAGACATTAACTCCCAACTCTAATATAATTGACGTACTGTCACAATGACATAACGATTCTAATTTCATGGAACATCAAAAAGATTTTCTATTTGTATTTTTTTGTTAAATTCTTACAACTGAATTTGAATAATAACAGTTGTCTTGTAAAGTTATTTACAATATTTCTGTACTAAGAAATTAACTTCCAACTCTCCAATAATTGTCGTAATGTCACTATTGACAGTTGCTAAATAACTAACTTCACAGTAACTAACCTGTGAAGACAGCCTGGGTAATATAAGGTAATTATTGGCCGAAATGACTTGGTGCAAAGTAGGCGTAGGGATGTCTTTCATCGAAACGCTCGCCATAGGATACGATGTGTTTTCGTTAAACAGCAAAACCGTATCCATGTCGTGGGGCACTTGATATTTAACTTTAAGTTCGTGCGAATCTACAAATCTGGAATAAACAGGCTAGTTATAGGAATACGAAATGGGATATTAAATGGTGTATACATACCCGAAAGCTACAGTGTGTCTAAAATAATAAGCCGTGATTAAATATCTCAATCTAATCGTATTCATCGGCTGGAATACGAGACCCCTAATTCTATTGTCTTCCCAGCCGTTTAAAAATTGTTCTACGTTACCCTCGTTTACGGCAGTCACCATTTTATAGGGAAGTTTGTTCCTCACGAATTCTGTAACATTGACACATATAAAATATGGTAATTAGTATTAACTAATTTTAAACGAACCTATAATTCTCTGTATGCTAGTTACGGTTTCTTTATAAACAAATATGTCTCCGTCGAGTAAAAGCACCAAGCAGGGTATGCTGTGAATGCTTAACCTCTTACCCAATTTGGGTTCTCTCGTCGAATGTACTGTAACGAAATTAACTCCTAACGGTTCGAGATAATCTATCAATTTCCTGCAATACGGCGCAGTTTGTATACATTGGAAACACCAATCCGTGTAAAAGAAGATCAAGTAAGGCGCCCTCCTGCTTTTCGGTAAAATTGTTTTATCGTATTGTCTGAAAAACAATCGTTAATTACAAGTTTGCAATTAAACGAATAAATCTGTAATACTTGCCTCGTGGTAATGGAGAGTTTGTGGAAAAACGTAATGTCGTTCATTTGGAAATTGAAATGGGCCCCGTGCTGGGCGAAAAGGTCTTCGAATGGGTGATTAGTGTGAAGGGGGGCGAAACTCGGTTTGTTGTAGAAATCATCCTCTGTAATGCCATAGTTGTCGTACCTCCGTCTTTTCTCTGGATCAGACACTATTTCGTAGGCTTGTTTTATTTCCACGAATCTTTCTTCGGCATTCGGATCGTTAGATTTGTCAGGGTGCCTTTAACGTGTACAAGTTTTTTTTTTTACGAGTCGATTGAGAGCAACGATGATAACTTACCATTCTTTAACTAGCTGCTTGTAAGCCTTCCTTATTTCTTGTTGCGAAGCCCTTTTGTGTATGCCTAATATTTTGTAAGGGTTATCTAATGCGGCAGTTGCACCCCACAAGGCGCAGAGCACTATACTGACGTGATAGATCCAAATGTGGGCCCCCCATTTCATTTTCACGTCGTTCGGATATTCATCTAACGGCTTACTCAGAGGAAACGGTCGACACTTGGAAAAATCATCGGTAATTTCGAGTACAGATAAAATATTGATTTTTCGCAAGAGAAAATGTGTGTCAACTGTCAAATTGTATTTTTATCCCAGCTCTTGCTCTTGCCCTGTCTCGTCTCCCATACACCCTCATGACAAATATAGGGACTCACCGGGATAATTCTATTTATTTTTAGCTCTGATAAACACTTGAATTGAGTCACTGCTGAAATGTATTTACCAACATTGATATTATGTTCGTTAAAATAGTGTTTATTTTTAAATTATTATTCATATTTATTTACTAATGTAACTGAATACATGACATATAAAAGATCGGAAAATTTTAAGAGAAGAAAAGTTTTGACAGCTGACAGAAACTGAATCTTCTTCGTTTATTAAAAATTTAGTGTATACAGGTTGTCCCAGAACCACAGACTACATACGGAATCTCCGATAGAATGCGTCTGAACTAGCGCCGAAATTGTGTTGCTCGTAATTATCCGCCGTTCCTAAAAATTCTAAATTAAAATTGTTGCAATTAAACAATCGATAAATACAATTGTTGTATTGAAATTTGATGGAAATCTTCGAGTCGAATCTTCATTGACTTAAGCTGTTCAGATAACAAAGATAGCCCTTTTTTAGAAACCCATTATACTAAGAGCACGAGCGTGCGATAACCCAAATCAAATACAACAGGGGGTAAATATTCACTTAAGGTACTCCTCATGGATCGTGCTGAAAGTTTTAGGGAAGGTAGAACCCGTGACTATAGAACTAATGTTTGAATTTTCCGGGGCAAAGCTCTAGTTTTCGAGAAAAAAAATATTGAAACTTGCTCTATTTTACGTTGCGCCCACTTTTCCAAAATTCCTACGCCGCGCCGGTGGCGACTCGAAAAATTTAAATTATGTTGCGTTAATTTTCAACCCGTTAACTAATTTGAAATTCACAAATTTGTATGTTTTTAAATATATTTTTTAAAATGAAACGTTTTTGTCGTTAATTTATTTGTAAAAGTAATTATTTTCGATATTTTCCAATTTCTTGTAAAACTTGTACAATTTATTATACTATACTTGCCGCGTTTGGAAGACGGAGTAATAAAAATGTCAGGCGGTTCCAAAATATCCCTACCCCTGTACGGCAAAATCCTGTACAATGATCGATTCGATCGATAGAAATTTCGCACATCGCCTACAATTACTCAAAACCATTCACAGAGTATCAACTTTTAGGCTGGCCAATGGGGAGTGAGTGATAACGGCGACTCGTTTACACCCCGAGTGGACTTCGGCTGATTAATGTGTTTATTACTCCGTCTTCCAAACGCGCCAAGTATATGTATCTATATTTAATAATTATATAAAATTCTTGTACATTTTATACAATTAATATTATAATAGTATAATAAATTGTAACAAGTTTTACAAGAAATTGGATAATATGAACAAAAGAAAAAAATAAAATAGAAAACCAGTACTACACGACTGCATGCACACTATCCCCTTTTTACTATGCAACTTAGTAAATTTTGTACCCTAGAACTTTGCTGTAAGTTTATTTAATTCCAATAGAAAAATTTACAAGGATTCTAAAAATAATAATTAAAAATGCCAAATTGCGACACACTGTGTATTTTTAATTACCTATTATATATACACATTATTTAAATTTAATTAATTAATTTATTAATTAAAAAACGTCATAATAAATATTATTAAGCTAATTTTAATTAATAATAATAAACTTAATTATTTCGCTGATGTACAAAGTGGTTCTTCATTCGACTACAATAAGAAAATACATAAGATATAAAAACTTGATAAAATTTCAATAAAAAAAAATCAACCAACATCTGTACAAGTTAATCTTAGAAGAAAAAACATTAACCGAGTCTGTATGTACAAAAAAAGGGAAAATAAAAGCCTTTTTTTATTAATTTTTTCGTCTTAAATAAAGAGTAGCATTACTAAAAAATCGTCTTTTTTTTGAGAAATCTTTTTTGTTTTTTTTTATATTCGTATTAAACTCTCAGTTTTGCACCGTCAAATATTTTTTATCGCACAATGAAATTTTATATTTAAATATGAAAAAATATTTTACCACTCTAAAAGAGGCTATGCAATTACTGCAGTGAAAAAATCTTACGAACGACAAGATAATACAACGATAGTATTAAAACGTACATACAATGGTGTATTTAATAAGGTCTATTAAATCCCCACCAGGATTTTAAAGACATTGATAATTATAATCATTATGACACTATACATTAGTGTAGTCAATGAATACACTATAAGTGTATTTTTGGATATACAAAGGGTATTTGTGAAGGCATTTTGTACTTTATGTAGAAGTATTCATCATTAACAAATAATCAGAAAGGCTAGCATGAGAGAAAAAAAACCAATTGTCATTAAATATCTTGTCGTTACATAAAAGACTTGTACATTCCGACGTGCCGACGTTATTTTCCCCGCTAAAACCATCCGAACGGATGCGCCGTCATCAACCTAATTCTTAACTTTCGCGTTATTATTACTACCTAAACTTTGGTTGTTGTTGTTGTTATTGTTGTTGTTCTGGTGTTTCAGGTCTTCGCTCTTCACGAAATCGATCTCGGCGTAGACGAACGTCGGACTGGCGGCGCTCGCCGTCGAGGCGTTACCGCCGCCTGGACTTCGACTTTCGTCGTCCGCCATCGCCAAATCCAAACTGGCGTAATGCAATTTCTTATCGACGCCCTCCGTCGATGACGGATCGCTGTTCACCGAATTCGGCCTCGACATCTTCGCCGCCGGCGAAACGCATTCGCTATTCGACGACGCCGCCACGGCCGGTTCGAATTCCGCGTAATCCATCGAATCCTCTACAACATAATGTCATTTAATTAAACCACATCACCAACAAGTCATTCATAACCAGTGATGTTAAAATTACTTTATAATATGTAATTAATTACAATTACAATTACTTTTGGCAAATTGTAATTAATTGCAATTACAATTACAAAATTTGCGAATGTAATTACAATTACAATTAAAGTTACAATTACAATTACTTTGCTTTGGTGTCAGTTTTAAATAATTATTTAGGGATTTGCAATCGAAATTAAACTTTCCACGTATTGAAAATATAAAATAAGTACTTTTGTGTCCAATGTAATTGAAATGTAATTGTAAAATGTAATTGTAAAATGTAATTGTAATTGTAACGAAAGGAGTAATTGAATTACAAATGAATTACAATTGAGTAGCTTGTAATTAATTACCGCCTCAATTACAATAAAAGTAATTCAATTACTTTTTCAATTACTTGTAATTAATTACTTAACAACACTGTTCATAACATATACAGGGTGGCACATTAGTATGGAAAAGCTCAATATATCTATTATTATAGAAGATATCAAAAAAACTTCATTACAAAAGTTGTAGATCTTTTTAAGTTGCATATTTTAAAATTAGTTACATCTATATAAAGTGTCCCGTTTTTCCGTAGTAGATCAAACTTGTTTTTTTTTTTAAAGGGAACACCCTGTTTTTTATTTAAAAATTAAATTTAGCTCGTTTTCAGCTTTCCAAAAATATAATTTTGTATAACGTTATACTGAGTTGTTTAAAAGTTACGACCACTTTTCCACGAAAATCGTACTAAGTTTACCACTCTGTAGAAACTAAATGGATTGAATTGAAAATAAATTTTAAATTTAACAACATTGCAAATATCCTGAAAATGTACAAATTGAATTTTTTTTGTCAATTTTAATCATACTGCTTGCAGGATGGATCCAAACGCAAAAGTAATATTTTCTACGTTATTTTAAATGGATTATTTTAAATCGTTAAAGTATTTTTGAAGTATACTTTCAGTCTTAATAACTATTCCCTTTACCTAAAGTTAAAACTTTTCGAAATATTGCAATTAAAAAAAAACTAGAACGGAAAATTGAAGAAAAAAAAATTAAAAGGCCATGGGTTTATCAATTTTAGTTTGCAATGTGTGTTATTATAGGCTATATGGGTGCGATAAAGACAACTTTTATTAGACACTTATAAAGGAAAAGGAAAGAGTGACATTGTGTCATTACAACTTTTCACCCTGACAACTGTCATTTTAATAATCTTTCTTTGTTCCACTCATAGAAATGACCATGTCGCAATCGGAAATGGAACAAGGTGAAATATCTATGATTTAAACATAGACCTATTAACTATGGACGCGGTTTAAACAAAGAGGTAGTGTTGTCGAGGAATGAGAGAGATGCAGCTAGTTTGGGCATATGGTAATGAGAGATTGGACAATGCATTAGCCAATAGTAAGAAAGCAAAAGACCACGTGAGTTACGTTTGCAGATATGCAAGGTAGCTGGGGTAGAGGAGGGTAGCATATGGTAGAATAGGGTTGAGGAGTGCAGCAGAGGGTATTGTGATTTATTATTTTTTTGCCGAGCAAAATGCATTTTTCAGCTGAGCCTAAATTCCCACGCATTTGCAGATACAGTTCTTATTTTGTATTGTTAATTGGATCATCCTACCTATTAGCCAGTACAGATTTCGCAATTTAAGACCTAACTGCTTTCTCTTGTAAAAAATATGTTTCTTCCTGGTCATTCTTCTGTCCAAGTGGATACCAAGATAAAAACAATATTTAAATATTAAGCGTATAAATAATTTAACAGATTAATAGCCTTTTTTCATGCACCCTGTATATATATTTTTTTGGTCCCGCCTACTTTTAGCCCAAACTAGCTCCATCTCTCACGGACCTCTCTCTCTATCATTGGGAACGCTGAATAACCTCAAAATACCGATTGTGCCGCGTCCATACTTAATAGGTCTATGGATTTAAACCACCGCATACGCATCGTAGGCTCGTACTCACCGTCCTTTACGTTCACCGGCGTCGGCGTCGGCGTCGCCGCGTCCTCATCGATCGGTCGAAAATCGAGCCCTATCGACGACAAAGGCCCGATCAGAGGCGACGTATCCAAACTACCGCCGCCACGACCGTCTAGTATCCTCGAACCGGGCTGCATCACCGCGTAATCGTCGTTATACGAATCCTTCTTCCGTTCCTCCTTCGACCGATCGACCGTCTCGACGCCGACCATCGGCGCGTAATTCACGTAATCCAAATTCTCCTTCTCCTTGTCGCCGTCCATGCGGTGGCGAAACGACGCGAAATCGATCATCGCGTAGTCGCCGGTCGACGATGGCGAATTCCCCGACGGCGGCGATTTCGCCCGGTACGAAGACAGCGGACGCTTGCCGGCGTCCGGCGTCGATCGCAAAGGCGACGCCATCGGATGGGCGGAGGGCGAGCCGCCGGTGGGCGTCGTCGCCGTAGCGGAGTCTCGGGATCGTTGGCGCGGCAGGCTCGACCACGACGTGAGCGACAGGTGTTTGGGCGGCGTGCCCGACGACGATTTCCTGCCCAACAGGGAGGATATTGATATGGGACTGGATGAGTGCTTGATCACCTGAAAATTACATAGACCGTTGGATATTTTATTTCGCATAATAGGGAAATCAATGTTAAATTCTTAGCCGGCTGATATCCAGTCTAACCAGTGTACATTTCAATAGAACGTCGCGATCGATTCTAATAAATTTAATTGTTCTACTGGACTTCACACCGCGATTTGTAGAGGTACAATGTTATTTGTGTTAAGTATGAGGTACAAAATTATTTAGATACTAAATTTAATATTTTTTTGAGGATATTTCAAAAAAATATGTGTATCGGTAGGTACAGTTTTGAAAGAGCAACAAATCTTGTTGAAATAAGGGAAAAAATAATTCAATTTTCTGCTAGAATTATACCTCAGCTCAGTAATATGAGATGACATCTGTATGACAGGTTTGGCTATTGTTTGGCAGAAAGCGGTGGACTATTTTTTAGAGTTCTTTTATTTTCTGTTTTAAAATTATCTTTATTATAGTTTATTTTTGAAATTTCCTTTTTATTATTTTATTAGAATTTACTAATTCTATAATTCTATTTTAATATTCTTTGGCTTATTTTATGACTAAAAGTTCATATAAACGTGGGTCCGCAAACGCTTCGTTACCGATCTACTGCTAGGTGTTAAAATATCAAGATTTTTTTGTTTCTTTTTTAGAGCTTTTGAAGTTTTTGAGATATTTAGCACAAATTAGATATAGAATATAGGGTATAGAGTATAATTTGAGTAGGAGGTGGTCACCTCCAGCATAGGAGGTGGTCACCTCCAAGAAAATTAAATTTTTATTTTAGAATCTATCAGCGGCGCACTGCAAAAAAGTTTCGGGGACAAAAAAGGATACATGACTCCTGAAAAAATATTACCCTGTAGAATTCACCAACCATTTGACATATTCAATAATGTGTGCCCTATAAATCAATCTACATTCAAAAATTGATGAGCTAAATATCTCAAAAAATTGAATTTTTAACACTGTATCAATTTAAATTTACATATTTTTTTATTTAAGACTTTTATTTATTAAAAAAACCACCCCGTATATCAATTTTTCTGATTTCCTTAATGAAAAAACACCCCGTACGTCAAATTAAATGTCAACTTTGACAGTTTAGTTTGTTTTGCGAAATAATTTGCGCAAATAATTTGATCGTTTCTCGGTTTTTGATAAGTACAATTGACCAAGAAACATATTTTTGCGAATTATTGCAATTTCTTTTATTCTCGTCCATTTTAAAAGCGACAAAATTGTCTCTATAATGAAAAAAATATCACATTTCGGTGTAGTTCCGTTCAAACCAAACGAACGGACAACGTCCGTCAAATAATTTATTTATTTACAAATCTGTCAAAAAATTTACTTTTAAATTTGATTTACGGCAAAAAACGAATTTAGCTGGCGAAAAGAGGCCGATTTTCGTAATCTGCGAATTTTTTTACGTCCCCCTATGTACTTCTATATGCCTCAGAAAAGCGTTTTTAATTTATGTCGCCAATCAGCCGCTCTAACTCTATTCGATCTTTATACAGGGTGTCCCAAAATTCCGTGTACATAGAGCTACTGTGTGTTGGTGGGATAAAAATAAGTCGATTGAGCCAAAATTACCTACATCCAAAGTACATCGTATGCCTGTGAGGGAGCCTTAAAGTTAAAAGAAAATTTTCAAAAATTTCTAATAACTCAATAACGCTTCGTTCGATTTTCATAAAATTTGGTATGTAGCTATTTTAATTGAAGAGCCATTGTTCAAAGCAAAAATTACAAAAAGTAAAAACCCTATAAGGGTAAAAATCATAAACGACATCGTATTTATCTTGAGCGCCGCTCCTGATCTCATTTTTTTTATGAAAAAGCTGTATTCATTTGGAACATTTTTTGTCTGTTGCTAAAAAACCTCCAACTCTCATGGTATTTGAGTAACAAAAAAATATGCACTGATGGTTAGCGATTTCAAATTTTCAATAAAACTAAGTTGGCGGTTATAACTATCCCAACCCGAGCACTGTCGATTTGAACGTTATTACAACAAAAAAATTCATCAATAGGCATAATTATCTACTGAACAATAACAATTTAAAGTGAAGCATTTTTCTAACAATAAATGTTCGATATTGCTACCTCCTTCTTATTTTGGGACACCCTGTATATATGGGATATAATCAAGGGTTGCGTTTTTTTATTCAAGTTGCATGGATCCGCTGTAGCGATAGAGGCTTTTACCGTTTTTTTAATGCTTTAAGATGGCTTTAAGTATAAACCTTAGAATGACACTTGTTTTATCTAGCTGCAGCGTGAATTTATAACATGTAACCGTTAAGAATGAAAAAAAAAGCGGCCAAGAAGAAGCTCGCGAATATACCTGCGAAGCGGGATTCGTCTGGTGTATGGAAATGGGCGTCGAGGCGGACGTCTTGGCGCCCTTCTTCTTCGAACCCACCGACATGTTGACGTAGTCCTCGTTGGAGGAGGCCGCGCCGTCCAAACTGCCCTGCTTCTGGTGTCTCCCGCCCGCCGACATCTCCACGTAGTCTTCGGGCGTCTTCGGCTGTTGTTGTTGTTGTTGTTGTTGCTGTTGCTGAGGCGGATTGTATCGCTCCGATGGCGAGAAGTTCATCGATAGATAATCGGCGTTGCGAGGCGACGAAGACGGTTGCGAGGAGGAACTGAAGGAGGAATTCCGTTCGTAAGGATGCGACGATGGACCGCATTCGAAGTAGTCGGCGTTGTGGCGGGGCGAAGTCGACGGTTTCGGCTTGTGTTTTCTACAAATAACATATCATAGAAATCATACAGTGCATTTTTCTAAAATTTTCAAATGGCAAAATGCATGAAGAGAACAAATTGAAAATTATGGGTACCTGTTTTACGTTTCTAAACGGCGAACTATACTGCTCCACAAAAGTTAAGGAAGTTCTTCAAATATTGAGATTAATTTAAAAATTGCAGGTTTTTTGATCGCCAAATTTAGTACGAGTTGTAGAGGTAGGGGCAAAAAATCCACTCGGATGTGAGAGGAAACATTTACTTTCGCATATTTGAAAATTTGGTGATCAAAAAGTCTGTAACTTTTAAAATAATCGCAAAATTTGCGAACTCCCTAACTTTTGTGGAGCAGTTTATTTAGAGACTCACTATAATTAATTATCAAATTCCTTTATCATTTGAAATATACAGTGCATTTCTTTAATGTCCCCCCCCTTTTATTTTTTGAACGGATCAACTTAGAAAATTGAAATTTAGGATAACAAAACTAATGCATGATTACTATATTTTTGGAGTAAACTTGACAGATGAAAATTGCAAGATGGCGACAGGGCGCCATATTGAGAAACAAATTTAAATGGAAAGGGGGGTCTTTTGACACATCATTTTGAAGCTCCTGACAATTACTGAACAACCCTGGAATATAAATTCAATATCTGCGCCCATTAAAAAATGGCGGAACATTTAACAATTACCTGAATACAAACAAATTAATATCAATTTTTCTAGAAATATTTGTTTTTCTATGCCAAATAGCAATCCTAACAAACCGATAAGGTTTGACAGGTTATTTTTGATTAAAAAAAATTCCAAAAAATTTAAGTACGACAACGAACATTAATTGTTTAGTCAAAATATTCTCATTTAGTTTTCGATTTTCCTAGTGTTCAAAATATTCTCTTTAGTTTTCGATTTTCCTAGTGTTCAAAGTATTTTCATTTAGTTTTCGGTTGTTTAGTTCTCATTGCAGTTAGGTAGCACGTGAACTAACTCTAAAATGGCCAATTCTCGTCCATTGGAAAATGGAGCACCACCACATTACTCCAGACAAGTAATGAACTATTTGGATGCTATTTTCCCTGGTCGTTGGATTGGTCGTCGAGGTCCTACGGAATGGCCAGCCCGCTCGCCAGATTTGACACCTTTAGATTTTTTATGGGGTTATTTGAAGCAAAAAGTGTACGAAACTGAACCTGCTTCAATATTCAATACACGAGAAATAATTACAGATATTTGTAGAAACATCGACGTTACTATGTTCGAAAATGTTCGAATAGGCTGTTCTTATATCAAGAAGTTCAAGGCAACCATTTCGAGCATTTTTTGAACTGAACTCAGCTTATTTCCTCAAATTATGACATTAAACGTCGATGTATTCAGGTAATTATTAAATGTCCGCCATTTTGTAGCAGGTGCAGATATTGAATTTATATTCCAGGGTTGTAGAGTATTTGTCAGGAGCTTCAAAATGATATATCACAAGACCCCCCTTTCCATTTAAATTTATTTCCCAAGATGGCGCCAAATCGCCACACAATAACGGGACACTTTTTCGATCTATGTTTCCAGACCTTAGAAATATACGGCCGTGGTCCAATGAAATGTCTTTATAGCAACCATAGCCTATATAACCTATATTCCAAACTAAAATTCATCGACCAATCGCTCATTCATTAGTAATGTAAATATATTCGAGCAACCCATAGAAAATAATAAAATAAAAAATTAGAAAGCCTACCTGGAATCCATATCCATGTAATTGTTATTAGTAGACGTAGAAGAACTAGACGACAATTTGTACTGTCTACTGATATCGACGAACGACGTGCACTCGTCTTGTCGCGACGAAGGCGAACTTCCGCCCATTTCCATATAAGAGGAACCGGACATATCGACGTACGGCGAAACTTCCGGTTTCTTCGGCAACACTTCGACGCCCGGCTTCATTTTAACGTAGCCGTTATTAGCGGAAGACGAACCGTCTGTCGTTGTTGTTGACGCTAAAAATAAATTGTCGTTTTCATGTTAATATAGTCCATTTGAAAATACAGTCGGTGCAAAACAAATATCGATGCACGTTACCTATAATTTACTACGTCACAAGTAGACAGTGTTGTCGAACTTTTATAAAGTTTACAAAATCTAAGAATTTTCTAAAATTTTCAAATGGCAAAATGCATGACGAGAACAAATTGAAAATTATGGGTACCTGTTTTACGTTTCTAAACGGCGAACTATACTGCTCCACAAAAGTTAAGGAAGTTCACAAATATTGAGATTAATTTAAAAATTGCAGGTTTTTTGATCGCCAAATTTAGTACGAGTTGTAGAGGTAGGGGCAAAAAATCCACTCGGATATGAGAGGAAACATTTAATTTCGCATATTTGAAAATTTGGTGATCAAAAAGTCTGTAACTTTTAAAATAATCGCAAAATTTGCGAACTTCCCTAACTTTTGTGGAGCAGTTTATTTAGAGACTCACTATAATTAATTATCAAATTGCTTTATCATTTGAAATATATTTCAGTGCGAGTAAAAAATTTAATGTATAATTGACCCTTAAAAAATTAGTACATTAGTCTCAGGAAATTTCTGAGAAAACTTCTGAATCTGAATTGTTTAGAGCTCAAATTGTGTCATTTCTAGCATGTGGAAAAGATAAGATCTTAGAAAAGATCTGTCTTTCTTGCTCTTTTGCGCATCCGACTCGATTTCTAACTGCCAACCTGATTATGTCAAGTTATAGTTGTTTAATAATTTACTGTCATACAGGGTGTTTCTGAAATAAGTGGTCAAACTTTAGGAGCAAGTGTAGAGAACCTCAAAATATGACGAAAATTTAAATGTCATTTTATCGAAATATCAAGTTTTTGAAAGAATTCGTTCCTAGAATTTTAAAGATGACAATATATAGTTTAAAAATTTTGTGTATTAGAATTTTAAATGTCATTTTTCGTGTTCACTTTACGGAAAATCAACAAGTATACCATTAAAAGAACCTTTAAAGAAAAGTTTAAAATAAAAAGTTAGGTTAGAATTACTCCACGAACCTCCCATTTTAACCCACCCCTGGACAACTTTTTTTTAACCCGATTAAATAGCGCCGTGAGATATTTCATTTACTTAGTATGTGTACGAAATTTCATCATTTTACCTTTACTATTAATGAAATTATTAATAAAATAGCTCTAGGAGATAACTAACTACCTACCAAGGACTAACCAAGGACATTTCGATAAAATGACATTTAAGTTTTTGTCATATTTTAAGGTTCTCTACTTGCTCCCAAAGTTTGACCACCTATTTCACAAACATCCTGTATTTTCCCATCTTGTAGATCTTAACTCTCAACGAGAACGACACTGATAACTCAATTTCGAATCGTCTCGTCAAGTTATGACGCCTATCTACTAGAATTTATTCGGCACAATTAAGGCTAGAGTTACTATGCCTGCGAATTCTGACGAAAATTTGTTCTGACGAACAAACGTCCGAATTCGTACGAGGTTTTTGTCGTTGTCAGTGTAAACACTCTCATTAGAAACTATACTTCATCCATCCAACCAATGGAGTAACTAAAACAAGGTTAGACGCTGGATCAACGCGTGATCACCAGTGATTAGCCAGCGTAAGGAGGCTTTTTTATTTTAACCAATAGATGCAAATGTGCATGGTAATCACGCGTCTAACCTTGTTTTGGTTACTCCGTTGGTTGGATGGATGAAGTATAGAAGTTTGTTATTTCAGACGATTCGTCAGAACAAATTTTCGTCAAAATTCGCACGCCCAGCAACCGTAACCTAACAGAGATGTTACGCTTACATTCGCCGCCGTGATTCGAAAAGTCCATCACCAAAAAATCGTCATTGGGATCGAAGGAACTGTGCGAACCGTAACTCCTCGCGTTGCTCAACAACAACGGCGCGCTGATCGACTTCAAATTCTTGTGCTGTTGATAGCCCAACATCATCGACATCATCCTGCCCGTCACCCGTTTGTTCTTCGCGCCGACGCTGCACGATCGATCTCTCGACCCGTCGTCGTCGCCGGCGCCGCCGCCGCCGCCGCCTCCACCGCCGCCGCCCGTCTGCTGTTTCCTCGCCTTGAACGCGTCCGGCTTCGTGCCCACCGAATACGTTCTCGTCGGCCTGGCGGCGGCGTCGTCGTCGGACGTCAAATACGAGACGATCTTGTCGAGCGGAAACTCCGAGAAGCGGGCGTCGGTGCTCGGCGTGCCCGACACCACGCTCCCCGTCGGCGAGGAGCGCGTCGCGACGCCGCCGCGCCGCCCGCCCGGCGACATGTCGACGTAGCCGTCGTCCGAGTTGCGCTCCTCCTCGACGATGGCGTCGTCGGAGCAGCCGGCGTTGTAGTGGCCCGACGGTTCGAGTTCGGCCTCGTCGGCGAGGCTGTACGATGAGCCGGCCGAATCGGTGGAACAGCCGACGCTGGCCGGGCTCATCGGCGCGCAACATTGGCCGGTGGGCGAGCCTTCGGGTATGTCGCGGCGTTGCGGCCAAAACGGCCGCCAGGAGGCGCCCTCGCTGGCGGTGCGCGAGCGCGACGACGGCATGCTGTCGCAACGTTCTATGCCTGTTGCGGGAAGAAAAAACGTCGAAAATTAGTTTAATCGATTGCAAAGGAAAAATTGTACAAGTTAAATTCAGCTAAGTTGAATACACCACGTGTTTTTTCGCGCACAACATCATAAAAGAGGCTGGGCTCAGCCGATGTTTTCGATGCAAATAACAAATAATGAATTACAAATAAACCCCGACTCGACCTTCGCTGTTATCGGGTATACTGTGGATGGTTCGCAGGTCATACTTTTGGGGTAAAACCACGCCTATCTCTTTAGTTTCGTCTGTGCGCATTTTTACAGCTGTATTCAGCAGAGCTGAATTTTACTATAATGATTTAAAGACAAATTCAGCAGAATTGAATACAGCTGTAAAAATGCGCACAGACAAACCTACAAGTTCAGCTTCAAATCGATATAAAGCGACTCGTGTAGATATAATAGATGATATAGAGGAAGAAATTAGTGTGGTAGATGTTCCTATGCAACGTCAAATTCGAATAAGAACTAATTTTTTTTGAAACACTCTCGGATAAAGAATTTTTTAAAAGGTTTCGTCTGCAAAAAACAACGTCTCTACAATTATTTAAATTTGTCCAAAATTTAATTATAAATGTACTAATTTCTAGGTTACAGAATATGTTAACACCACAACTTCTTCTTCTTTCGATCTTTTTTCACTGGCCCCAACAACTAATAGGTGTATTTTTAACGTTGCCAGTTGTTATTTAAATTAAAATGGATCGTAGGTAAAATAGCCTTTTTTGAACATTGTGCAACATATTCCAATCTTAAGTAGATCACACATTTAAGTAAGACTTAGATAAAATATAACCTACAGTTCAGTTTCAAATCGATATAAAGTGACTCATCCGTCAATGTTATGAAAAATGGTGCAGGAGTCATGTCAAATATCAACGGCGCGGTATGAGTATTAAAATGTACTCATAAATAGCATTAAATTCAAATAAAGGTGGAGGAAAAGATGTGGAATCTCGATGGTACAATTGAGACTACTTTAGAACCTATTGTAATTAATCTCAATGAATCTGAAAGTGAAGATTTAGATTTTGATGATTCGCTAGATGAGAATGCCGACTACTCGTAATTCACATGTTAATCGACCTAACTTTTTTAAATGGCCCTTTACAGGGCCACCGATTTGCTCATAGAATAGAAACACTGAAATTGCTAATTGAACAACAAAATAAGCTCTTTTTAGAGTATATTAAATTTATACTATATATGATCTATTTATGAGTATATTAAATATTCATACCGCGTCGCTGATATTTGAATTTGACATGACTCCTGCACCATTTTTCATAACATTGACGGATGAGTCACTTTATATCGATTTGAAACTGAACTTGTAGAGAGATAGGCGTGGTTTTACCCCAAAAGTATGAACGTCGGTTCGGGGGTTATTTATATTAGATTTCTTCCTACAAAAAGTCACTGATTTGTTACCAATATGTTTCTGACTCTTCTATTTCGCATGCGCGGTTTATGATTGAATGGTGTAATCAAATTTCCGTTTTCTTGATGTAACAGTCTTAACATTTTTTACAACATAACCTAATAATTAACCTATATTCGTATCTAAATCTCTGTACTATCAGCAAATTTTTCTGACTATCACAAAACCAGTCCCTTGAACTGTTGGAACAATAAATTGTTAACCAAATCAGAATCAGAGATGTCTGTGGAGTTTGTTGGAACACCTAAATTATGACTGTTACAATTATGACTATTACAATATAACTTATTACATCGTATATCGGAGGTAACTGTGTTGTTTTAGGTACTCGAAAATGCGGTAAAATACGAAGATTCGTTTATAATGTTGTACCATAAAAAACACGTGGTATATTCAACTTAGCTGAATTTGTCTTTATAACAAGCAGTGGGTCAGTCGCTTTGGAAAATTGCTTAATTACAGCCGTTACGTATTATGTACAAAATTAACCAATAAAAAAAAGCATACATTACAAAGTAAAAGCGAAACTTTTTAAACGAATTAAGAACATTCGAAATGTTAAATACTTATTTACACACATTACGATTCATGTACAGGGTGTTGATTAATTGAGTGCCTTCAGGATGTGAATATTTGGATGATTTTAAGAAGAAAAGTTTATATCAATGTATGTCCTAAACCTCTTAAGTTTTCGAGCTACAGGGTGTTACAGTTTAAAAAAAATGACTTTTCTATCATATTTTCTTATTACTCCAGATATTTTCATGAAATGTACGACACACCATTTTCGCGTAAAAAAATTAATACTAAAACAATTTTTTCCCAATTTCATTGAGACTGCTTTTGATATTTTTTTTGAAATTTGGTAGGGTAGGGTAGGGTAGGGTAGGAAAATTATGATAGAAAAGTTATTTTTTTCTAAAACTGTAACACCCTGTATCTCGAAAACTAAGAGGTTTAGGACATACACCTTGTTCCATTTCCGATTGCAACATGGTCATTTCTATGAGTGGAACAAAGAAAGATTATTAAAATAACAGTTGTCAGAGTGAAAAGTTGTAATGACACAAATGTCACTCTTTCCTTTTCCTGTATAAGTGTCTAATGGAAGTTGTATTTATCGCACCCATGGTGTATATAAACTATGTTGCGATAAAAAATGGAGCAACCTGTATATTGATATAAACTTTTCTTCTTAAAATCACCTAATATTCACAATCCTAAAATATTCACATCCTGAAGTATCGGAACTCAATTAATTAACACCCCGTATATCTCAGTGAAATACTCCATTCCAAAAGAAAAGACAAAAAAAGCTCTTCGATAACAACACTAATTGGGAAAACCGTATTACAACTACAAAAATTATTATCAAAACGAATTACAACAACCATTTCGAATGTCTCCCTTCGAAAACAAACTAAACGAGAGATAGAGAAGAAAATAAATAAATAAATAAATAAATAAATAAATAAAATAAAATCAGTGTAAAGCCACACACGAAATTAGACAAATTGTATACAAGCTCTCCTTATCTCGACATTATTTTTGTCCGAAAATACGTACACTTGCAAGTCGCATTCGACCTCGTTTTATTGACATTTACATTGACGTTTGACGTCGCCGTCGTCGTGGTAACGACGTGGGTGCGCGCGGGAGGATGAAAGGGGGCGTAATCGTCCCCAGCGACGTTACAATTCGCCTGAATTATCGGCGATGGGTGATCGGTGAGAGGCAATGATTGGGTGCGTTGGTGGCTGATTGTCGTTCCAGGATTACCAGATGGAATCCCACCTGTTATCAACAAGAAAAGGCGATTTTTTTGTTGTTGTTGTTGTAAAAACCGGTCTAATAACGAGCGGGAATTTGTTATGGTGTGGTCGAGGATGAATGTGAGGTGTTAAAATAACGATGAACGTATCATTAGGTGGATCATGTCACCTGGTAAATTACAATTAATTTCAATTTAATTGGAGGAGTCGGGGAATTTTTTGTTTATCTTTACGCATTTGCTGTAAAGCACGACCCCATATTTCTAAGGTATGGAAACATAAATCGAAAAAGTGTCCCGTTATTTGAGGATAAAACAGGGTTCCTAAAACGGCCGCTAGGAGGCGATGTTGTAAAGGACCACGGTTTTTTGCTTACGAATTATATAGAATTAGCATTAAGAAAGGTTTTATTCAAACCAAAAATAGATACAAAATATAAAAAAATACTTAAATCAGCGATGATGTTGTTAACATCATGCCTCACGTATCTTCGGTTAATGTATTTCTCCATTTTCTCTTCGAAATGTCAAATAATAATTTTTGAAGTTTTGACAGTTTGAACTGTCGTCTGACAACCGCGATTTATATGTAACGCGACGCTGATTGGCTGAGATAATTTGGTCCTCCGATCGTTCGCCACGTTGCGGCGCAAAAGTGAAGCTTAAAAAGTCTCCAAATCACGGGACACATCCTCTAATACACAAGCATAGGCTGTTTCCAGACCTTTGAAATATACGACCGTGCAATAAAGTAAGTTTTGAATTCAATCTTTCTTCTTGAATGTTGCCCGTATTTTAACCACGCAAATTTCATCCATTTTTCGATTATCCGATGGGTATTACATACTCACAAAATGCGAGCATTAAAAAAATTAATCAAAAGTATTAACAAGAACATTAAGGGCACATAAACAGAGCATTATGTTAAACAGAAAATTAGACGTTCTACAATATTAAAAGACATAACTATACACCTCGTTTTGTAAAGACACACATGTACAATCAATCGCCCGCTTTTTAACAAGCTCACGTAAATCCTGCGATTATTATTCGTATAAAAAAAAGATAGAATTTTCCTTGCCTTGAGACGCGTTGCCAACGCAGGCGTTAGAAATCGGACAAAAGCTCGTTTTCGTCGCTATTTGCTTTCTATTGTTCGCCGTTTTCGAAGTTTCCGAAGAAGACCTCGTGCGCATCTCGTCGTGTTTGCTGTTGGTCGACATCGCACTGAAAATAAAATGCAATTAAAAATGAATGACGACGATTAAACGAATGGAGAGGAATACGATGCGAGATATACGGGTTTTCACCGGATATATGAATAGAAATAAGTCATTAGAACTCAAAACAGTTTGCAGTTGCTGAAAATATTCAATATTTTAGGAAATATAGCTCTTTGAAATTTAAAATTTTGACTCGTGACGTGTAAAGTCACAAAACGAACGAGTTATATTGTATCATTAGTGGTATAAGAATTAGAACGAAATGTTCAGAAGAATAGAAGAAACGAACAAAAGTGAAATATAACATTAAATGACAGATGACGTATCTAGGTTTATGTTATTGAATTTTCTTTGTTTTAAGTTTCTTGGGCCAAATAAAATAAAAATACAATGAAGAATTTTCACAAAACGGCATGAAACAAGTTTTAACTACCTTCGGATGGGACAAATTGTATAAGTTAATTTAGTTGGAGGTTAAGTTTTTGTTTTTACTAATTTGAAAAGTTTAAAAAGTCGAAAAGTACACATTCGATGTTGCCATTTTTACTAACAATAATTTAAAATTTAAGAATTTACAGTACTTCTTAAATATAGGACTACAATATTATTTAACAATTTAAAGTTCGCTCTATATTTTTTGAATAAATCATAAATGTATCAAGAACTACAAAAATTAAATTATAGCATAGGCATACAAACAAACGCCTTTTTTTCAGAGTAAGAAGATACTTGACAACGTCGCTAACAACGATCTTTACCACCAATTTTTAATGTGATTGGTTAATGACTTGTGACGTATTTCAAACTTTAAAAATTAATTGTGACCTTAATAGGAAACGGAAAAAAATAAAAATTTCATCAATAATTTCAAAAAAATTGCGTAGTTTTATAAAAAAGTCGTACTCCTCTCCATTAAGGGATACATCAGATTGTTATAAAACGATTCTTTCTCGTCAATGTCGAATAAAACACCGGAATAGCGGATGAATTAGACTCAAGGATCGTTTCGTTTCACTCGTGTTAGCCATAATGCAGCTCATTCATATGCAATTTATTATTGTATTTCGATTGGGCAATCCTCGATAGTTTTTTGATAACCTTGACTCGTGCATCAGATGGAATTGTATTGATTTGTAAACGATACGAAACCTCAAAAACTTACTGGAAAATAGTAGTGTGGATATTTTGAGCTATGGTGGCATCCTCGGATTCCATCCATAATTCACCGGCGCCCAGCAAACTGGATCTTCCGTTCTAAAAAAAAGAAATCGATAAGAAAAATTAATTTCAACCACTTATAAGGATTAGATATTCAAATTACCTCTAGGAAAAAGTAGTTTCTTAAGCTGCCGCAACTCCGTATGTTCGACAAATTCAAATTCAAAATGGAATTGTTGCAGTCTTTCTTCACCAAACACAACGTTTTGTCCGTCAAACACAACCTGTAGTTGCCCGTTCGGCCCGTTCCGAGGCCTTTATTTAGAATTGTCACTTGCCACACGTGCTCTGGAAAATGAGAAGGAAATTATTAAGAGATTAAATTTACTATATAGTAAATCAAAATTTTATCCAAAATCTTCATTTCCTTATACATATACAAATAAGTGCAAATTAGTACGCAATATGGTATCTGTACAAGTGCAACAAAGACAACTTCATTAGCCTCATATAAAGGAAAAAAGAAAGATAGATATGGTGGGGACATTGTAACTTTCTCATTCTAATTACTGTTATTTTAATAATCTTTGTTCAAATTATAGAATTGACCATATTGCAAACAAACCTGCACTTACCCATATGTTCTGACCACGGTCGTATAATATCAACAGGTCTGGAAACTCCTGTGTAAAAAGGTGTTGAGGATGTGACTCTCGACAGAGGGAGCTAGTATCGGGTAGTGCTGTTTAATCGTACGCATATAACGCCAATTTTACTTCATGCCACTATTTTGCATTCCAAATATCATTTTTATTTAATTTACGACAATTTTAATTTTTAAACCTTTGATCCAAAGTCACAATAAGTGCAACACGATAACTACCACAAAATAAGGGGAGTTTCCAGACCTTATAAATATACGGCCGTTGTTCCGACAATTTTTGACAGTTATGTCATATCTACTCAACGTAACTGTCGTATCAAATGTCAAATTAATTACAAGAAACGCTAATGTCAAATGTTGAGTATAATATGAGAATATTCGAGAAATGCTTTCAGAAGACACAAATAAAATCATCGAATTTATCCTTAGAGAAATGTTATCCAATACATATCATCTTTGTCTCTCCTATTAACTCGTATATTCCTATTTTTCTCTTTCTATTTTTATTAATAGCACGCCATGGCTGTCAATTGAATGTCAATGTTAAATCCCGCCGTTGCCAAATCTCGCGTTTATCAGCCAAAAACCCGATACGGCTTCGATAACGCTAAAAATGTCCCCGGCGACTCGGGAACGGGCAACGGGATACTATCTCCCGATTTTTCGCCAATGGGGAAAAACCGCAGAGCGTCTCTATTTCGCCAACTCGATTAGCCGAACCGTCTAGTCTAGACGCCCACCGTTCGACTTGCCAACGAGACGACGCCTCCTTCCTCGCCCCGCTACGACGCGTCGCGTCGCAACGCTCCACACGTGAAAATGTAGGTCGGGTCGCGCGTTCCCTTCCCCGTTTCGCATTTAGAAAACGCATCTTTCGACGTCCGTTCGCAATTACATACGCTTAAATAATACGACGGGCGCCCATATGGACGTCTATTACCCTAGCATAACCATTTCATAAGCCGGCGTCCAAAACTACACAGTATTTTGTTGCTAATTTGTTGCTAATTTGTGCCGCAAGAATCGATTTTATTGCTCAAATAGTTCTTTCAAAAAAGCGGTTATGCTAGCGTAATACCGGGTGTCCCAGAAGTTTCTGACCCATTTTAACTGCAAATATATCGGAACTCAGAAAAGATAGGGAGGTGCGGTTTTCAAAGAACAATTTCTTTTTATATAAAGTTTTTTTCAGTATAAATGTTTCATTAGTAAAATCTTATATAGGGTGTTTTAAAAAATTGGTGTTTTTTAAATCAAAAAATCGCCGATTTTTTTAATGGAACACCCTATATATTTTTATTCTATCTGAAAGATGAACTCTTTCCCTTTAAAAAAATGTATAATTTGTTGAAGTTTTGAAGAAAAATGAGTGAGTTATTTGATTTTTTAGTATAGGCTGTTATGTAGGCATCTACGGGTTTCAATGTAAAAGTAGGCTTTGAAATTTTTATAAATTCAACAAACTGACACAACGAACTGTCAAAGTAATTCATTGCGATTTGTTTTCGACTTATTTTCAATAATGGTGCGATTTTGTTCACGTGAAAAATCAAAAACTGTGTTATTATATGCTAATGAAATGAAATGTTGCGAAATTCTTTTCAGAACTTTTCATTCAGGTTACAAAAATTAGCAACAAATTAGCAACAAATTAGCAACAAATTAGCAACAAAATACTGTGTAGTTTTGGACGCCGGCTTATGAAATGGTTAAGCTAGGGTAATAGACGTCCCATATGGATCTTATCTGCGGCATATCGGTTGGTTTTTTTAACGCGTTCGCCGCCACTGCGGACGAATAGAGTGCGTCGTAATTGGGATAGAGTAAATTTTAGGGCGATTATTTTTTTTCGAACATCTACCCGTAGCGACCGATTGTCGATTCATCGACGCTCCCTTGTAAATTTGTCATTTTTTTTTTCATTTTATCGAAATAAAAGATATTTAAAAGTAAATAAGTGGTCGGCTAAGCGAGGCGAATTTAATGAGGATGTTTACGAGAGAAACGTTCGTAAACAACTCCCAATATTACTTATATTAGTCATTAAAATGAAATTGTTTTCGTCATTGTGCTTGTTTTCTTTCGTCGTCGGGTGGCGGGGAATTGAATTTTCTAGGAAAAATGAAAAAAAAAACAGCTTTTATGCAATCGACAATTGTCGAGAAAATGGACAGATGGAAATTATAAAGAAACGTTTTTTTTTCCGTTTCTCGATATTTACATACCACATTACATAGAAACGTAACGCAATGTGTTTGTATTATTTCTCAAATAAAATTTAATTCAACTATGTTATTATTTTTTCTATCTATTTCGAGCAATGATCTCAACAATACGATCCGTTAAAATACTATTTGAACTGTTACGATCGGTTAACAAAAGTAAGTACTTAATGCAATGTAATTTTTTTTGTGTCGTACCCAACAAAAAAAAAACCAAGATTATTTCGTTTATTATTATTTACACATTTTCATTATCGTGTTATTCAAACAAGTAGCTGTGATTTCGATGTTTTTTTCGTTATTTAAAAACTGATTACGACTCCCATAAGCGTTAGTTAGTTGGTCGTAAATAAATGGAAAAAAATAAAAACAATTTGATATCTTTTTATTTCCATTATTCGGGAGTTATGTAGTGGAAATATTTGTTGCAAGCGTGTATTTTAATTGGGTAAAGAGGTCGTAATTTTCTCGAATATCTTCTACATTATGGAATTTTTAGGTTGATAGAAAATAATTTTTGCTGAATTCAGTGCATATTCTACGCTTAGTATTTTTTGGGTGACACTGTATTTAAATTTATAAAGGCATTTATTTTAATCGTAATTACTTTCAAATTTAACGAATAATAGACAGTTTGTCTACTGTAGTTGGAACCGTATGGAAACATTTTTATTATTAGATTCAGGAAATAAGTTATTCTCAATAAAAATAAATTCCGTGTAAAACCTAAATAAATTGTAAATGTCACATTTACCTTTTTGGAATTCTGCATCATTTGATTATTCAATGAAATTTTCCAAAAATCAAACTTAATATACCACCCTATGGTACAATTCAGTTTACAATGGTCATTTCTGCGAGTTGAACAAAGAAGATTATTAAAATGACAGTTGTTAGAGTGAAAAGTTGCGATAACACAAACGTCACTCTTTTTTTTCCTTTATAAGTGTCTAATGGAAATTGTCTTTATCGCACCCATGGCCTATGGTATACCCTATGGTCCATTTCTATGTGTTGAACAAAGAAAAGATTATTAAAATGACAGTTGTCAGAGTGAAAAGTTGCAATGAGACAATATCACTTTTTCTTTTTTCTTTTATATGTGTCTAATGAAAGTTGTCTTTATCGCACCCATATAGCCTATAATAACCCACATTACAAACTAAAATGGATCAACCTGTGTAGTTTATTAAATACAGTACAGTATTAAAATTAATTGTGAGACACCTTGTATATTTTCTTGGATGAAATACGAATCAGCAACTTTTTTGGGAGACATCCTGTATACAACGTCGATCTACCATGATCTCGACATAGGAATAACACGAATACGAGAGAGAGAGAGAGAGAGAGAGAGTGAGAAAGAGACAAAGTGTCCGACTATTGCAATATCGTTCAAGAGGGAAGAAGATAGTTCACTCATAATTCTATCGTACTTCCTCTCGTTAGAAGTTGTTACACTAGTCGAACACTTTCTCTTTCTAGCACCCGTGGTTTTGTTATGTATACATCCGAGCAGGCCATGCAGTGCCTGTATAAGGCACGTGTTGTAAATGTCAAATTCCAATTAATTATCGAGTCAAATTCGTAAGAACGGACGAGAATATATTTAAAATAGTTTTTTTTTTGTTAAAAATTTACCGAAAGTCGGTTTGGGCGCCTCGCCGTCCCCGCCGGCCTCTTCGCCATGCTGCAACGCCAACAGCGCCCTCAACCACGACTCCAACTCCTCCTCGGTGTCCAACACCACGCAGAAGCAATCGTCCTTCGTGTAGAGCGCTATGACGTGCTTGTGCCTCGTGTCGTGCCTCCTGTTGATGTTGAAGCACGTCTTCAGCTGGATGCTCCGCTTCGGCGGTCTGCCGTCGTTGAACTTCTTCTCCGAATCGTAGTATTCGAGGCGGGCGGACGAGTCGAGCGTTTCGGCGCGCAACACGAACCACTTCTTACGCGACGTCTTCAGCTTCTTGAGGGGCCCGGCGAGCAAAACTTCGCCGGCGCCGCGGCCTCCGCAACCGGCGCTGCTCTTGTGCGACATGCCGCCCCCGACGCGGCTCTATCGCATAATAAATACGCCACACAACGTTCGACGGCCGATCGTTTTTTTTTTATCCTCCTCACTTAGTATTATTATTATTATTTGTTATTGTTGTTTTTTTTTTGCTACACTGCTCCTCGCACCGTCTTCAAGGGCAACCGAAACGCACACGATAATGGTACACTTGTTTACAGCACTTTTCCGACGATCGAGCGAATTGTTTTTTTTTTTAAATAGGTCAATTTGGATGTGTTTGTTTTGGGGGTAGAAACGCAAAAAACGACCCCCCCCTTTACCCCAAACAAACAAACTGGGTTCACTTTTGACGCGCACTTCCTTCGAAACGCTTCTAAACGGCACTTACGGCCCGCGAACACCCGCGAATTCGACGATTCCCGGTTCACTGTACGCCAAATGATCACTCGAATACGCTAATTCACCCGATTTAATCGTTATTTTTATAATAAAAACTGTTCAACCCTCGCGTGGTCATGTGTCCGTGTTGTAGATTGTAGACGTCTGCTGTCTGGTGTCGCCTTCGCATCGGACGTGACACCGCAACCTACGCCATCTATCTCCGTCTCTTTCGCGCCCATCGCGATCCGAATCGCTGACGTTCGCGACGTACGTCGGCGCTGAGCGTAACTGACGGCAGCGCGACTTGTAAACAATACGTACGCATGCGCCAGGGGAATTCGTAGTATTCGATAACGGCGATGCGTAGTTGGCGGGCGATCTGCATTCCAGCACCGAAAGTGCGACGGTCTAACTTGCGGGCCCGGAAGTCGAATTTTCATTAATGAATGAATTAATCTAAAAAAAGCTAATCGTCATATCGCAACAGGAAATTTGTCTATAGCGATACAATTTAAAAAATTAACAGTTAGAGTTAAAATTAGCGCATTTCTATTTGAATCGCTTGTTTGATACGAATTCGTAATATAGGATAAAGATAGGTTAGGGTTAATCTAGGGATTTTGCCTTTGTTCTTGATCACGTGACCTGTCATCAACTATAAAAATCAGTGATTTTATTGGATCTAATGATCGGTTGGTGATGGTGAACTACAATTTATGGATATTATTATACACTATTATATTTACGCGAAACTTGTACGTGTAATGATTATATTGATAAGCAGGTGTGTCAAAAATGTCAAAATTGAAAGTAGCAGTCGAACCGAAAAAACTCCAGCAAGTCTACCTGCTGCCGTTCGTCAAGTCGCTAAAAATATTCTCGTTTTTCGGCAATGACACGTTGCGCCAATCGGCCTGGATGCGGAAATTCTCGGCACGGCCGGACGAGGACGTCGCGACGCGTCTGGACCGGCTGCACGAGCGTCGCCGGCACGACGAGGTGCTGGAGCTGGTGCGGCGGAGGAGCGAGCGCGACGAGGAGCCCGGTTTGCTGTGGAGAAAGGCGCGCGCTCTGTTTTTCCTGGGCTCCTCGGAGCCCCGGGGCAGCGACGCCCGCTTGAGCAGGATCGTCGAGGCGCACGAGGCTTTAGAATCCGCATTGCTATCGAGTTGGTATCCTTTCGGCTAGCAAATGGCGCTTTTGTGTACGATAATTGCACGTGCTCTAGGAGGCGATGAGGACCCGGAGGTGCACAAATGGATGGCGATCGTTTTGGACGAGCGCAGCGGTTTGATAAATTTGAGGCAGCGCTTGAACGCGGCTCCGATGGTGAAATACCATTTGCGGAGAGCGTGCGATTTGAATCCCAGAGACTTCGAAGCGCATTACATGCTGGGCACATGGTACTATCAGTTGTGCCGATTGAATTGGGTCCAAAAATTGATTGCCAAATATTTAATAACGTGCGAACTGCCTAATTCTAGTTACAAACAAGCTTACAAGTACATTTATTTCTTATTCCCAGTCATTATACAACGCTAGTATTTTGTAGGTATTTACTGCAAGCTCACGAACTGCGACCTAGGGCAATGCTGTCGAATGTGTTCTTTCTCGGCGATACTTGTTTTCAAATAGGACACTATTTCAAGGCTCGATACTATTTGAATATGGCGGTGGATTTGAAGCCTCGGGACGATGAGGAAAGACGGTTTTTGGCGAAAGCCCTACATTTAATAAAGAAACTCGACAGATATGATTTGTCTAAAAATAACGTGTTGTTTTACAATTACGAATCTCAATCGTTCAATGACGTATAATTTGCGATAATAAACTATTAGTTACAAACTCCTCTATTTCAGTTATTTTAAATGTATTAAATTTTTGTATTTCCCTTTTAATTAGGCAACCAATGTAACACTTCTGGTAATAGTGAACTTCTACTATTATTGTATGCAGTCAACTTTCATTTATTTTCGGTTGGCAATAATGTTGTCACATGAATTGTCACTGTCAACCGTGTCATATGATTTTTCTGCTTTACGTAAAGTGGGTGCTGCAATTTAATTTATAAATTAATAGACAAAATGCCAGTCTGCGGGCCTAAGTTGTCGTTATGCGGCGTGATTCTAAGCACTTGGGGAATCATCCAATTGGTAAGAAAATTTGCTATCTAGCGAACTTATTTTTTTAATTGTTTCTATTCTAGACTTTAATGGGCATCTTCTACTACATTGGGGCTGTGGCTTTAGCAGAGGATATCCCCGAGGTTAAATTTACTGGCGATTTAAACCAATTTTACACAGACGTAAATAAGGGATTCCAACAAGTAAGTGCCTTCGAATGTGTCTTCGGTTTAAAAGATCACATGCACTAAACCAACATTAAGTAATTCTATTACTTAGATCGATACAAGGTGTTAATTAATTAATTCAATGTCCTTATTTTAACGGGTGAATCTTGAGTTAATTTTGAGTCGAAAAGTTCATATAAAGATATGCCCTCCAAAGCTCGGTTTTCGATATACCTACAGGGTTGTAAAGTTTTATTTTCATACATTTGAAAAACCGTTTGCTATATTACATTGAATCCTACGATAACATGCTATGGTATAAACGCGCAATTTTTTAAATAGAAAATATTTTATCCAGCGGCTTAGATATGGGTAGGTCTTGGTACAATTTTATCTAAAAAAGTAGTACTCCTGTTTTTTATAAACTTTTTTTAAAAATTATTGATAACCATTTCATTTTAAACAAAAATAGTGTCTTGCGTTTTAGCCGTAGAATTTGTCATTTTAAAGAAAATAATTAAAAACTCTAGTTGTTACATTTAAGACATCACACCAAAAACTATCTACTTACCTAAATTCATAATAAGAAGAAGACATTTTATGTACATAGATATTGTACATGCGTATTTATACCATAATATGTTATCCTAGAATTCAATAATGTAATATCGCAAATGGTTTTTCAAATTTTCAAAATAAAAATACAACCCTGTAGGTATTTCGAAAACTGAGCTTCGGAGGGCATATCTTTATATGAACTTTACATCGACTCAAAATTAGCCCCTCAAGATTCACCCTTTAAAATAAGTACATTGCATTAATTAACACCCTGTGGAAAGAAATAGATGGAATTTAAATAATTAATTCCAAGTAGTTTCAAACGAAGGAATTTAGTTATTAAAATTAATGTTTTTTTTTTTATTTTTAGAATGCCTACAATTGCTGGATTGCAGCTTTACTGTATTTGATCACATTGGCGTTTTCTGCGCACCAATTCTGGGCGAATAATAGGTCATCGTTGAATGTATAAACTAAACTACACATTACCCCCTTATCTAAATTGTATATAATTTTTTTCTTTACATTCCTGTTCGTTTCAGAGGTAACCCGTTCAAAAAAAATAGTATTTCAATCTAAAATGCGCCGTTGCATTCTTGCAACGCGCCGAATTTAGCTGTAATTTTAGTTTCGGTTGTACGTTCGTATTAAAAAACCGCCTACAATCTTGTTGAAGTTCCGATTATTGTATTTATTTGTAAAGAAATATATGGTTTTAAATGTTAGAAAAACGTAGGATGTCACCCGTCTAATCTATTGTGAATATTGTCGATAAATAAATTCTAATATTCCCAATTCTGTACTTATATAAAAATTTATTCCTTAGCCATCGCTTTAATCATATTCAAAGCGCTACCCGCCTTGAACCACTCGATCTGCGGCCGGTTGAACGAATGATTCAATTTGATTTTCTCGACGTTACCGTCGCCGTGCTTGATCTCGCAGTCCAACGGCTGGCCGGGCGCGAACCCGCCCAAACCCTTCAGCGACACCTTATCCGTCGGCTGGATCTTGTCGTAGTCCTGCGGGTCCGCGAAGGTGAGGGCCAGCATGCCCTGCTTCTTCAAATTGGTCTCGTGGATGCGCGCGAACGATTTCACGATGATGGCCCTGCCGCCGAGGTGTCTCGGCTCCAAAGCGGCGTGCTCTCGGGAGCTACCCTCGCCGTAATTCTCCTCGCCGATCGCCACCCATTTGATCCCTTTGGATTTGTAGTGGCGCGCCACCTGCGGCACCGGCTCGTACTTGCCCGTGTCCTGGTTCTTCACCTCGTTGAGCTTGCCGTTTTCGGCGTTCGTCGCTCTAAAAAAACCATTTTTATTTAATTCTAGAAAGACTATCGTAGATGTAAGTACGTTATAAACATGTTGTTCGAGATGTTATCCAAATGTCCTCGGTATTTCAACCAAGGTCCGGCTGCTGATATGTGATCGGTGGTGCATTTCCCTTTAATTTTGATCAAAATAGTCATGTCTATCATATCTTTGCCGTCCCATTTCTCGAACGGTTTCAGCAATTGGAGTCTCTTCGATTTGGGATCGATGTCGACCTTCACCTCGGAAGCGTCCTTTCCGGGTGGTACGTAGGTGTCCTTGCCCGGATCGAAGCCTTTCTTGGGCAATTCCACGCCGACGGGCGGCGATAGTTTGAACTTTTTCCCGTCTTTACCGGAGACTTCGTCGGTGAGAGGATTGAATTGCAGCGTGCCGGCGATGCTCAGAGCGGTGACCAGCTCCGGCGAAGCGACGAAACCGTGCGTGGCGGGATTGGCGTCGTTGCGGCCGGTGAAATTGCGATTGTACGAGGTTACGATGGTGTTCTTTTCGCCTTTTTTCACGTCTTTTCTATCCCATTGGCCGATGCACGGTCCGCAGGCGTTCGCGAGAACCTTCAAAATGAACAGACTCATCATTCCCAGCTCTATTTTCAAGGAAATTCAGTACTTACAGTACCACCGAACTCTTGAAAGGTTTTAGTGAGCCCGTCCCTTTCCATCGTGGCTCTGATTTGTTCCGATCCCGGCGTCACCATGAAAGGTATCTTGGATTTGACGCCGTGACTCATGGCTTCTTTGGCTATGCTGGCGCATCGGGTCATGTCTTCGTAGGAGCTGTTGGTGCAGGATCCGATCAAGCCCACTTTGATTTCGATCGGCCAGTTGTTCTTCTTGGCGTTCTCGCCCAATTTGCTTATGGGGCTGGATAAATCGGGCGTGAAGGGACCGTTCGCGTGCGGCTCCAGAGTATCCAGGTTGATTTCGATCAGTTTGTCGTATTTGACACCTGAAATATGCATAGTTATATGTAATGGGTCGAGGTATCTACAGGGCGTCCCTGAAAGTGTGGGAAATCTCTCGGATCCATATAAAACATGAAAAATAAGATGAGATGCTCCTATAAAGTTTTTCCCTACAGGCCCTCCCTACGAAGATATGGTTCCTTGAAGTGTGCCGCTGGAAATAGGTTTTCCTTAAATATCTTTTAAAGTACTTGATATAATTTAACAAAAATCTAATATGATGAATACTAGTAAGGACCTCACAAAATAGTGTCCATGAAACATATTAACTTGTTTAGTTTACCAGATTTATCTTTCCAGATTTAGGTTTTTTAAGTCTTTATCATAGAGGGTGTTAAAATTTAGGCCTTAAGGTGTAAACCTTAGCCCGGCCCTGGTAAACTAACAAAGCTAAATATGTTTCAATGACACTAATTTTTGAGATCCTCAGTAGTGTCCATCGTTTTAGATTTTTGTTCAATTAAATCAAGTACTTTAGAAGATATTTAAGGAAAACCTATTTCCAGCGGCGCTCTTCAGGGACGCATATCTTCGTAGGAAGGGCCTGTAGGGAAAAACTGTATAGGAACTTCTCATCTTATTTTTTCACGTTCTATGTATATTGATCCGAGAGATTTCCCACACTTTTAGGGACACCCAGTATAAGCAAAAAGGCCACCTTCGTCGGGTACAAAGAGAATTTTCTGGTATTTCTGCGCTTCCTTGGCGATGTTTTCCCTGTTGGTGGCGGCTAGATATTTGTACATCCTTTTGTTGAAAGGGAAAATGGAGGTCGTAGCGCCGATTTCCGCGCCCATGTTGCAAATGGTCGCCATGCCGGTGCAAGAAATCGATTCGCATCCGGACCCGTGGTATTCAACAATGTACCCAGTGCCTCCTTTCACCGTTAGAATTTTCGCCACTGTTAGTATGACGTCTTTAGGGGACGACCATCCGGATAGTTTGCCTAATAATTAGAGCTTTGTTCCAAATGAGCATTTGGCTGTTACAAAACACTAGCCAGTAATTGCGCAGTAGAGGATTTTCGGCTACAGGGGAATTACTAACCAGCCGGTGTATTGTACCAAATATCATTGGAAACAAAGCAGTGTAGTGATTTATAAACTATATTCCATCTTGTTAGGCAATGATGTAATTTTTAGTAATTTCCACGCAGTTCAACATTTCCCTAGTGCCAATGTTATTTCTCAAATTTGACTAGGGGAATTTAACGACGCGTTGTTGAAAATTCAAGGCGACGTTGTCATGCATTAGTCTCAAAATTTCATACTTTTTAGTTGACAGCTGACACGCTTCAACTACAATTTGCTTGAATTTCGTTACGATTTTCAATGCGATTTTTTCAGGCGTTTTTGCGTTGATTTCTTGTTTTCTACGTGTGTTTAGTTTTTCGTGCATCTATTGCAACGTTACCGACATTAATCGTGACATCTATTTTATTTTAATTCCATCTTTTAACAATAGTAAAGTAACTTATAAGAGCTAAATAGGAACAATATTAAAACAAACGGATGATTTTGAAAAGATGAGCTTTCATGCCCTGAAATTTCTTTTTTTTATACTTACAAGAAAAAAATTAATAGCTAAAATAGCTTTTTTAGGAGCTGTATGATTTTTTTGAAATGACAATCTTTCAACCGACTTTTCTCGGTGTAATTTGTATACAATGAAAGTAAACATAACCTTCAATTAAATATATCTGTCATTAAAAGGATATCAATTACAACCCGGCAACGTTGCAACAGGCTGGCTCGTGACGTCATTGCCTAACGATATGGAATTTGGTATACCAGTCAGTTTGACTCCGAGAATTTTGGGACATTTCAACTCCCATGGGATATTAGCCATGACATCAACCGCATCGGCCCCACCGACTCCGATGCAAAGACCACCCAAACCTCCACCGTTGGGCGTGTGCGAATCAGTACCGATCACCAGGAGGCCGGGAAAAGCGTAATTTTCCAGCACGATTTGATGGATAATACCTACAAATACGACGGAACAAATCAAACGTCCAAAGAGAAATTAATCCCTTTACCCGATCCGGGTTTCCAAAACCCCACGCCGTACTTTTTGCTGGCCGACGCCAGGAAACTGTACACCTCCTTGTTCATTTCCTTCGCCCGTTTCAGATCCGATTTACCGCCCTTTTCGGCCACAATGAGATGATCGCAGTGAACGGTGGTGGGCACCGCCACCGTCTTCAAACCGCTGGAAATGAATTGCAACATTGCCATTTGGGCGGTGGCGTCTTGCATTGCTACACGATCGGGGCGTAGCCTCAAGTACGATTCTCCCCGTTTGATTTCCTTGAATAACAGAGGGTTTTTTTTCATTTAGTTAGCACGATGAAATCTTAGAAGTACACTTTACACCCTGCTCATACTTTGAACCTATCCCTTACTAAACAACCAAATTATATGGAATCACCCAATATTAATATGAAATATTCGTTAATTTTTTTACAAGCTATGAAAAAGTACATGAGTATACTAACAAGAACAGGTATATAGGGTGTCTCATAAGTTGATACTTTTTTTTTAACTGCATTATAATGTCCGCCATTTTGTAGCAGGTGCAGATATTGACTTTATATTCCAGGATTGTAGAGTATTTGTTAGGAGCTTAAAAATGATGTACCCCCTTTCCATTTAAATTTATTTCCCAAGATGGCGCCCAGTGGCCATCTTGAAATTTTCATCTGTCAATTTTACTTCAAAATATAGTAATCATGCATTAGTTTTATTATCCCAAATTTTAATTTTCTAAGTTGATCCGTTCAAAAAATAAGGGGGGAATTAAAGAAATGCACTGTATAGATCTTTTAATTTTAATATGTTTAGATCTTTTAATTTTTTAATTACCTTTTTCAAGTAAATTTTTTTAATATTCTGGAAAATAAAAAAGATGAAAATTCTTAAAATTTCTTTAAACTTCAAATATTTTCCAATACGTACCTGCCATTACCACACAGTTGTCAAAAAATAATACATAATTAATGACGAAAAATTAATTTTTCGATTGTCGAATTGAAAATGGCTCATCTTTGTAGAAATAATGAATTGGTGGACATGTTGATTATTTATAGAGAGTTTTTCCAAAGCGTTTCCAATCAATTTTAAGCAGTTCCTTTAACTTTTAATGAACAGGGCCGTATTAACTAACTTTTTAATAATTAAAATTGAAAAAAAGATGCTCTCTTATATTCCAGAATGTTAAAAAATTTTACTTGAAAAAGTTGCTTAGAATTAAAAGATATATACGCAGTTAAAAAGTATCAACTTATGAGACACCCTGTATAAATAAAATAATTGGTAAGATTGGTCCTGGCAGTGTCGATTTTACTGTTTCGCTTGCAAGTCGCGTTTGAGTTTACAATTATTTATTTTCGCACATTTAAAAATAATACCGTACACGGGATTATCTGAAGTCCAGAGGAGAAGAATTATTGCTTTGACAGAACAAGACATACCACAAAGGCAGATTGCAAGAACTGTGGGGGTTACACAAGGGGTTGTTTCAAAAACCTATTCAAGATTTCTGTCATTAGGAACCTGAAGGAATAGACAGAGGAGAAGTCGCGAAAGAGTAACTACAGAAAGACAGGATCGATTTGTAGCTCAAATAGCAAGAAGAAATCCCACAACATCTCATCCAGAGCTTCAAAGGCAATTTTTGCAAGCTAAAGGTGTGAGTGTTTCTGTCGAAAATATTAGAAAAAGACTTCCCGGTTGGGAATTATTTAGCAGAAGACAGTTGAGGGTTTCAGACCTTTCAAGAGAAAATAAAGGGGACCGTTTAAATAAGTGTTTACAGAATAAAAATTGGACTATTGAAGATTAGAAAAATGTCTCATTTTCGCCGAATTCGAAATCGCATTTTAAGAGGTAGAGGGAGACAAGCTAGACTCTGTGCTGCCAAACCTATCCTGAAATACAAAGTGGGTACTAAAATGTTTTAGGGTGGAATTATGATTGATGAAAGAACTCCTTTAATTCCTATTCGAGAAACCCTAACAGGTCAACGGTATATGTTCATTTAGTTTTGCAAGTTGTAGTAAGGCTCTGGCGAGGTGGATTTGGCGATTTTTATTATTTATGCAAGATAATGCACCTCTACATACCAGCAGAGTTGCAAAATTTGTCTTAGAAACGGAAGGTTTTGCAGTTTTAATGTGGTCCTCTTGCTCACCTGATCTTAATCCTATTGAGCACTTATGGGATAAGATCAAAAGAAAGATTACAGCTCGTGAAAATAACCCTAATGTTAACACAGTGCAACTTACACAAGCGGTTTTAGAGGAATGGTTCAATGTATTCCAAGAGGAAGAGTTAACGACTTATTAAATAGCATATATGCCTGTCGAATTCATGCTTGCAAGGATGCTAGAAGTGGCCATTCTGGTTATTAAAATTATTTAAATAGCATCAATTTTTGTTAAATTGACATAATCAGAAAAATTATTATTAGGTTTGTTCCTACAACAGTCAGAAATAGCCGGTGGTCGTCAGGAGTCTGCGCAGTCATAATTTAGGCGTTCCAACAAAATCCACAGACATCTCTGATTCTGACTTGGTTAACAATTTATTGTTCCAACAGTTCAAGGGACTGGTTTTTGTGATAGTCAGAAAAATTTGATGATAGTACAGAGATTTAGAATCCGGTGCAAGCGCATTTTTAATTCGGGTTTAATTTGTATTTCTGAATATAGGTTAATTATTAGGTTATGTTGTTTGTTGTTTTTGTTTGATACTTGGTGAATGTATGTAATAAATGTAAAGACTGTTCCATCAAGAAATCGGAAATTTGATAACACCATTCAATCATAAACCGCGCATGCGAAATAGAAGAGTCAGAAACTTATTGGTAACAAATCAGTGACTTTTTGTAGAAACAAACCTATTATAGAAATCAAGACTTTTTGTTATTTGATCTATTATTAAGAAAATTGTTAAGCTTTTTTATTCATTTTTGTAATAAACTTGGTTTGGAAAAACTGCTCTTAATTCCTTTATGACCGTTTTTCAAAACAAATTCAATTTCTCGAAATAACTGGGCGATTTTATACAAGTTTGGTTGTGTGTATAGCTGATATTGATAATTCTCGATGTAGAATAGAGTAAATTCCAACCATTACCTGCTTGTCGGGTTCATCCAGATGGGAATACAACACTTTTTCGGAAAGCGTTAGAGGCGTTCCCAGTTTCTGTTTGACTAATTCGAGGGTTTTCACCATTTTCGGATAGGGCAAAGGGTTTTTGTCGAACTTGCTCATGGCAACACCCCCGTCCCCTTTCGAGCAACCCGCAGCGAACGGGGTCACGTGGAGACACCTGCGCACTGTATCGCCCTGAAATTCAAATACGAATTAGAATCCACGAATCGCGCGACGGCCAGATCGTTTACAATTCGCGCGATTCGCCAGCGACCCGACATGACGGTCGATTAAAACAATTTCTACGAAAAAAACTAAAAAAAATCATCAATGCGCAGCGAATTCAGCCTATCCAGCTGTCACAAAATAAACTTGTTGAAGGATCCGAAATGTTGAAGGATCAAAAGTCAAAACGGCGCTACCAACCGAATAATCTACAATTCGTTTTGTTGAAATCTCTATTTGCAAATAAATATTACACGTTATTATTATTATACAAGATTGTTTTGTAATTAAACTTAAATGTATTTACTAATAAACGTTTCCTATTGTCGTTTGCACTACAACACCTGTAGCAAACTTTACGCTCGTTGAACGGTTCATTTCCCCATAAACATTAAAACAAAATCATACAAACTAATATTATTTAGCTAATTCCTTCATGCGGTTGAGCGCGCTGCCCGCATGGAACCAAGATATCTGAGGTTCGTTCAACGAATGGTTGAGTTTGATCTTATCCACCGAACCGTCGGCGTGTTTCAACACGCACTCGACCTGTTTGCCGGGCGCCAGACCTTTCAATCCCTTCAGCGACACTTTATCGGTGGGCTGCACCTTATCGTAGTCGCTGGGATCGGCGAACGTCAGCGGCAGGATGCCCTGCTTCTTCAAATTGGTCTCGTGGATGCGCGCGAACGACTTGACGATGATGGCCCTGCCGCCGAGGTGTCTCGGCTCCAAAGCGGCGTGCTCTCGAGAGCTGCCCTCGCCGTAGTTTTCGTCGCCGATCGCCACCCATTTGATCCCTTTGGATTTGTAGTCTCTGGCCACGTCGGGCACGGCTCCGTATTGGCCGGTCGTTTGGTTTTTGATTTTGTTGAGTTCACCGTTTTCGGCGTTGGTGGCGCTGAAACATCGGTTTTTATGAGCGATGGGTTCGTTAAGGGGAGAGGGTATTCGCAAACAAAAAATTAGTATGTAAAAATTGGGTTTACGGTAATTATGGGGGTGGACTCGGGAACGGGTTTCGAAGGGTTTTTTTCTTCGTGCACGATAACTGTAATATCTCACGGGCATTTTGCAAATTTTGAATGAAATGTTTGGTTGGTGTGTGGCCGAATCGAATGGATGATGCGCAAGATTCAAAGACGTTACAATTAAGAGACCAAATTGTTTTTTATACATTTATATGGATAACATTAATCGAAGATACGTGAGGCATGATGTTAACAACAAAATCATCGCTGATTTAGGTATATTTTTATATTTTCTATCTATTTTTAGTTTGAATAAAATCTTCTTTAATGCTAATTCTATACACTGTGTTATTTATAATACATAGGGACATAGGGATTCCTGTACAAATGTGTCAAAAGCAAGCTAACTTTTTAATCAAATAACGTTCTTAAAAAATTATAACAGATTTGAAAAGAACGTCAAAAAATAAGTCGAAATAGACATTAAATTTTATTAAATTCGTTCTAGTTTATTTAAAAAATGTATAATTAAGTTGAAAAAAGTCAAACGTCATAAATGTGTCATTTTTATGTCACTATCTAATATTTGTAAAATGGGCGGAGTTAACCGGGATGGTTTACGCTCTGAAATTTAAAAATGTTAGCAGGAAGTAATGTGGTTCAATCCCCGAGCAGTAAAGACATTTTTTTCCTTTTTTTTTGGTTTTTTTAATGGTTTTGTCTAAAAAAATGTTAAATAAAAATATTTAAAATAAGACGAGCTTATTTGAGATATAATTTTATTTTTATTTAAATAAAAGCTCCGACAATTAAGTGTCAATTTTAATAACGCACAATCTCGTTAGTAGGTAGAGCCTTTAAAGTGATGCCATATTTTTATTCTTGACAAAAAAAAAATTAAAAAAACAAAAAATGCAAAGAAAAAAAGAAAAAAAATTTCAGCACTGCGTGGGATTGAACCAGATTATTTACCGCTGGATTTTTCAAACTTCAGAGCGTAAACCATTCCAGATAGCTCCGCCCCTTTTATCAATTATTAGATAGTGACATATGACGTATGACTTTTTTCAACTTAATTATACATTTTTTAATTAAACCAGAACGAATTTAAGAAAATTTAATGTCCATTTCGACTTATTTTTGACGATCTTTTCAAATCTGTTATTATTTTTTAAGAACGTTATTTGATAAAAAGTTAGCTTGCTTTTGACACTTTTGCACAGGAATCCCTATGTCGCATCTTATAAATAACACAGTGTATAATTCGTACACAAAAAACCGTGGTCCTTTACAACATCGCCTCATAGCGGCCGTTTTAGGAACCCTGTTTTATCCTCAAATAACGGGACACTTTTTCGACCTATGTTTCCAGACAATCCAGACCTTACAAATATAATGCAGTGCTTTATAGCAAATGCGTAAAGATAAAAAATATTCCCCGATTCCTCTAATTAAATTGAAATTAATTGTAATTTACCAGGTGATATGCTCCACCTCGCTTGCTGCGCGAGCTCGACTAAATCCCTGTGAATAACGATGGGCTCTACCGAAAGTACCCGCAACTCGGAGGCCAGACGGCCTCCTACGCAAAGACAGTTAAATAGTCAAGGTCTCGCTCGCTGCGCGAGCTCGACTAGATCGCTGCACAGTCCGCAATAGACCTATTCAGTTTACGAAAGAGAGTGATGGAGTTATTTGATCAACATAAGAGAATAAAAGAAGCAAATATGTTTCACGCGCAATCTGTGGAACCGTTTAAAATCTGCGCAAACATAAGTGCAAGAGAGATGAGATATTTGGCCTATTTCATTGCTGATTGACAGACCCATTGAATGATTCTTAGTGAAAACTGTTTTAAATATAAAAAAGAAGAGACCATCTTCAATCTTAACCCTATTTTGTTTCTTGTTTCCGTTTGATGTTTGTTTATGTTCAGTGTGTATTATTTTTTAACAGTATTTCTTTGTATTATTTAGTATATTAATTTATAAAGGTTATAATTTTTTATATAGGTCAATGGAATTATTTCTTCGAAATATATATTATAGCAAACCGATCAAAAATCATTTTCGGAAACTTTGTACTAACCCTCTTACTCTTTCTTAGACTTGACCTGTATGTAAATATTAAGCCTAATCCCCTTTCTGGGCAGTAAAAACTAATTTGTATCGAGTCATCGCGTCCATTACAAATTAAATCCGACGAATTGTTGGATAATGACAAATGACGTCTGAAGTATGTCTTAAGTTGTCGTTGTCTGGTTGTCAGAACCATATTTTACCTGAGGTGCGTTCGTTTGTTCGTTTAGATGTCAAGTTAATTATCCACAGTATGATGTTAAACTGAATAGGCCTATAATACGAGATGTATCAATTAAACATTTGGTCTCTTTGGTTGTAATGCCTTTGGCAAAATTCATACGTACGTTATGAACATGTTGTTGGAAATGTTATCCAAATGTCCTCGGTATTTCAACCAAGGTCCGGCGGCCGAAATGTGATCGGTCGTACATTTCCCTTTAACCTTAATCAATATAGTCATATCCTCCAAATCTTTGCCGTCCCATTTATCGAAGGGCGTCAATAATTGGAGCCTCTGGGATTTCGGATCGACGTCAACGTTAACACCGGATGCATCTTTTACCGGATGAACGTAGGTGTCTTCGCCCGCGTCGAAACCTCTGCTGGGCAATTCGTCGCCGAACGGCGGCGATAGTTTGAATTTTTTCCCGTCTTTGCCCAACAATTCGTCGGTCAACGGATTGAATTCCAATGATCCGGCGATACTTAGGGCCGTTACGAGTTCGGGTGATGTAACGAAGCAATGAGTAGCGGGATTGGCGTCGTTGCGACCGGTGAAATTACGATTGTATGAGGTTACGATGGTGTTCTTCTCGCCTTTTTTCACGTCTTGTCTGTCCCATTGCCCGATGCACGGTCCACATGCATTGGCTAATACCTTTAACAAACAATAACGGGGTAAGGAATGTTCCGTAACGAGTTAAAATTATCCCGTATAGCCAAAATCTGAAAATTTAGGAGTAAAGGATAATCAATGTTATGAGTTTTTTTTAAATACAATGTGTCTACTTAAGTTCGCACCATATGGAAAACTTTTTTATTATTAATTTTACGAAAAAAAGTTATTCTTCATAAAAAGTTCTGCATGTTTTAAAACCTAAAATACAATCATCAGATATCTAATTTTTTTAGTCGTATACGAGGTTTGTCAGAAAATATGAATTTTGCTCAAAAGTAAAGTAAATATATTTTTGAAAATATTGGAAATTGTTATCTGTTATCTTTTTATTCGTTAAAAAATTGATTACATTTACATCTCTTAACCTCTATGTTGCATTAGTTTGATTATGCATTGAAATAAATGATAACAAAATAATTTATTTTACAATAATTATCGACTACATAGAAACATTGCTAGGTGTTGATAGTTTAAAGAAGAAAAATAGATTACTTACTTATAATTGGATGTAATTACATATTTGAACGTAATTTTTAGTCTTGATCAACTTTTCTTAATACCAATTTCCGATATTTTCAAAAATAAAGATACTTTACTCTTGAACAAAAAACACATTTTTTTGACAAACCTCGTATACGGATTATTGTTATCTGATGGTTGTATTTTAGGTTTTAAAACATGCAGAACTTTTTATGAAGAATAACTTTTTTTCGTAAAATTAATAATAAAAAAGTTTTCCATATGGTGCGAACTTAAATAGACACACTGTATATTCAACCATATGTGACTTGTGACTGACCGGTTATACTGGAAGTAGATGTCAACTTCGTTATTTCAAATGGAAAGTACCATTTTTGACATCATTTTTGGATTCTGTGGCTCTTTTTAACTAGACTTTGATAATAACACCGTATGCCAAAAATGCGCCACTTTTGAGTTATTTAATTTTTTTTCGATTTTTTTGGAAAAACGGTCAAATGCATTTTTTATCATATCTCTGGTAATAATGTACCAAGAAGTTTAAAATTTGGTATCGATAATGTCCAGACACCATACTAAATGAAACTAAACTGAGTTTTCATGGTCTATGTATAGGGCATTTAAAATTACCTGACTAACTTGGCTAACATAAAGTGGTCATAACTTTGTTATTTGTAATGGATCCCTGTATTTTTAGGTAATGGATAATTTTAAGCTCTTTTGATCCATATAGGTATTCCCTATAGTCAAATCCAGTGGTTTTTGAAATAATCGAACTTTTATTAATTATGCTATTATAATACCTTCTTGATGGTTATTGATGACTTTAATGCACCATAACTACGTCATAACTTAAAATTTAAAATAGCAATTCACTAATTGAACGAATTATAAATTCCGTTTGTTCTTATTTAACTCCGATTTTATAATCAACTTTTTAAGTATTATCAAACTTTAAATCCCTTTTGTTTGATATTTCCTAATTCAAGAAACAGTTGTTTTATTCTTTTAAATTAACCTCTCGTCATTGATGGTATGAGGATATTGTTGGTTGAATTCTCTACATGTTTTGCTAAACATTTTAGCTTGTATTCGTAAATGTTTAAAAAAATGAAATAACCTTTATTGGTGTATTCTTTCCTAATATTCTCCACCTTTTGCAAGATTTAAGTAAAATTTAAAGAAGGAATGCAGAATAAGAATACAACTTAAACTTTTTTAAAATTTCATCTCTTCATCTTCAACTGATTCAATAATTGAACTATTTTTTAACGACAAAGTTATGACCTAGTCATAGATTATTAAAGGCATTAAAGGCATCTTGATAACTGGAGAATTGAAGCAGAAGTCAAGAATTTTTAGCAAAATGAACAAAAGACTGATTATTTCAAAAACCACTGGATGTGGGTATAAGTTTGCCAAGTTATGCCCGGTTTCACGACCTTTCGCGATTAACTTTCGCTAACTATTGAGAAGTTAACTAAAGTGGGAGGGGTTATACCCGATTCCGAAGGTTAACTGGAGTTTATTGAAAAGTTAACTTTTCATCGCAGAGTCGAGAAACCGGCCATTAGTCAGACAATTTTTAACGCCCTGTCAATAGACCATAAAAACCATAGACCTATTAACTATGGACGCGGTTTAGACAAAGAGGTAGTGTTGTCGATGAATGAGAGAGATGCAGCTAGTTTGGGCATATGGCAATGAGAGATTGGACAATGCATTAGCCAATAGTAAGAAAGAAAAAGACCACGTGAGTTACGTTTTCAGAAATGCAAGGTAGTTGGGGTAGAGGAGGGTAGATTATGGTAGAATAGGGTTGAGGATTTATAATTTTTTTACCGAGCAAAATGCATTTTTCAGCTGAGCCTAAATTCCCACATATTTGCAAATACAGTTCTTATTTTGTATTGTTATTTGGAACCTCCTACCTATTAGCCTGTACAGATTTCGCAATTTAAGACCTAGCTGTTTTCTCTTGTAAAAAATATGTTTCTTCCAGGTCATTCTTCTGTCCAAGTGAATACCAAGATAAAAACAATATTTAAATATTAAGCGTATAAATAATTTAACAGATTAATCGCCTTTTTCCACACACCCTGTATATATTTTATATATTTTTTGGTCCCGCCTACTTTTAGCCCAAACTAGCTCCATCTCTCACGGACCTCTCTCTCTATCATTGGGAACGCTGAATAACCTCAAAATACCGATAGTGCCGCGTCCATACTTAATAGGTCTATGATAAAAACTCACTTTAGTTTCATTTAGTACTGTGTCTGGACATTATCGATACCAAATTTCAAACTTCTAGGTGCATTATTACCAGAAATATATAGAAAATCCATTCGACCGTTTTTCCAAAACGTTTCGAAAAAAATTAAATAACTCAAAAGTGGCGCATTTTTGGCATATGGTGTTATTATCAAAGTCCAAAGAGCCAAAGAATCCAAAAATGAAGTCATAAATGGTACTTTCTATTTGAAATAACGAAGTTGACATCTGCTTTCGGTATAACCTAGTCACATATGGTTAAAAATATTCTAGAAAAACTCTAGAATTATTCTCTACTCCGAAATTTTCAGATTTGTAACTCTTCAGGATCTCCTATAACTTCTAATGGGCGGTTTCCATGAAAAGCTCTGTATATTATATTATTACTTACAGTTGCACCAAATTCGTTGAAAACATCCGTATATCCATCCCTTTCGATGGTAGCTCTGATTTGTTCCGATCCTGGGGTAACGTTGAAAGGAATCTTGGATTTGATGCCGTGACTCATGGCTTCTTTGGCTATGCTGACGCACCTGCCCATATCCTCGTAAGAGCTGTTTGTGCACGAACCGATTAACCCCACTCTAATATCGAGCGGCCAATTGTTCTTCTTGGCGTTCTCGCCCAATTTGCTAATGGGACTCGCCAAATCCGGCGTGAATGGACCGTTGACGTGCGGCTCCAGAGTATCCAGGTTGATTTCGATCAATTGATCGTACTCCGCCCCTGAGATATTCAAACAATCAATAGGGAATAGGAATATAGGAATCTTTATTCCTATAGCGGTTTTACGAAATTTTGATGATTTATAATTTATTTGTTAACTGGAAGAAGATCCAGTTAATTATATTGAATATAACATATAACATAATGAAACAGAAAGGAGAAAAATGTAATCTACGGTTAAAGAAAAGATTTCTTCTTCTTCTTTCCCTTTATTTCTCATATATTTTTATGTCAAAACGTGACTATTCGAATTTCTTTCCCTTATTTTTCACTTTCTATATAATAATTTCTGGGTTTAAATAATAATTAAATAAAAAAATACTTTTTAAGCGTTATGTAAAGACAATAAAGAATCTAGAAATAAATATTTGAGACAAATTTAAATTTTATGTACAGGGTTGGGCAAAAGTCCGGAATAAAATTATCATTTGTTGAACCAGTAATTTAAACAAAAAACGCTGAAACACGTGAATTGATTTTATATTGGACGGATTTGTTGCCAATTAAATGATTTTTTTTCTTCAACCCCTTAGTTGCAACCGTAACCAACTTTATTTTTTCAAATGCAAAGGTATGTCGTGTGTAGGGTCATTGAAAAGCCCGTGAAAAATGGAATCTGAAACATACCTTTTTTTTATTTTTTCTCGTGTTGTTATTTGGAAATGGGCAAAAATTTCTTTTAAAAACAAAAAAGATACAAATACCTTTTTAGGGCTATCGACGTAGCAATGTTGAAAATGTCCTCCACCATCTACTTGACAGGCTCCCAGGCATTGGTAAAAGGTAATATCGATAGCATATCTTTAATTCTGAATGACTTTTTAATAAAAACAGGCGAGCCTTTGGTAAAAAAAAACTTGTACAAAAATACAACACCTTTTTTCCTTTTTGAAGTTCACTGATCAACAATGGCTTAGAATTAAACCCATTTTATGTTTTAGTTTTTTCTTAAAACATAAATTTCAACGAATGTTGATGCTAAGTTGCCTTATCAGTTTTAAACGGTAAATCAATAAAATTTGGTGTGCTGCCTGCCCAGGCTCGCCTGTTTTTAATAAAAATTCATTCAGAATTAAAGATAGGCTACCGATATTAGGTTTTTACCATCACCTTGGAGCCTGTTAAGTAGAGGGTGGAGGACATTTCCAACATCTGTTACCTTAATTCACACTTCGATAGCACTAAAAAGGCATTTGTAACATATTTGGTTTTAAAAGAATTTTTTTGCTGATTTCTCAATAATCACATGAGAAAAAGAAAAAAAAAGGTATGTTTCAGATTCCATTTTTCACGGACTTTTCAATGACCCTACACACGACATACTCTTGCATTTGAAAAAAATAAAGTTGGGTAGGGTTGCAACTAAGGGGTTGAAAAAAAATCATTTTATTGGCAACAAATCCGTCCAATATAAAATCAATTCACGTGTTTCAGCGTTTTTTGTTTAAATTACTGGTTCAACAGATAAAAATTTTATTCCGAACTTTTGCCCAACCCTGTACATAAAATTTAAATTTGTCTCAAATATTTTTTTCTAGATTCTTTATTGTCTTTACATAACGCTTAAAAGGTATTTTTTTATTTAATTATTATTTAAACCCAGAAATTATTATATAGAAAGTGAAAAATAAGGGAAAGAAATTCGAATAGTCACGTTTTGACATAAAAATATATGAGAAATAAAGGGAAAAGAAGAAGAAGAAATCCTTTCTTTAACCGTAGATTACATTTTTCTCCTTTCTGTTTCATTATGTTTCATTATGCAGGCGAAAACATGAAAAAGTTTTTGCTTTGGTAAATAAATCCACGAAAATGACTTGAATTAGCCATACGCCAATTTGACATTATTGAAAGATTCTATTTCCTTCACACTTTCAAGTTTAACAAAAGCTGCCAAAATCAGCTGTGACTATTTTCAAAGATTTCCTTTCAAATCGATCATTCAGGAGCTTACAGGAGGAAACCTACAGAATTTTTTTATTGCTTGGAAAGTGGTTCCAATTAAATAATCCATTTTATGATCGATTTGAAAGCAAATATTTGATCAATAGTCGCAGCTGATTTTGGCAGCATTTGTTTACCTTATATTTTAATAGGACATAGAATCTTTCAATAATGTCAAACTGGCATATAGCTAATTCACGTCATTTTCGTGTATATGAACTCCTACTGGGATAGATCGATTTGGAACCTCTTTATTTACCAAAGGAAAAACTTTTTCATGTTTTCGACTGCAGTTTTGGCATCCCCATTGTCGTTTACATAAGGCATTTCCCGGTGGGTCGTGAGTTCTGGGCCACCCTGTACATTTTTTTAAGATTTTTTTTTTACCTTGATCGGGACTGAGAAGAACTTTTTGTTGTTTCTTAGCTTCTTCGGCGACGCCCGTTCGGTTAGTGGCGGCTAAATATTTGTACATTCTTTCGTTGAAGGGGAAAATGGAGGTCGTAGCGCCGATTTCCGCGCCCATGTTGCAAATGGTCGCCATGCCGGTACAAGAAACCGAATCACAACCGGGTCCGTGGTATTCGATAATAGCTCCGGTACCACCTTTAACCGTTAGAATATCGGCTACTTTCAATATGATATCCTTAGGGGAAGTCCAGCCGGATAATTTTCCTAAAATACATTAATCATTTATTTAACACAATATTAATACAGCGTGTCCCAGGACGAGTTAAAACTATCTGTATATAGGAAACTACTTATTCGATTTCAATAATATTTGGTATGTATACGGGGTTGGAAATAAATTCACGCATAATAAACGCATAATAAACGAACCGAAGCTAAGAATTTAACGTTAATTTTCTCTATTATGCGAAATTAAATTTCCAACGGTGTATGTTTAGTAATACATACAAAATATTTTGACAGTTGTTGACAGTGTTATTTCAAATGGAACACCCTGTATATTATTATTTTTTTGAAATCTACGTAAGATTTTAGGGTACTTTTGTCTAAAACAGTTTTTTCAAAAATGCATACTTTATGAGTTATTAATTTTTTTTTTGAAAAATTTGACCGATGCAGTTGCTTATAAATTATTTTTTACGGAAGATTCCCTTAAAGTTATAGAAACGGTTTCTATAGGAGGGCTACTAGAAAGGTTACAGTATTTGTATCTAAAGGTATTTGAATATGTCTTAAAAAACTTTTTATCTTATACAGAGTGTGTACAAAAAATGTGAAAAGTTCAAACTTCAAAAATATCATATTTCTTCATTTTTTTTTAATAGAAACACCTATTTTTTTTTCAACTTAAATGAAATCAGCGGTAAAAAAATAAGGAAAGTTCATGTTTACTTCCCTATATCTAAACCTTTTCTCTCTTATTCTTAAATAACTCGGTTTTACGAGTTGTCTATGTAAAATCGTACAAGTACAAAAATTAACAACCAATTATTCAAGAGCAATTACATGGCTAACTTCTAAAACCTATTTAATTAGGACGAAATGTAAGTTTTATGTAAAATTTTTAATATCTTCAAAACTATTAGGTTTAGGATAGGGAAGTAAACATGAACTTCCCTTATTTTTGACCGCTGATTTCATTAAAATAGAAAAAAATGGGTGGTTCCATTAAAAAAATGAAGAAATTTGATATTTTTGATGTTCAACTTTACGCATTTTTTGTACACACCCTGTATAAAATAAAAAGTTTTATTTTAACACAGATTGAAATACCTTTTACTTTGCTAGTAGCCCCCCTACAGAAACCGTTTCCATATCTTTAAGGAGATCCACATAAAAAAATAATTTATAAAGATTGGTCAAATTAAAAAAAAATTAACACAAAAAGTATGAATTTTTGAAAAGTGTTTTAGATAATAGCACCCTAAAATTTCACGTTGTTTTCGAAAATATATTAATATACAGTGTGTTCCATTTGAAACAACAAAGTTGATGCCTACTTCTTGTACATCCGGAAGTGGTGGACTGTCAAAATATTTTTAATAACTTCGTCTTATTGCATAACACATACATACCATACATACATTAAATCGAATAAGTAATTTCCTATAAACTCGTCGTGGGACACCCTGTATTACTCGAAAACAAACCGTTTGCTTATCAATGTTATGACTTTCCTAACTACTAATTTGTTATTACTCAATTTTATCAACAGTAAACATTCCCGAAGCCATAATAAACAAATAAATTTACCGGTTAGCTTCACTCCAATAACCTTCGGGCATTTCAACTCCCATGGGATATTAGCCATGACATCTACGGCATCGGCCCCACCGACTCCGATGCAAAGACCACCCAAACCTCCACCGTTGGGCGTATGCGAATCAGTACCGATCATAAGTAGGCCGGGAAAAGCGTAATTTTCCAACACAATTTGATGGATAATACCTAAAATGATATTTAACCCATTAGCCGTACCGTTCCGTAAACATTCAAACAAACATCCTCACCCGAGCCGGGTTTCCAGAAACCCACTCCGTACTTGTTACTGGCCGATGCCAAGAAACTGTACACCTCTTTGTTGGTGTCTTTGGCTCTCGCCAGGTCCTTATCGCCCCCCTTTTGGGCTTGGATGAGATGATCGCAGTGAATCGTACTGGGCACAGCCACTCTCTTCAAACCGCTCGAGATGAATTGCAACATTGCCATTTGAGCGGTGGCGTCTTGCATGGCCACCCTGTCGGGGCGCAGCCTCAAATACGATTGGCCTCTTACGATTTCCTTAAAAAAATTAATTTAGAAGCTTAAAGAAACATGGCAAGTACTCGTAAAGATTCATAATTTAAATTTTGAAAAATACCCCAAATTTTAAATCGAAAATAACCAAAGTAAACAATCTATTTTTACATTTGTATCGGTATCAATGACAAAATAGAAAAACATAACCTCTTGTTATGTAATTTCTATATTGCGGTTTTATTTACAATAAATATCCTATTTTATCAATTATAGCCTTTGTAACTAAAAACATAGCGTTTGAACCTTACACGAGCATCCAAAGGTTACTTCGGAAGATAGGAAAAGAAGTTGAAATTAAACAATACCTGCGTTTCAGGTTGATCGATGTGTGAATAGAGGACTTTTTCAGCGAGTGTTAAGGGCTTTCCCAATCTCTTTTTCACTACTTCCAGGTTTTTGACGAGTTTCGGGTAAGGTAGGGGATCTTCGTCGAATTTGCTCATGGCAACTTTCGAAGAAGCAGCAGTCAAAGGGGACACGTGGAAACATCTCGATTGTATTTCGCTGAAGAGCAAACTCTTCGATTTACTGCCCTAAAAAGCAAATTATTAATATTACATAATCGTATTCGAAAAGCCTATTGAATGGATTAAAAAAAGCACATGATTACCACGTAAACCGCACAGAAAATAACAATGAAAAACCGACTTACCTTTCGAACAACTCTCAAACACGACGCCATAATTGGTAAAATAAACTATTTTTACAAATAAAAATTAAAAATATCACATAAATTCGCCCTGCTCGAGCCTCTCTAGCTGCGAACAGTTTGAAACTGAAAATGAAATATTTATTTGAAGTTTGACGTGACGTTCGAACTTCAAAGTCACGCGGACGATACCAACGTAAAAAAATGAGATAACAAACTCCCCAAAAAGACAGGACCGCAGTGTAAAATTCACCAAAATTCAGTACAGGACTTTTGAATTTAGATTCAATAAAATCAAAAAGTAGTCATTTTTTAAGTTTGAAATATAGGCTACGGGTGTGATAAAGACAACTTCCATTAGACTCGTATAAAGGAAAAAGAAAAAGTAAAAAGTGATATTGTGTCAATATAACTTTCTCACTCTAATAACTAACAACTGTTATTTTAATAATTTTTCTTTGTTCAACTCATGTAGAAATCACCACATTGGCCATTTTTCTATTTAAAATGGCCACCCTTTCTTTTGCTCCATAGCCCAAACGGCTCATTTGCGGACACATGTTTATTATTTTCTGCATATTTTGTGCCATATACTACTCCCCATTTTATTTTGTGACATTTTTTGAACACCCTGTATATGCGTTTTGTTTTATTCCTATAGGTAGGCAACATTACAGGGATGCAAATGAGGAATTAATCACCCAATATACACATCGTTTCCGATAGACCATCATCAGGTAGGCTTAATTATCTATTATTTATCTTATTCATATTTCTTTGTAAGAGTTTAATTTTTTAATTAAAACAATCTTAATATTTTCTCGGTATTAACCATTTATTAAAGATTACAGGGTTGCAATAGATAATTACAAGGGATTTCTTATTGAGTATTTATCTTCTTTATTTCTTGGTGGTGCGATATAATACATTTTAAGGGCGCGTAAAAGTTGAACTTTTTTATTTAAAACAATCTTTTATTTAGATATTTATTTATTTAAAATAAAAAAAAAACATACCTATAGCAGTACAAAGAAAATATGTGAAAGTTTATAGGCCCAAGCCATGGCTATGTGGGCCATTCAGAAAGACATAATTAAAAAGAAGTAAATAAGTAAAGTGAAAATAGAATATTCAATATATTCAATTTCATAGAAAGTTCAATATGAAGAAGAAGTAAAATTAAAATTAAGGTAACAGTTACAAATAAATGGTACAAACATACACCTTGCTCCATTTCCGATTGCAATATGGTCATTTCTATGAGTGGAACAAAGAAAGGTTATTAAAATGACAGTTGTCAGAGTGAAAAGTTGTAATGACACAATGTCACTCTTTCCTTTTCCTTTATAAGTGTCTAATGGAAGTTGTCTTTATCGTACCCATGGTCTATATAACCTACATTGCAATCAGAAATGGAGCAACCTGTATATTATACAAATTAAAAAAAAAAGATATAAAACAACAAATCACAGAACGAAATAAAGAGAAATAGAAAGAAATAAATAAAACAGTATGTATTCAATAAATTCGTAAATATATTTGTAATATTCAATATGTAATGTTATCAATTTTCTGTGAAATCACTAGGGCTTGCGTGCGGTAGTACATTCGTCATACATCGTACGAAATTCATCGCAGCTTCCTCAGCAGTGCTACCGTGCTTCTTCCCACATCCATCTATCATCCTCTTTCGCATATTTTCGATCAGATTCTCCGTGAGATTATCCACGTGCTCCTTGAATTTCTCAGGTATCATTTCTCCGTTTTCGTTCATTTGACCCATTTCCGTGTTTATGCACAACGCCATTTTTCCGGCCTTTTCCATGTCGCCCAAATCCTCACCTTTCGCCATTTTTTCTAACATGTTCTTCGGTTCTCCCAGTTTTGTTTCGCATTCTGTTTGATGCTTTTTCAACTTGAGACGTTCACTTGCAAGATCTGCCTGTAAAGGAAATTGACCCTTTTTAAAACATTTATTCGTGATTTAGAGTTTTTCTGCTGTAGAGCTTAATGATTTTTTGGTATAATAACAATAAATAGATTATTAAATCGTAGAAAAAAGATACACAAGTAGACAGCTGGACAGAAATATAACAATCAACTAGGACATGTTGTAAATCTATCAAAAGCTTCAGGAGCAGATAAGATCAACTTATGTCCATTGGAGTAACTTTCAGAAGAACTATCCAGAAGGATAAATAGTATAAACATTAAAGCATTGCATCAATTATTTGTACCAAAAGTATACTTACAGATACTACGACTGCACAGAAAACCAGGATAATTAAACTCTTCATTTTGCCTCTTCCTAACTGTTGCTGTGTGGATTATTGCACCTCCTTATATACATGTTAAAGTTATTTCTTTTTGGCCCAGTTAGTGATACCTAATCTTATTTTCATTATGAAATTATTGGTAAATTTTATTTAATTTTAGTATTTATCATGAACTCGCCATTTTTTCAAACGAGTAAACGAAAACAGTACACAACGGAAAATATCACGAATTGAAAAATAGAGAAGTTTGCAATATCTAATAAATAGAATACTGGTTTAAGTTTTAAGATCCCAATTATAAGGTCGAACTGCACCGATTTCATAACCAGGTGAAAATTATATTTTATTAAATGAAATAGGTTTGTGGCGCATATGGGAAACTTTTTTATGAAGTTTTCGAAAAAAAGTTATTCTTTATAAAAAGTTCTGGATGGTCCAAAACCCAAAATGCAACCGTCAGTTTTCAAAATTTAGCGGTCCTATACGAGGTTTGTCAAAAAATGTGATTTCTGCTACCAAGGTTGCCCAAACCTCCACCATTGGTTCCTCGCAGGCAACCCGCCATTGTTGTTGAATCAAAATCTTAATCAATTCGAAATTAAAATGAAATTCAACTTATCTAAATTAATTGAGACGCAATATAAAGAAATAAAATTAAACGTGTTTTTTTTAATCAGAAACTGTAATATTGCATCTATTTAGTAGTAAGGCGATACATCTACAGCTCAATAATTAAACATATTCATTCCTTCTTGAAAATCTCTCGTTCTGGTAAGGAAAATTCAAATGCAGGTTTCCCAGCTTCCACCACCCAAATCGATCCGTTTGGAGCATCTTCCACCATCTTCACCATCTCCCCAGCCACGTGTTCTGGCCTGCAACACACAAACCCCTTGAAATTCGAACGCACTTTCTCGAAATATGGCGAGTTTCGTTACTTTTGGACCTGCTCCACCTCGTTTTTGATGGTCTCCATCGAACCCTCATACAGAGGGCTCAAGGAGAATGCGTCTGTGTTCAACAGGTCCGTCGCGATGGCGCAAGGACACACCTCCACCACCCTGACGCCTGTGCGCTGGTAGTGGAACTGGCATCCCCAGGATTTCACCATACCTGCAATTATGAAGTTATTAAGAGGTTTTAATTTGGAAGACTTTAGGTACCTGTGATTGCGAATTTCGTGGCTGAATAAACCGGCCAGGGAGCGTAACCACCTAAACCAGCGGTAGAAGAAGTGGCTATGATAACACCTTCGTTTGTGCTTTTGTATTTGTTCAGGTAGTGATCCATTCCTAGTATGAATCCGTTGATGGTGCCGATCTGAAAGATTTTATGTAATGGAGAAAATTGAACTATTTTTGTGTGATTGTATACTAACGATATTAACGTCTATTTCTTTTCTCCATATGCCGTCGAATCCGACGCCGGCGTTGTTAGCAAGGATATCCAATTGGTGATATTTTTTTATTGTCCTCTGGAAAGCCTCTAAAAAGTAGTAATAATAATATTGATTTACTGATTAAATGATGACTATCTAAGTCTACAAATGATCCACAGGATCTAAGGATATACAAAGGTTTAATAGAATCCATTAGGATTTACTATGGTCCACTGGGATCTACAAAGATTTAATTGGATCTACTATGATTTAACAAGATCTGTTAGGATATAATAAATTCTTCCAAGATTTACTAGAATCTGGTAACATTTAATAGGATCTACCCGAATTTACCAGGATCCACTACGATCTGGTAACATTTACTACGATCTAATTAGGATCTACCAAGATCTACTAGAAACTGCTAGGATCTAATAGGATCTACCAGGATCTAATAGGATTTATTACGATCTATTATGATTTGTAAGGATCTAATAGGATCTACTAAGAACTACTAGTACCTAGCTGTAAAGATCTAATAGTATTTACAAGAATTTAATAGGATTTACTGGGATCTAGTAGGAGTAGGAGCTGCTTGGAAGGATCTACTAAATTCTATCCAGAAGAAAGAAATTTTAGTTAAAAATTATTTTTATATAATTAACCTTCGAATTCAGCATAATTTGTAATATCGCATTTTACGAATAGGGCTTTGTCCTTGCCGTAGATCTCGTTAAGTTCTTTTTCCACTAATATTCCATCATTTTCCTTAATATCGACCAAAGTGACGCCCTGTAAATAAATAAAACACCCGAAAAAATGCTGAGTTAGTAGAAAAAATAAGCGTAATTGTAATGTTTACAAGTTGTAATTAATGATACATATGCAATTTCAAGTTCAGATAAAAATGTTGTTAGGTACTTAACATAATATACTGCTCCACAAAAGTTAAGGAAGTTCTCAAATATTGAGATAAATTTAAAAGTTGCAGGTTTTTTGATCGCCAAATTTAGTATGAATTGTAGAGGTAGGGGGCAAAAAATCCACTCATATATGAGAGAAAACATTTAATTTCGCATATTTGAAAATTTGGGTAATCAAAATTTGCGAACTTCCTTAACTTTTGTGGAGCAGTTTAGTTCAAGGTTGGATCATAATATGGTCTCTTCTGTTGGTTTATTAAAGTTTTTTAATTATATTTCTACTTTTTAATCTATAGTCAAAAGATACGGGTCATAACATAACTTTAGGGAAACACCTAAGTAGGTATAGAATATTTCTTTAATTTTAATGCAGATGTACTTACCTTTAATCCTTTGGAAAGTAACGCTTTAGCAAAATTGTATCCCAAACCATTAGCTCCTCCAGTAATGAGAGCGACTTTGTTCCGAATTTCAAAAACCATGATTTCGACAAATTGATTCTTAACTGTAAATATATTTGCACAATTACTTACTTACAGTTTAAAATATTTAAAACAAAAACTTACAATTACTTGCATATATTATATACTCGATACTTTAGTATTACAGGATGCTATGTTAAATAAATTTTATACACTCACAGTAATTCATTAAAATGTATGTATAAAGTCAATACATTTTTTAATTTGCAAATTTTGATGCAGATTGATTTTAGGGAAGTTGTAAATATTGATTAATTATCTAATCTCATTACTATAGTAATATATTAATTATGGAATCAACCTCCACCCCCTACAAAGATTTTTGTAATTTTTGTAATATTTGAATCCACCAAGGTGAAAAATTAATAATAAAAGTAAATGTAAATTAATGCAGGTAATGTGTAAATGGCACTTAGGTAAAAATCCATAACTGCTATTATTTAAATAATGTATAACTTACATTCAATAATACGCATTATATTCATTTTAGCAATTTGAATTATTGTCAAAATATATTTACATAATACCATTAAAAGTATTAAAAAAGTTATTTTTAAAAGTATTTTTTTAGTCAGAAACTCTAATATAGCATCTACTACTCAGGCAAAACATCTGGAGCTCAATAAATAAACAACTTTATTCCTTCTTGAAAATCTCGCGTTTTGGCAATGAAAATTCAAACGCAGGTTCCCCAGCTTCCACCACCCAAATCGATCCGTTTGGAGCATCTTCCACCATCTTCACCATCTCCCCAGCCACGTGTTCTGGCCTGCAACACACAAACCCCTTGAAATTCGAACGCACTTTCTCGAAATATGGCGAGTTTCGTTACTTTTGGACCTGCTCCACCTCGTTTTTGATGGTCTCCATCGAACCCTCGTACAGAGGGCTCAAGGAGAATGCGTCTGTGTTCAACAGGTCCGTCGCGATGGCGCAAGGACACACCTCCACCACCCTGACGCCGGTGCGCTGGTAGTGGAACTGGCATCCCCAGGATTTCACCATACCTGCAATTATAAAGTTATTAAGAGGTTTTATTTTGGAAGACTTTAGGTACCTGTGATTGCGAATTTCGTGGCTGAATAAACCGGCCAGGGAGCGTAACCTCCCAAACCAGCGGTAGAAGAAGTGGCTATGATAACTCCTTCGTTTGTGCTTTTGTATTTGTTCAGGTAGTGATCCATTCCTAGTATGAATCCGTTGATGGTGCCGATCTGCAAGATTTTATATAATGGAGAAAATTGAACTATTTTTGTGTGATTGTATACTAACGATATTAACGTCTATTTCTTTTCTCCATATGCCGTCGAATCCGACGCCGGCGTTATTAGCAAGGATGTCCAATTGGTGAAATTTTTTTATTGTCCTCTGGAAAGCCTCTAAAAAGTAGTACCTATCTTATAATAATACTATTGATTTACTGATTAAATGATGACTATCTAATTCATCATAAACCACTGCTAGAAATGGAAAGGATCTACTACGATTTAATAGGATCTATTAGGATTTACTAGGATCTACTCAAAGATTTAATTTTATCTACTATGATCTAATAAGATCTGTTAGGATATAATATCTAGATTCTTCCAAGATGTACTAGAATCTTGTAACATTTAATAGGATCTACCCGAATGTACCAGGATCCACTTGGATCTGGTAAGATCTAATAGGATATGCCAGGATCTATCAGGATTTACCGGGAAATGTTAAAGTGCAATAGCATCTGTCACGATCTAATATTAGGATCTGTAAGTATCTAATGATGACCATCTAATTCGTTTTAAACGTAGGATAATCGCTTATAATAGGAAGGATCTACTATGCTCAACTAGGTTCTAAGAAGGTTTAATATTAGAATTTACTAGGATCTACTGGGATTTACAAAGATTTTATCGAATTTGCTAGGATTTAATAAGATCTAATATGGGATCTGTTAAGACTAAGAATAGGCTCTTCTATCAGGATCTACTAAAATCTGTTAGATCTGTAAGCATCTAATGTTAATATGTTAGCATTTAATAGAAACTACCACAATCTACTACGATTTACTAGGATCTACCAGGATCTTGTGGGATCTGTTAGACTACAATAGGATCTATTTGGATCTATTCTTCTTGGATCTACTAAGCACTACTAGTATCTACAAGAATCTACAAGAATCTACAAGAATCTACAAGAATCTACAAGAATCTACAAGAATCTACAAGAATCTAATTGGATTTGTTAGAAGCTGCTTGGAAGAATTTACTTGTTTCTTTGTAATAGAAATAAATTTAAGTTCAAATTCATTTTTATGCTAATAACCTTCGAATTCAGCATAATTTGTAATATCGCATTTTACGAATAGGGCTTTGTCATTGCCGTAGATCTCGTTAAGTTCTTTTTCCGCTAATATCCCATCGTTTTCATTGATATCGACCAAAGTGACGCCCTGTAAATAGAAAAAGACCTAAAAATATTTGAGTTAGTAGGAAAAAATAAGCAAAATTGTAATGTTTACAAGTTGGAATTGATAATACAGATGGCGATTTCATGCTCAGATAAAAAATGTTGTTACTTAATGTAATAGTTCAAGGTTGAATCATAATATGGTCTCTTTCATTGGTTTATTAAAGTTTTTTGTTACATTTTTACTTTTTAATCTTTAGTCAAACTATACATATAATAGGGGTTTATATAATTACAAGGAAAAAATTATAGATTTTTTTAATTGAGATATACTTACCTTTAATCCCTTTGAAAGTAAGGCTTTTGCAAAATTGTATCCCAAACCTTTAGCTCCGCCAGTAATGAGAGCGACTTTGTTCCGAATTTCAAACACCATGATCTATATTTAAATTAATTGTTAACTAAAAAATGTACTTGCACAATTATTTACAGTTTGTGCTGAATATTTAACACAATATTCCAATTACATACCTATATACTCGATATTTCTTCGACTTATACTGTTACAGGATGGAGCTCTATGTTAATTAAATTTAATCTTATCACAGTTATTACTAAAAAGTATATTTGAAGCAGATAATTATTAATTTAGAAATTTTATAAAGTTAGATAATTTCAAATTATTAATATTGTTTAATTTATACGTAATTTCATTTCTGGTAATTTATTAACTGTGAATCCACACTTCCACCCTGTACAAAGATTTTTGTAATTTTTGATGACACGAAGGTGAGTTTTTAAATTTTGATATTTACATAATCGGCATTTAAATTCTTGTTTTAAATCGATTAATATGACTAATAATACATATATGCAAATGAATGTAGATAATTTGTAATATAAATAGCACATGGGTAAAAATTTGTATCTGCTATTATTTAATAATGTATTATATCCATTTTAGTAATTCGAATCATTTTAAATAAAAATATTTATCTAATTTATAATTTTTTACAAGCACGATAATTAAATATGCCGTATGATATAACGAAAGTGCAGGTATGTAATTGAATAATTAACTACTACTCGTAAATTATAATGATAAAATATAAACCTTTCGTATATGCAACACTTTTTACCAATGTGCATGTTTTACTTGTAAAATTGGTTGCATAGCAAACAGAGTAAGATGAACAGTTTTCTACATAATACACAGGGCGTTTTTTTTATAACATGCTAATACTGAAAAGGGTGATTCTTGGGTCCATTTTAAGAAAAAATTCCTGTGAACCTATGTCTTAAACGTCTTAACTTTTGAGATATTATACTTGGTTGAAGCTTTAGGAAAAAATTCAATTTTTTAATGGCATTTCCACATCACTTTAAATATTTTTATGAAATTTGGTGTACGGCGTTTATGCATTAAAGAGCATTTTTTACGTAAAAAATAATTTTTATTTCTAACAGTGGCGTCCGTACTGGACTCATGCCAACTATTTTTGAGGGTAAAAGTGGTACGCCACTGCTTTCTCTTAAAATAAAAATTGTTTTTTATGGTCCAGTTCAATTTAGAACAAATTTAATGTTTTTACTTTTTTTGTACGACCCACCGTTTTGTATAAAAAAATTAAATGCATTCATTTGTACGTTACCGTTGCATTAGGCGCTGTGCAAAAATTAGGTAATAATAAATTTTAGGTTTAGGTTTAGGTTCCAAAAATGGAAACGAGTGAAATTAAAATTTCCAATTTCAGTTTCCATTAAAAGATAAAAACTGCGATTAAAATAATTTTAAATTTTAATGTTTTTAAAAGGTTCTCCAATTTGTTAATTTATGCACCAAAAGAAAGAGAAATATTTCACGAATAACAAGACATATAAAATGAACACGGAATACAAACAAAAAAAAATCCTTTGTGATAACATCTAATTTCGAATTAAAAGGCACGTCCAATTCATATTGAATATTCTCGAATTTATTTCGGACAATCGAACAAATTTACTGTTTTTTAAAACATGTACAAACGGCCGACCACGTAGGTGTTCCTATAGGTAAATACCCTCTCAAAGAATCAAAACAAAGCGTCATTTGGCCATTAAAAACTTAATGATAGCCTGTTATGCTACCATTGTGGAATAACAATGTTTATACAGGGTGAAAATAATAGCATTTATATAAAGTCATCTAAATAAATGCTGTAAAATTCAACAGATGCAAATTAAAAATTTCACGAGAATTAGTATACGAACAAATCGCGAGCTTCAAGCGTTGTAAAAACATAAAATTACAGAATTTCGTGCTATGGTCGATTTAGGTAACGAAACGAAAACAAACAAGAATTATGGCTGTTTTCCATGTATGGTACAGTTATAAGCCGGGTTTCTCGAAAACGCTTCGCAACTGATGATATCAGGACTTCCGCTCGAACCCGACAAGAAGGAAGAACAAGAGAAGAGAAGTACCATCAGCTTCACGGTTGGTTAATTTTAGGAGGCTATGCAGATTGGTTTAGATTAGGCGCTGCCGCGAGAAGGCCGAAGAGAGAACGGCGTTGATTGCTTTAAAATTAAACTATTTGTTAATATTTCATGGATAGTGAATCTACAATTTATTAATATTCATTCCTTTGTTTGCAGGTAGTAAAAGGCCTGTCTATTCGGTTTTTTTTTTCTGCACCGGGAGAGATCGTACGAAAACGTCCGTGAAAAATTTATTCCTAACCGTTTTGCGATTATTTATTAAAACAGTTTAGAAGGAAATTAATAATACATGTGTACTTTCATTGATGAGTGAGTATATGGTCTATTTATTGTTTCTATTGTTTATTTTTGTTGTCTATTGGTTCGATCGAAATTAAGAAAATGCTCTATACAGGAAATGTAAATATTGCAAAATACTTGGCATTATACGAGGGATGTTTCCAAAATGCTGGAAAAAGTGGTCTAATTAAATTACGCATAACTTATAGAGAGTGTTATTGGTGACATATAAGTCTTGACGTGTCTATCCAGTGCAACATTGATTCAGGTGTTCAACTGATAAAGATATATTTTCATAGTACTGTTCTTGTAACCATGGAAGACGCAACAAAATCTCAAAGAGCAATAATCGATCCACCGATAAACAGTACTTTTGAATTCTGTATAGACTCCCAAATACTTCTTGCAGACGCTGAATAATTTTTCTACAAAAAGAACATTATTGCTTTTTGACATTTTATTGAGTCTTTCATGGTTGCAAAACCAGTGCTGTGAGAATGTGTCTATATCGGCCATATTCACCAAACTCTGTTAAAAATTGCTAACAGTGAGATAAGTTCTTTCAATCTGTTATATTTTGGCAATCATCAATGACAGTTAATACTTAACAATGGGATAAAAGTAACGAATTATTGTTCGATTCATCTTGCGAAGATAGTGATATAGAAATAGATATTAAATAGATAGAAATATTCTGAAATAGACTTAAAAATAGGTTCATATATTAAAGAAAGGTTCGGTTATATGGAATAAACGCTAGAATACGGTTATTATTATAGTTATTCAAGTAAACGGACAGTTTTCTTAAAAATAACCAAGATTAAGTTGGCATAATGATACAGTTCCTAACTTCATGCGAAAATCATAACCACAAATTACTAAATAATGTCAAATATTTGAAGAATAAAATAACTGTAATAACTGTATTTCAGCGGTTATTCCATCTAATCGAATCTTTCTTCATAAAACCAATTTTTAAATTCTATTTCGGAATATTTCTATCTATTTAATATCTATTTCTGTATCACTATCTTCGAAAGATGAATTGAACAATTCGTGAAACTCTATTTTATTTAACTAGTCCATTATGTTAGGCATAACATTAAAATGTTATATGCCACTGTTAAATAAACGTAAAAATCATTATTTGTATTGAAATTATCAGTCGTTTACTTCTTTTATGAGTTCGATTTAGCTCTGTTACTTTTATCTGACTGTTAAGTGTGTCGATCAAAGTAATAGTGGTGTAACTCCATAATTTTGAAATTCATATTTTATTGTATGATAGGTTCTCAATTAATCACATCTTTCAGTATAAAAGTGAAACATTTTAAATTATTTTACTATATCGCCATAAATGTCGTTACTGGTTTCGTCGAGGAACAGATTTTAAGTATTATTCACTTAAATAGTGAAGTAAGTCACAAGTCACTTTAATAATGAAGTAAGTTCGGAGTTGATTCACTTGTATTGCGACTTATGTTGAACAGTTTGTACACGTTTCGTGATAGTTTTCTTAAAGTATTTCTAAAATAACTTTGTTTGTAGTATAATCATAGTAGTAGGTCGAATATAGAAGATTTTAGTGATTCTGTAAGCAAAGTGATTCGGAAAAGCAAAAATTGGTAAAACCTTCGAAAATATTGACTGTAGATGCCCTAAAGAGTGTTTTACGGTATTTACAGAATTTGAAAGACAAGAAATGTTTGAATCATTCTAGAATTTAAAAGACTTTAATCAGCAAAATTCTTATCTTTACGCATTGGTACAAAAATCGACAGTTAACAGAAAACGCCATAAAGATCATTCACATACAAAAATCTGCCAGTAGATATTCCAACACGGTCAAGCACATGTTATACTGAAGAGCGATTTGATGACGAAATAATATATGACTAAAATACTAAACGAAATGACTTTATGTTTGGATATGTCACTTCAACAGTGAACTAACTCCAGATAATAAAAATATTTCTTCTTTAATTAAAAAATGTTTAATTTTTGTTTAAGTTACTACCTGTTAATATAATCATTGATTTGTCCTTAATAGTTATATATATAAAAAAAATTAACAAATATTTGTGTATGTTTTAATATACGTCAATTACTAAAACCCTTCGTTTCTCGAAACTTAAAAACAAGGAGTTAATTCACTATTATAATGAACGACACAAGTATTAAACTGACATTGGTAAATGCCAAAATATGACGTTGATAAGAACAGATTGATAAGAACTTATCTCTCTGTTAGCGATTTAATTGGTGAATTTTGCCGTTAATCATTGTAAACCCTAATAATGTACCCAGTATTTAGATAGTAATTAGTTCACTCATTGTTCGTCTTGGAAATTCATAGATGAATAGTCATTGATCGTTCATCGGTGGACGATTTAATTTAATTTACAATAAAATTATCTCGAGACTCGAATATTCGTAAATTACAATTGTCGGCGATCGGCTTTTGAGATATTCCACCTAACCGCCGGCTAACTGACCGTAATTTATTATTCTGAGCTACACGTCACTTTTCTTTTTTACACAATCATCGTGCGCCCAGCGACTGATATAGGGACATCCAGCTTTATGGCCGTTTTCGCTCGATACGATACGGGCGAATGTGAAATGAATTGACGATTCGTACTTCTTTGTTTATGCAAATTCCCCCGTTTCGATCTAAACCCAGCCGAATCTGCCCTTCTTCGGAATCTCTTTATTGTATTATACTGAGTGTTCTAAAATGACACGCTAATATTTAAAGGGATGATTCTTGGAACCATTTTAAGAAAAAAACTTCATATACAAATATGTCTTAAACCTAAAATTTATTATTTTTTAATTTTAGCACAGTGGCAATGTACAGGGTGGTCCTCTACGAATGGCTTTCGGCCATATCTCGCAAAATAATTGTCGTAGAGACTTGCGGTAAAAAATCTTATGACTAAATCGGCCAAAAAAATGCTGGAAATAATTTTTAAGTTTCTAAAATGGCCGCTAGGGGGTGTATCCGCCATCTTGATTTTATTAAAGTAATTTTTTTCGAAAATTTCCTAAATAAAGGTAGCAAAAATGTGTTTTATTTTGATAGTTAAGATAATTTCTATTATTTTTTGTTATATATTTTTGACTCTATCTTTTAAAATAAAGTGGTGGGGGTGGTTTGAATATGTTGACAAATAAATGTTAATAACTTTTAAACGGCTAAACCGATTTTCAAAAAAATGAAATTTTTGAAAAGGGCTTTCTTTGGTCTCTAATTTACACTATATAAGATATTATTTTAATTGCTTGCTTGGCCGCAAGAGGGCGTTTCCGACATAACCTCAAAAACACCGATTTCCTCAAAAAAAATTAAATGCAACGATATAACTTTTTCTTTGGAGAAAAATAGTAAAATAATTGCCAAACAAGCCTGTGAAAACCGCATCTCGATATCTCTTTCCTAACCTAAAATATATCTAAAAGCGAGATATGGCCGAGAGCCATTTTTAGAGAACCACCCTGTACAAATGAATGCATTTATTTTTTTAAAGCGAAACGATGAGTCGTACGAAAAAAAGTCAAGAATTTAAATTTGTTCTAAATTGAATGAGGATTCAGAAAATAAATGTTATTCAATATTAGGCAGTGCGTACCATTTTTTACACCACAAATATTTAATGCAAAACCCATACGGACGCCACTGCTGAAAATAATAAAATTATTTGTACATCAGAAAATGCATCTTGATTCATAGAAGACTTGTGCCAAATTTCATAAAGGTATATTCAATAGTATCACAGTTATTAAAAATATTGATTTTTTCCTTTCAAAACTTTAACACCTTGTAATTATCTCAAAAGTTAACAAGTTTAGGATATAGGTTCATTATATTAAGTTGGGCACAGGAATCATCCTCTTAAATATTTGCATGTCAGTCTGGAACACCCTGTATATAATAAGTACTTCTTTGTACTCAAGGATGGGTTAAGAAAAATCCATATATTAACTGTTAATATATTTTCCCAATATACAAAGTATAGTACAACTTTTTAACTAAGATCATTTAAATTTTACATATAATACACAATGTACAAACTTTGGTATATTACATTGAATAAAAATATTATTAATCAACAACGTATACATATCGTTGGTATCTATATGTATGTTGTGCATCTTTAAAATAATTTCTTTGAAATTTACAATCGGAAAGAAAAATTATCTGTAAAATATTTGGAATTTTGTATAATAAGCTAAATACAAATGTAATACCTAATCTCTTTGAAATACATACATATTTATTTTTAACCCGAATTTTGCGGATAATTTTTCAGTACCTGTTAAAAATATAAATGCATTTTAAAGTAGGTGTGTACTTAAAATCATCAATTTTTAAGATACATTTACAATTAGGAGCATTATAAAAAATAACATTTAATTGGAAAAAGTTTAGCACCTTCAAACATGTTAATGTAATAATATTTAAATTTAGACGCATAAAAAATACCACAAAATTTAAAATTTAAATAATTGACAGAGATTAAAACGAAGTATCTAGTGCAATTAATTTATATATTCCTCAATTTTTTCCCATGTGTACAAAACCTCTAAAATGAGTTTTATTTAAATTAACAGTTAGTCTTACTGAATATTTTTTTTGACCTCTAATAATTTCTTACTCTGTAATTCCTTCTTTTTAATATCAATTAGGTATTTGAATAATCAAAATCCAAATTGCTACACACCATTATTTCGAATATTTCATTCTCCTATGGAAATAATTTCTCTAGTTAATATTAAATCAAATTATAAAACGTATTCATCTTTTGATTAAAAAAATACAATTTAATTGATATTAGTTAACTAACAACCATGACGGTACCTGATGATAAAACACATATTCCAGTTTGTATAAAGTAGAATTAGACGACTGAACTTTTTTCATCTCAAGGTAACTTTAACGACGTCACATTCAAATAATTCCTTAAGTGTTAATTAAATAAACTAGAAAAATAATTAATTTTTGTTGAGATACTGGCTGCTTCATCTTATTACATAAAATAATAGTAAATTTATTATTAGATATTACAGTAAAATGTCGGAAGGTGTACCTAATTGTAAAAAACATTTCTACTGGATAAAAAAAAGGATTACTGAAAATCTGGATTACGTATATACAGGGCGGCTTAAATTATTTTATTCGAGTCTGTCTGTATTAGTCGTTTGAATCGATACAGGTGACCCAAAAAAATTATAAAATTAAAGCTACAATATTTGCTAAATAAAAATAACCATTTTTTTCTCGTTTGGTCGGTTGATATTTCCATTTACCTACATTTACACACCACCTTGTATGTATGGAATCACATAAAATTTACTAATTAAATTAAATTTAATTGTCCGGAAAAACATATCTAAAAAAATTCCTACTACCTACTACAATCAATTTTGATTCGAACCCCCTCAATAAAAATCATCAAAACAATTTCTTTATTGATATGCATTTTTAGTAGGCACCTAAACGATAAATATCACAGTAAAACATAGTTCATTTTTTACCAATCTATACTAATAAATTAAAACCTAATTACCGAAATTCCTGCATCGCAGAGTTGTAAAATTATCTTATTCGAAAGAGTTACATATGACGAGGAGGCGAGTGATGTGTAATTTCATTATAATTATAACGGGAAAACTCTTTTAAAACCACGCACTAATTTTGCTGAGGAATAGAATTCGTTGGAGATAATGATAAGAATTGCTTATAAACTCCAATCTACAAATCAAAAACTCAATCATTAGTCCATATCATAGACCTATTAACTATGGACGCGGTTTAGACAAAGAGATAGTGTTGTCGATGAATGAGAGAGATGCAGCTAGTTTGGGCATATGGCAATGAGAGATTGGACAATGCATTAGCCAATAGTAAGAAAGCAAAAGACCACGTGATTTACGTTTTCGGATATGCAAGGTAGCTGGGGTAGAGGAGGGTAGCTTATGGTATAATAGGGTTGAGGAGTACAGCGGAGGGTATTGTGATTTATTATTTTTTTGCCGAGCAAAATGCATTTTTCAGCTGAGCCTAAATTCCCACGCATTTACAAACACAGTTCTTATTTTGTGTTGTTATTTGGAACCTCCTACCTATTAGCCAGTACAGATATCGCAATTTAAGACCTAGCTGCTTTCTCTTGTAAAAAATATGCTTCTTCCAGGTCATTCTTCTGTCCAAGTGGATACCAAGATAAAAACAATATTTAAATATTAAGCGTATAAATAATTTAACAGATTAATAGCCTTTTTCCACACACCCTGTATATATTTTATATATTTTTTGGTCGCGCCTACTTTTAGCCCAAACTAACTCCATCTCTCACGGACCTCTCTCTCTATCATTGGGAACGCCGAATAGTTCCGCGTCCATACTTAATAGGTCTATGGTCCATATTTATAAAAATGAAGCATTTACTTTAAAGTAAAAGGTAGAGGCAAAAGATAAGCGAAAAAGGTTTTAAACCACAAAACCTTTTGCTTTAAAGCAACAGCAGGGTACTCAAAGCAAAATCTCTTCCTTCGCAATTCTTTTTGTGCTTATACCTTGAAGCAATTCCTTCATTTTTTGAAGTAAAAGGTTGTGCTTCTTTTTATAAATACGGCCTATTGTTATAAATTATTGAAGAAATATGTAGATAATGATCGTGAAGACATCAGATAATTTTCAAGGTTGTACAAAAGAAATCTTCCCGTAACCGATGCAGGAATCGAATTAAATAAAAAATTGCACTTAATAAAAAACACCGCAATCATCACGTACTGAAGCACGTCTTCCGCACCCCGGCCAGAATCTCGCTGAAATCGTCCTCGTTCTTGGGCACCCCGTTGGGGGCGATCTCGTAGATTTCGGGGCAGTGGGCGATGAACGGTTCCGGTTTCACGTTCGAATTGGGCAAAATCACAGACGCTGGTTGAGCTTGAAAGTTGTACGACACGTTAGAGCCGAGCCCATCGTTCCTGTAGTTGTGATTCGAATCGATCGCGTTCGCCTCGGCCTGGCCGAACTTCAAATATTTATCGAACTCCCTGGTGTCGACGTCGCCGTCGTCGATATCGTTGCGATTCTCCGCCGTATTCGGGATGTAGGTCTGCAGGTGCGCCTCCTGGTTGTAGTAATCGTCCGGTTTGTACACCTGCAGGTAGTCGCCGGGCTTCTCCATCGCCTTCATCGATTGGTAGCCCAAGAAGGTGTCTTTGTTTTGGTCGTGGTGCTCGTAGGCGTAGTCCTTGTTGTAGTACGATTGCACGTTGGTGGTGTAGTAGCTCAGGTTGCTCGAGGTGTTTATGCTGGAACCGTGCGAGCTGCCTAGCAGTTGTTGATCCTGCGAGGTGGCCACCGGCGGGTAGAACGTTCCGGTGACGACTTGTCCTTGTTCGACGCTGCTCTTGTTCGCGCACATTATGTACATACCGTTCGACATCGGTACCGATGTGATGGGTTGGGCGTTGGTGAATTGCTGATTGGACTGCCTGTAGTTGAGAACACGATTCGTGTTGAACGATTGTTCGGCCGATGAAGATGATGTATTCTGAGCGTTGGTTATTCTATTCTCATCTTTGTATTGCTGGAATTGCTCTTTCTCGGTTTCCATAGGAGACATGTCGGGCGTACTCTTACCAGCGTTCAATTCTTTCCCTTCAGCAGGACTGCCCGGTATGTTCTGGCTTTTGGAATCGGGACTGTGCGTGGGCGAGTTCTCCGGCGATTGGTTCGAATAGGGACTCTTCTGCGGGTAGTTCGCGAACTGTATATATCCGTAATGGTTGTTGAACTTATAACTACTATCAGGACTGTATCTCTTCTCGTTGGCGTAGTCGACGCTGCCGCCGGGACTGGGATAGTCCATCGACGGGAACGACGATTGCTGTTGCAGGTTCGGCGACAGACTAGTGTTGGGTATGTACTGCGAGTACCTGGGCGACATGTTGGGCATGTTGGGGCTGGGCAGGGAGGTGCCGACGCGGGCGCCCGGTCCCGACGTCGCCCGTTGTTTGTTGTGCTTCCTGCGACGAGGCCGGTACTTGTAATTGGGATGCTCGGTCATGTGGATCACACGCAGCCGTTCGGCTTCCTCGACGAAGGGTCGCCTGTCTTGCGGCGTCAACGATCGCCACTTTTTGCCTGGAAATAGATGGACTTTATTAGAATTTTTACGAATGCATTTTCGCGTGGGTTATGAATAGACATTGTAATATTAGATAATCCTGCTGGTTACTTTGGATGGTTCTCTTAATAACAACATACTAATACCGAAGGGGGTGATTCTTGCGCTTATTTTAAGAAAAAAACTTTATATGTATACCTATGTCCTAAACGTCTTAAGTTTTGAGATAGGTGTTGAAGTTTTAAGAAAAAAATCAATTTTTTACTTTTTGAACTTTGAGTGTGGAGTAGTATTTGAGTGTTTTTTGGATGAGTTGATCATATGAATGATGAAACCTATGTTTGAAAAAATACCATATATTTGTGGGCCCATTTGATAAAATTTTGGATATTCTAAAGAAACTTAGTAGTATTAGTATTAGTAGAGGATATTAAAAGTGGAATTAATAAAAGTAGATATGTATTCAGAGTGTTTTATTAATAAAACATGCTAATGCTGAAGGGAGTGATTTTTGGGCCCATTTTAAGAAAAAAACTTTGTATGAACCTATGTCCTAAAGTTCTTAACTTTGAGATATATTAGGGTGTTAAAGTTTTAAGAAAAAAATCAATTTTTAATTTTCATTTCCATGCCACTTTAAATATTTTTATGAATTTGGTGAACGGCGTTTATACATTGAAGAGCATTTTTTGACCTTAAAAACATTTTTTTATTTGCAACAGTGGCGTCGGTACTGGATTCAGGCCAAATATTTTTGTGGGTAAAAGTGGTACGCCACTGCTTTCTCTTGAAATAAAAATTATTTTAGAGGCCCCTTTCAATTTAGAACAAATTTGATTTCTTGATGGCTTTTTTTCGTACGACTCAAAAAAATTAAATGCAATTCTTTGTGCAGAAATTAGGTATAAAAATTTTAGGTTTAGGACATATGTTCATATAAGGTGTTTTTCTTAAAATGGGTCAAAAAATTACCCCCTTCATTATTAGCATGTTATTAAAAAACTCCCTGTAGATACCAAGAGTCTGGTAAATTTTTGACAAGAAACGCAGTAAGTTTTTAAAATATTTTTCCCTTCTCTTGTTAGTGTTCTTATAATGAATACAAGTTACAAAGCACTCTTAAAAGGCTTCAATGAACAACTAAATTACAAAATAAACTAATTATTTTAATAAGTTTATTTATCATTATAGTTCATACATTCGAGAAAATAATAGTATACCTAATTATAATAAAAGAGAAGTGACTTGTGGAATTATTTTCCTGGTGAACTTCCAGGTAAATGTTGGCGATAAAAGGATTATCAAAATAAAGTAGTAATCTCTGCTTTTCGAACAAAGTAAATAATAACAATAATTCCTTGACAATTAAAGCAAGAAATGATATATTGCTTCGAGGTAGTGATGCAATAAAATACTTAAATCAGAACGAAATCGTAATAAATTTCGACTTGCTCAAATATTACTTCAAAAATGAGGATCTATTAAAAATAACTCCTTTTCAAAAATTGTTTGTTTGCGCTCGTTGCGAAACCGTATATGATTAATTAAATGTAACAATTATTATGTAAAAAATACCCACTTTTCGAAATATCCCCAGCACATCCAACAAAAGTACATCACGAGCGCTCAATAAACTCGGAAATTTATGTTTACAACGTCCTTTTTAATATCTACATTTTTTCCAAAATTATTACCCGGAGATTTTTATCTCCACCCCCTCGTTTCCGAAACGCATCTCTTCGGGTGTCATGTCCTGCAGTCAGGGCTACCACACTGCCGTGATATCATGCCGAGTTTGAGGTATTAAAAGCCTACCACCCGCCGTCGGACCGAATTACCGCTTCGAAATTTCAATATTATCGACGATTTCTTCTTCTAATACCGACCCGAACAACTCGAATTATGTAGAATATCACTCGCGACAGTCCGAAGAAAGATATTTTTAGTTTTTATGTGTATTTTATTTTTTCTAAGTCATACAGATGGCTTATATTACGGGGTGTTGTTAGTATAAGAGTAATTAGGTGGAGACCGTTATTTTAAGCATGCAATTATTGCGATTTTGCTGGACGTTTTATCATTAAGGTTTGTTCCAGCAGCATGTTTTGTGTTGTTAGGAACATTGTGAGCATGCGCAATGGTTTTAAAAATTTGTTTTTAGACAGCAGGGTGTTATTTGGTGTTCTGAGTAAATGTTTGCTGTTTCGGCAAAATTCGTTTTTTGTTTGGATCATGTTTGAGATCTGCAAAACTGTTCTCGATTGAAGTGAGAACATTTAGAACAATTCAAAAATAAGTATGGCTATGTTTGTTGTTGTGGTCATAAATATTTGTTTAGTTACAATTTAGTTTTAAAATATGGAAATTATTGACTTATTTGGAGCTACGAGCGAAAATAGTTATGATTAGTTATGATGAATTATCGGAAGACGATTTTGAAGAATTGTTGAAAGAAGCGCAGATGTCAAAGAATAAAAATTATATCGAGGAAACTGTTCCTTAATATTCGGAAAATGAATTCAAAGAACATTTTCGTATTACAGGATACCCAACAACTGCTCGAGGTGTTCCAGCAAAAAATGTTCCAATCTTATAACGAACTAATGTTATACTGAACTAAACTAATACTGATACAAACATAATTTGAACATACTGCTGGAACAAACCTTATAGAGCTATTGTCAGTGCAAAACAAATATCAATGCACTTCACTACTGTCGTCATACTTGCCAAGAATTGTGACCAACTTTTAAAAATAAATACACAAAATAGATTAAGCTTAATAACTGCAGAATTTAATTTAATATTACCAAAGAGATGATAGAAAATGTTAAAAAGCAGAATTAAATCATCCAAAAAGATATATATTGTCAAAATTCAACGTTTGTATTTAAAATTATTATTATTTTCTTATAGTAGGTTGGTAGGCATTGACTGTCAAGTTGCATTGTTGCCGTTGTCATCCGATCGGTACTTTTAATTTTAAATTTCTTCTTCTTATTTCTAGTTTACTAGCCTCACAACTACTAAAGGCTATTTAGCCGAATAATCAAGAAATAACAATTTTTTGCATAGTTATCTTTTCTACATGTTAGAAATAACACAATTTGAGCTCAAAATAATTTAGATTCAGAAGTTTTCTCAGAAATTTCACTATGCACTCTTTTAAGGGTCAATTGTATACTAAAATTGTAACACTGTTAAATATGTGAAATACACTGTTAAATATTTTAAATACACTGTTAAATATGTTTCAGATGATGAAAAAATTTGATGATTAATTATAGTGAACCCCTGAATAAGTTCGCCGTTTAGAAACGTGAAACCCCTAATTTTCAATTTGTTCTCGTGCTTTTACCTTCTAGCTTCATCAGAAAATTCTTAGATTTTGTAAACTCTATAAAAGTTCGGCAACACTGCCTACTTGTGCAATGATATTTGTTTTGCACCAACTGTAGATAATAACGACGATGATCGAAGAAGGGTTTGAAATTTTATGAAACTCCGAACGTATTCAGCCGCACCCTAACCGTATACAAGCAGGCATACCCCGGTGCATGCGGGATAGACGGAGAGAAGAACGACGGAAAATGACGGGCGATACATTAATAATTCATGGGTTTGTGCCTTCAAAATTCATGTTGGTGGAACACGCTTTTTTTTTATATGCCCGAGTCGTATAGGTACGACTGGAAATGATGTATACCGAAACGTCATCGCCGCTCAAATTAAAAATAGTCTTCCGAAGCAACAGTTGATGGACGTAAATTAATGAAGTGGATACAATAAAGGATTATTTAATAAACGCTGTACGGTGTCAATTCTTCAAATCCAATACGAATTAATTAACATATATGTTAAACTAGCCCATCCAGTATATCGTGCTTTAACTACATATACAAGGCGGATAAACTTCATTATTATTCACTATACAGTGAGGACCAAAAATCCGTCGCCCCCCCTTTAACTTTTGAATGGTAAGAGCTTTTGTCGCGCAATTTGGGGTGTTTATATTGGAGTAAAAATGCTATTTATTGACGTAAAAATGACAGTTGAAACTTTCAAAATGACAGTTAGGCGCCATTTTGAATCTTTTTGCTTATGGAACGGGAGGGTCAAGTGACGCCTCGTTTTAAAGGTAATTTCATTCTTAAGTCAACCCCCAAATTTGAAAACATTTTAATAACGCGTATTCACGTAAAGACCAATTTAGATTTAACCCCCGGGCATATTGATACATTTAAGAATTAATTCTGAACGTACTATAAAATGTGTCAATTAATTGTTGCTATGGTTTCTTGATTCTGACATTTATTTGTCAAATTAAAAGTTGATGAAATTGACAGTTTTTTTTGTTTAAAGGACGAGCCATTGTCAATTTCATCAACTTTAAATTTGACAAATAAATGTCAGAGCCAAGAAACCATAGCAACAATTAATTGACACATTTTATAGTACGTTCAGAATTAATTTTTTAATGTATGAATATGCCCGGTGGTTAAAACTAAATTGGTCTTCACGTGAATACGCGTTAACTTGAAATCTTTTCAAATTTGGGGGTTGACTTAAGAATAAAACTACCTTTAAAACGAGGTGTCACTTGACCCCCTTTCCATAAGAAAAAAAGATTCAAAATGGTGCCTAACTATCATTTTGAAAGTTTCAACTGTCATTTTTACGTCAAAAAATAGTATTTTTACTCCAATATAAACACCCCAAATTGCGCAACAAAAGCTCTTACCATTCCAAAAGCTAAAGGGGGGGTCGACGGACTTTTGGTCCTCACTGTATAATTTTTATTATGAAATTTCTTTAGATTCAGCGATTTTAACGGAAATTCAAAAAATCAATCGGGGTAGTATCTGGCGAATAGAACGGCTGATTCGCGTCCGACGGGCTGCGAATATGAAATTTTTAGAGCTCTTGCGATGCGACTGGTAGATTGGGCTCATCAGGATGCAGAGCCTTGTCCGGCGCGTGTCGGCCCGCCCGGTTTTTTTTTTTGGGCGCGTCTCTA